TACATTTTTGGAATCATTTTGTGCTTTTTGGCCCAAGAAACAGGTGCGAGGAGTCTGAATCAGAATGATATTCCCTATAATAAAATGTCATCAATTGACACAATTCAATATTAAGAAAATTGTGTCATCTCCACAATGACTTATTACATGTAACTTTTCCTATAATGGGAAGTTGATCAGGTGTCCGGTCCTCAGTGATGAAACAGCAGCTGCATCTGCTGACTACATAGAGGGACCTGTTCAGTGATCCTAGATCATCAATGCTACCCTGAGACACTTTGTGAATACAGACTTATATCTTCCTTGAATTGTATGTGTGTAAGTAAGTGGGGGCGGGGAGAGGAGTGTACTGCAGGTGTGTGTGGTGGCCTGGCTGGTCATTTGTTAGTGAGCTGTTGGCTCAGGCCTTTGCCTCTTAAGTATTTAACATATGTCTGTGGCAGTAATTCTGAGAAAAATATGTATTTTATAGCAGAGAGAACAAAAGGGAATATTCACAAGGTACAGACCACACCATCAACTGTATATGTTTAAGATATTTAATGGAGTGAGTGACAGACAGGAGTTAGGTGCTCAACATTACCCACTTTGTATGACACTTGAATTTTGCATGTCACATGTGTCTGGATCACAACCAGTCATATCTAGTATCCATCAAAGCAACATTCACAATGCAAATTCAGGGAATATCATTAATTTGGACATTTGCTCAGTACTTAAAAGGGTAGTGACCAGTAGTGAATAGAAGTGTAAAGACAAAGTAATATCATGAAATCTCATTTTGTCTTAGCTTGTAACTTATAAAATATTAGATTTTGGATCACAGGTAAAATGCAGCAATTACATTCACTTATATTACTTATCAAGAGAAGGAGGGGGGATAGGGGGAGAGGGAGTTTATTCATTCAAACCCATCTACACGCATTTATCCACTCTCTCCCCCCATGCATGTTCCATCTGGCAACTTTCAGTAAAAACCATACTTCAAGCAAATTTAAACATTAAATTAAACCGATTTAATCAAAGGGCAGTTGAAACAAGAGTGAGCAACGTTTAGTATGAGGGGGATAAAGAAGTTGATTTGGCAGCCTGGCAGCAAGGGATTGATGCTAGGGTTGGACGGTATCTAGATGTTCATACCCCCGTACCATGCCTGTGCCATCCCGGGATTACGGTATTACCGGTAGTGCACACGCTTTTTTTACTTAAGAAAAGCCCAAAAACGTAATTTACCAGAATGCGAACAAGTATTAAGGAATCCTCATAGCGGATGCTAGGTGCTAACGAGCAAATGCAAGCATTTACTACTAAGACAGACAACCCAGCTCATAAATGTATGCAAGTATCTCAAAACGCAGTTTATAGCACGCACAAAACAAATATTAGACCGCAGGGACCTTAATCCAGGAGGGGATTGTCTCTGCTGCTGTTACCAAGAAGCTTGATCTTGCAAGCTAACGTTAGCCAATTAGCTAACATTAGCAAGTTAGCAAAGCCCAGCTGGATAGTTTCGGGGTCATCTATAGGTAATAACACACAACATGAGAGACACACCTTGAGAGCATCATGCCTAACAGGAAGTGTGAAGAAGGGGCTTTCCTTGAAGGAGAGGATGGTCTCAGCTGAAGTCCAAGAATTATGTTATGTTCTGTCCAGTTGTCCCTCATACAGGCCTGCAGGTGCCATCAACCAGCCAACATACCATCTGTGAATGAACTGTGAGGATTGTCAAGAGAGAGAGAGAGAGTTAACTGTTGATTTGTGATTGTTTATTCCACTTGCTTTGGCAATGTTAACATATGTTTCCCATGCTAATGAAGCCCTTTTGAATTGAATTGAATTGAATTGAGAGATAATCACGGATGAGCATTCAATATTTGCTACATTTGCACACACTGTATATATATTTTCTGTTGTATTTTTTGACTTTATGTTTTTTTACCCCATATGTAACTCTGTGTTGTTGTTTTTATCGCACTGCTTTGCTTTATCTTGGCCAGGTCGCAGTTGTAAATGAGAACTTGTTCTCAACTGGCTTACCTGGTTAAATAAAGGTGAAATAAAAAATAAAAAAAATATGCAGATTTACAGTCATGGGGACAGGATTATTGCTTCTCATCAGGGTGTGGTAGTAGGCAGTAGTGCATGACCTTGAGAGCGTCATGTCCACTGGATAGAGCTGAGTGACTGAACTGTGTGAATGGTCCTGTGTGTGTGTTTAGATTATTATTTGGATTATAATGAATGAAAACATTTTGATGATTATACATTTTTAGTTAAGGCAAATCAAGTCTGACATTTTAAAGTGGAAATTACAAACTTTAGAAGCCTTTCTAAACATTGAATACACTACAAGTTTGCATTTCCTGGGTGATCAAATTAAGATCCTACACATTTTACATTTACATTTTAGTCATTTAGCAGACACTCTTATCCAGAGCGACTTACAGTTAGTGAGTGCATACATTATTTTTTTTATTTTTTATTTTTTTCATACCCCCCCCTTGGGAATCGAACCCACCCTGGCGTTGCAAACACCATGCTCTACCAACTGAGCTACATCCCTGCCGGCCATTCCCTCCCCTACCCTGGGCCAATTGTGCGCCGCCCCATAGGTCTCCCGGTCGCGGCCAGCTACGACAGAGCCTGGATTCAAACCAGGATCTCTAGTGGCACAGCTAGCACTGCGATGCAGTGCCTTAGACCACTGCGCCACTCGGGAGACCTATACACCTATACACCTGTATACATTCAGAGAAGTAGGCCAATTGTCACAATAATAGTTGTGTTCACAACTGAAGAGTATGGCCTACGTCTTCCTTTCAGTGAGCAGTAAAGGATGTTGGTGAAGTATACCCAGAACAATAAAAAGGCTTATTTTAACTTATTGGCTTACTGTATTGGCTGATGTAACTACAAGAAGTTAATGGTGATCAGCTAAGATGCCATACTGTGCTTTTCTCCTGCGGGAACAGTCAGATTTCACACACACACACACACACACACACACACACACACACACACATCAGTACTGACTATAGCTTAATTGGATGTTGTTGTTTGTGTAAGCAATACAGATGTAGGATCTTAATTTGATCACTATTTTGTTGCTGAGAGTTTTTCTGCACAGCAGGAAATGCAAACTTGTAGTGTATTCAAGGTTTCAAAGGGCTTCTAAAGTTTGTAATTTCCACTTTAAAATGTCAGAAGTGATTTTCCCTAATGAAAAATGTATCAAAATGTTTTCATTAATTATAATCCCAATAATAATCTACATTTCCTGTTGCTGCAGGATTCTTTTTCTGCTCTAGCAAACTGGCTCAAATTAAGATCCTACATCTGTAGCTAAATTAGCTATGCAAAGTGCCAGATAGGTAACCATTTACAGTAACTGCTGTTCATTATTACTCTGTCAATGGCCAGCTAGTGCTAGCTAGCCAGCTAATGCAAGCCAACTTTGTTCAATTGTTGTTGAGTTTGTTATATTGGCATGCTAACTTCATAATAAGTTATCCATCTTAGCTAACATTAGTATTTTTATCTTCCTGTCACACTCACATAGTCTAATATTTTCTTTGTGCTGACAACCTAGGCTGTAAACACACCCCTTAAGCACCATGAATATTCTATGAAGGGGTGTATACTTCCGGGTATGAAGAAAACAAAAATAAAAATTGAATAAATGTTATTGTTAAGTTAGCTACAAAACTAATGGAGAAATCTGACTTTTCTGCAGTGGGTAGCTCTGGTCAGGCAGCTTCATCTTGTAGCAGGTTGAGGGACTAACTTACTTCCACTAGCCACTACTAGCTAGCTTGATTATAGCCAGTAACCAGGTAGGGCTAGCTAGCTAGCCAGCCTGCTAGCTAGCTAGCCACTGGCCAGCTAATGCTAGCTAGCCAGTGCCCAGCTAGTGCTAGCTAGCCAGTGGCCAGCTAGTGCTAGCTAGCCAGTGGCCAGCTAGTGCTAGCTAGCCAGTGGCCAGCTAGTGCTAGCTAGCCAGCTAATGCAAGCAACCTTTGTTCAATTGTTGTTGAGTTTGTTATATTGGCATGCTAACTTCATAATAAGTTATCCATCTTAGCTAACATTAGTATTTTTATCTTCCTGTCACACTCACACAGTCTAATATTTCCTTTGTGCTGACAACCTAGGCTGTAAACACACCCCTTAAGCACCATGAATATTCTATGAAGGGGTGTGTACTTCCGGGTATGACCAAAACGAAAAACGAAAATAAAAAATTGAATAAATGTTGTTGTTATTTGTTTTCCATTATTCCATGTCTAATTTTGACACAATAAATGACAAAACAAGTCGATTTCCGATGTTCGTTTTTCTAATTCAGAAACGAAAAACACACATTTTTCCGTTTTTCCATTCTCCAGTTTGACTCGGAAATCAAAGTAACAAAACGTACACGGACCCAGCCCGAGTCCTGATTGGTTGCTTTTTCGTAGGTTTCCCTCAGAACTGCAAGACGCTGATATTGCATTACGGTGTAGCAAAATGGCGGCTGTCAGTCAGAACCCACTAAAAGCGTAAGTAATTTAACAAATTGATTAAATTATATTGTGTTACTTTGTTACCAATACGCGTGCAAATGAGGGAATAATGCTGGGGTAGAAATGTGTGTATTTCTACTTGCAGAGCCGAATGAACGTGTCAGTGCTTTCACCGAAGTAGCCTGCTTAGTTTATTAGACATTTCTGCTTATTATGACTTACAATCTTCTACGTGTGATATGCGGTTTATCCTATGTGTTATACTAATTGCGTTTTAGGCCTATAACCTAAACATGATAATATATTGACTCCCATCCCATAGACGCTTTGAACCGACACTAGAATTTAATCTTACTTCAAAATTAAGCACAAAAGTGTTTCAACATGCACTGCGCTATTACGAGGACGAGTGAAAGACGATTGCATTAATTTTCCATATTTTCGGAATAACATTGACATTCCGAGAGTCTTTTATAGTTGGTGTGAATTGTCGAGATGTCAACTTTGGCTCTGAGCGCAGACGTGGTCAGGACCGGGTAGGAAGAGCAATGCAGGAGGCATTTTACATTTGCATGCTTTTCCGTCTGAAAGCGAAGTGACAGTAGATAGCCCTATGCATTTTGTAAAGCGCCTGTGCAATTATTTAAGTTTGGCCTCTCTGTGTTCTCTAATGAGTCTACAGTATTTATCCTGTTTTGTCCGTGACTCCATTTTTTTAAATTAGAGCTTCTATTGTCAGATAATATCTATTAGCCATAGAAGTTGAGTTTTTAGGCAAGTTTGTATTGAGTGGTATTACCACCTCTTCATGTACATTTTCTCAGAGAAAGACATAGACAAAGCCTACTGGTAGAACATTTCTTTGTTACTATCCATGTTTGAGCATTGACAGACTATTTGTAGGAAAGTTAAGGTATAACCAGACCTTTTGGACTGTGCATTAGAGATGGTGAGACTGTCTGGAGGTGAAGAACGAGGGATATAACTTGACTGTGCCTTTAAGTGGAGGAGTGGTGCAGATTAGCCTGGTCCATGATCCTGGGCCCATCTGTCAGGAGATGCTCCGACCAGGAGGAAGTGTTGGGCACAGGCAGTCAGGCAGGAGACCCGTCTGCTCCTCTGTAGAGGTACCCTGGCACCCCCATGGGCCCTACAGGATCAGGGAAGCGTGCTCCTCGCCCACCATTTACGTATGGATGCCATCGTTATTTTACGTTCACAACTGCATAAACGAGAGTGAAGAGCTCTACCACTGACAATCATAAAGGATGGTCTTGTTTCATTATTTAATGGCTGGTGTGGTTCCCAGTTGGCACAAAGTAGCCTAGTTTGAGAATGTGCAATTTTTTAAATACATTTTGTGGGACTCATTTCCTTTAAACCACTTTACCCTTGTATCCAACAAGATCAACCTACTCACACTATTGTGCCTGAATGGGCTGATTCTTAATCTCCTAGAGGTTTTAACATGTGGAATGTCTCCTTGCTATAAGCTGTGCTTAATGAAGTGTTTCAATCTGCTATAATTAGCCACTGTTTCGGGTTTCAGACTTCATCTCACACGTTTGTCAGATTATAATTGTATAATTAGTCACACTTGACACTAATTGGATGTTGCTCATGTGGACCAGTATTCTCCTTTTGAGATGAGGCAAATGAATTGGGGAGTCTTGTTGGCTTTGTTATAGAGAAGGAGATGGCAGCTGTGGGTGTAGCCAAAGTGTTGCTCCTCCCACACTGTGTGTGTTGTATGCATGGGAGAGGGATAAGGGCCTCTACAAGCTACTGATAAAATGGAGCTAAAAATATTGAGCTTGTATGTGGGCACAGGCCATGTGTGTTATTGGTATTCTTTCTCAAGATGACTCAGTGAAATGGCTATCTTAGCTAGAGTCGATGTGTTCAATAGGAAACAGTCTCTCTCCAGTCTAGACCCTCCCCTCTTGCAGGGATGCAGCTATGGCTTCCTGTAAAGCTCAGCTGCACCTGCAAAGACCCAAGACATTTGCCTGAACAGATCACAAAAGGCAGAAGTATCTGGAGAAAATTGGTGTTCTGAAAAATGTGTATTGCCCTTTGTCAGCCTGTAGAGGATCAAGGTATAGACAACAACATTGTTTATAACTGTAACTCTAGCCCTCATAGGCCCTAAGCTAAAACTCTTGGGGTTCCTCAAATGTAGTGTAAAAGACAATAGAATTAATGCTACTGCAGATCACTTGGCTTGCCGGGACTCATGGAGTTGAGATGTTATTCTCTATTATGCAAAATGTGTGTTATGTAATGCTCCCACTAAGGGCTGGGCACAGATGTGACACCCCAAACCATTGACAGGAGCACACTGATAGAGGAGGCCCCAGCATCCACAAGATTTGCTTTTAGTTTCCCCCCTCACTCACATCTGTAAGATAATGTGTGCTTTGAGGTAGGCCTATCCTTACTGTAGCTCAGTCGCACACAGTGTCTGTGTCTGGTTAGCTGTGGTATGTCTTTTTACCGTTGGAACAACCTTCCAACCACTTCAATGTCACACAAAGGCCCTAAAAAACAAACAGTGGAAAAAATAACGTATGCAAGAGGGAAAAAAACATAGAGAGCAAAGACATGAGTAAGTGTGAGCGCGGCCTCTCTCACCTCCTGTGCTCTCAGACGCTGAGGCTCGTCACTCATTATGAGTGTTAGAGAGATCTCTCACCTAGGCCGCTGCACCTGCTGCTCAGGGCACTGAGGGCAGTGCACTCAAATGAAAGACGGGCAGCAACGTCTGAGACAGTTAACACCTCATAACAGAGGGAGCTTTCAACATTCCTTTCGCTGCTTGCTTTTCTATCCCCCTGGCTGTTTTTTTTGTCAGACACATTACCCTCCACTGAAGCTTGATGGAAGTGATCTAGGTACAGCATTCAGATTCACATGACATGGTAATGGTACTGTAATTTGTGGAGTAGTTTTAGGCCCATTTAGGGCCTGCGCTCTTTAAGTAGTAGCCTAATGACTGTATTGTTAACAGGTACAACACATGTAACTGCTGTATGGCATACAATCTTGAAACATGGTTGAGGTGCCATGACATGTTAAAATGTCCTTGCTGCTCAGGGGCTGTATAGGGCCATAAGCAAACAAGGAAATGCTCATCCAGAGGAGGAGCTCCTCGTGGCTGGTGATATTTTTTTATTTTTCTCAAAGTTTGTATTTTTTTGTGGCATTTTTCATGATTATACAGATAATACAGACAGAACAGGTAGAGGGAAAAACACACACGGATCCCCTACCAGATCAAAACCACCCCAACCCCCCATTCTCCAACAGAGCCCCACCCCAAAACCAGACTTAAAGCAGGCATGATATAGAATTTGAGTAATATAAGCAAACAAAAAAAAATAAAAAAAGTAATCAAACAAAAAGTAAAGAGGAGTAAAAATAGTGATACACATTTTTTGGGGGGTTGGTTTATGGAGTTGTGAAATTAACTGGGTCCATGTCTTCTACAAAGTATAGGAAAGGGAGCCAGATATTATAAAATGTAATTGCAGTTCTCCTAACGGAGTAGCCCATTTTCTCTAGCTTGAGATATTGCATGCCTTCCTTTATCCAATGGCTAAAAGTAAGAGGAAACCAATCCTTTCACTTAAATAGTATAAGACATCTAGCTAGAAGAGTAGTAAATGCCAGCATGTTGCCCATATAACTGTTTAGAGGGGGCCTCCTGTGGGGCCACTCGTATAATGATATGAAGGCAGAAGGTTTTATAGGTCTCCCCAGTATCTTAGAAAATGTCTCAAATTGATATCCAGAAATCGGTCAATTTCTGGCATGTCCAAAACATGGCAGTAAAGTAGCAGGAGCCTGCTTACATTGGTCACAAGTGGGATCTATTTCTGGTCTAATCTTGGATAATTTTGCCTTTGACCAATGTAGTGGCCAGTGATTTTAATGCAGGAAACAAAAATCTATTTTACCTAATTTCTACCAGCATGTCACCTTTGCAAAGTTAGAGGAGACAAAACTCTAGAGCTGTGTTCGAATACCCATACTAACATACGGTATACTACATACTTAATATACTGCATACTATATACTATTAGTTCATTTTAGTATACTGTAAACGAACAAGATGTGACTGGGGCTCAGCTCATTGCAGAGGCACTAAAAGCTCAGGTGAAGTGTGTGCAATATATATAAAACAGTGTTATACTGTGTAACCGTGTTGCTAATAATATATTAGTCGCTGATACTGTCCTTGGCAGTGAGAATGTAGCACTACGAGTTGTGAAAGTGTGCCATAGGTCATTGCACTGGTATAGCTAACTATTAATATTGTTGTAGAAAAACATTTAGATGTTTATGTGGAATAGTATATGTTAACACCCTTGTTGATGCATGCCAATGTGTGTGTCAATGCAAAGAAAATCTAAACTACATTGTAACAATTCATATACAATTCAGTATGAAAATGTATGCACTCACTAACTGTAAGTCGCTCTGGATAAGAGCGTCTGCTAAATGACTAAAAATGTAAAATGTAAATGTATCCTTTCAGTTGATCGTACTAGCGCTTCGCCTGTCTGCCGGAAGTTGATGCTGTTGCTATGCAACCTCTTGCTAGCTTGTTAGCATAACAAATTACTAGCTAGACATATTACGACTTCGGGTGTGTTCTTAAATTCAATGTGGAGTGCCAGAGTGTGCTCGGAGTGCGCACTGGGCGTTCGTAAATTCAGAGCATTGTCAGATGGTCCGTTTGTAAATTCAGAGTGTTTCGCTCTGGGAGCGTTCAGAGGAGTAGGGTTGATTAGAGCGTTCTGACCTTACAACAGCAGTCAATCACCCAAGCTGACTGGCTAGCTACTTCCAGACACAAATGAGAGAACACCTCACTCTGACCATTTTACTCGCCCTGGCAGAGCTAGTTAGGTAGTTTTCATGTTATCCAGAGCATTGGTGACTGTAACTGTGCTGCTGGCAACTATTTAATTACGCTTTTTTGCCGACGTTTACTGACACCGGCCATATTCAACGGGTGTTGAGCGTTCGTAAATTCATCAGTTATTCTGCGCTAGTCTGGTACACTCAGACGAGAGTGCTCTGAAATCGGAGTAGATAGACAGAGTGAATTTACGAAGGCACCCGAATGTCCATTGAGAACGCACAACGACTATACAATTTAGCTAAGAATGACAGGAATAATCAAGTCAATAAACATTGGGTAGTTAGTTAGATAGCATATAGTTAATGTACTGGCAAGTTTGATGTATTAGTAGCCAACTAATGTTAGGTAGCAAGCTAACATACTGGTACATACTGCTGTAATGATATGCTATGTGGTTCATAAGGATAGCATAGCTAACAAATTGTCAGCCAACATAACGTGTAAGGTAACTTATTTGAAAAGTCATAACTTTATTACATTGCTCAACATTTTCTTAACATTTGTCATAATTAGTTGAAGCAATGAATTTGTATCCGCTCTCGTTGGACTTCGGCTACATATTTTCCGCCATTTATTTCAAATCTGAAAACGATATGAAGCCACGGCCATTTTCTGAAGAATTGCATTATGGGCCCTAAAAGCACTGAAATAGTGTCCACTGCTTGTATACTTCGTATTTTGGTGAATGTAGTAACAACAAAAAAATCCAGAAAAATGCATGTCAAAAATGTTATAAATTGATTTGCATTTTAATGAGGGAAATAAGTATTTGACCCCTCTGCAAAACATGACTTAGTACTTGGTGGCAAAACCCTTGTTGGCAATCAGAGGTCAGACGTTTCTTGTAGTTGGCCACCAGGTTTGCACACATCTCAGGAGGGATTTTGTTCCACTCATTATGGTTTCGAGGCTGACATTTGGCAACTCAAACCTTCAGCTCCCTCCACAGATTTTCTATGGGATTAAGGTCTGGAGACTGGCTAGGCCACTCCAGGACCTTAATGTGCTTCTTCTTGAGTCACTCCTTTGTTGCCTTGGCCGTGTGTTTTGGGTCATTGTCATGCTGGAATACCCATCCACGACCCATTTTCAATGCCCTGGCTGAGGGAAGGAGGTTCTCACCCAAGATTTGACGGTACATGGCCCCATCCATCGTCCCTTTGATGCGGTGAAGTTGTCCTGTCCCCTTAGCAGAAAAACACCCCCAAAGGATAATGTTTCCACTTCCATGTTTGACGGTGGGGATGATCTCCAGATCCTTCAGGTTTCGGTGCTGTCGCTGGCCAATACGGACTTTCAGCTCCCTCCAAAGATTTTCTATTGGCTTCAGGTCTGGAGACTGGCTAGGCCACTCCAGGACCTTGAGATGCTTCTTACGGAGCCACTCCTTAGTTGCCCTGGCTGTGTGTTTCGGGTCGTTGTCATGCTGGAAGACCCAGCCACGACCCATCTTCAATGCTCTTACTGAGGGAAGGAGGTTGTTGGCCAAGATCTCGCGATACATGGCCCCATCCATCATCCCCTCAATACGGTGCAGTCGTCCTGTCCCCTTTGCAGAAAAGCATCCCCAAAGAATGTTTCCACCTCCATGCTTCACGGTTGGGATGGTGTTCTTGGGGTTGTACTCATCCTTCTTCTTCCTCCAAACATGGCGAGTGGAGCTTAGACCAAAAAGCTCTATTTTTGTCTCATCAGACCACATGACCTTCTCCCATTCCTCCTCTGGATCATCCAGATGATCATTGGCAAACTTCAGACGGGCCTGGACATGCGCTGGCTTGAGCAGGGGGACCTTGCGTGCGCTGCAGGATTTTAATCCATGACGGCGTAGTGTGTTACTAATGGTTTTCTTTGAGACTGTGGTCCCAGCTCTCTTCAGGTCATTGACCAGGTCCTGCCGTGTAGTTCTGGGCTGATCCCTCACCTTCCTCATGATCATTGATGCCCCACGAGGTGAGATCTTGCATGGAGCCCCAGACCGAGGGTGATTGACCGTCATCTTGAACTTCTTCCATTTTCTAATAATTGCGCCAACAGTTGTTGCCTTCTCACCAAGCTGCTTGCCTATTGTCCTGTAGCCCATCCCAGCCTTGTGCAGGTCTACAATTTTATCCCTGATGTCCTTACACAGCTCTCTGGTCTTGGCCATTGTGGAGAGGTTGGAGTCTGATTGAGTGTGTGGAAAGGTGTCTTTTTATACAGGTAATGAGTTCAAACAGGTGCAGTTAATACAGGTAATGAGTGGAGAACAGGAGGGCTTCTTAAAGAAAAACTAACAGGTCTGTGAGAGCCGGAATTCTTACTGGTTGGTAGGTGATCAAATACTTATGTCATGCAATAAAATGCAAATTAATTACTTAAAAATCATACAATGTGATTTTCTAGATTTTTGTTTTAGATTCCGTCTCTCACAGTTGAAGTGTACCTATGATAAAAATTACAGACCTCTACATGCTTTGTAAGTAGGAAAACCTGCAAAATCGGCAGTGTATCAAATACTTGTTCTCCCCACTGTATGTGCTTTCTTGAACAGGGGGACCTTGCGGGCGCTGCATGATTTCAGTCCTTCACGGCGTAGTGTGTTACCAATTGTTTTCTTAGTGACTATGGTCCCAGCTTCCTTGAGATCATTGACAAGATCCTCCCGTGTAGTTCTGGGCTGATTCCTCACCGTTCTCATGATTATTGCAACTCCACGAGGTGAGATCTTGCATGGAGCCACAGGCCGAGGGAGATTGACAGTTATTTTGTGTTTCTTCCATTTGCGAATAATCGCAAACTGTTGTCACCTTCTCACCAAGCTGCTTGGTGATGGTCTTGTAGCCCATTCCAGCCTCGTGTAGGTCTACAATCTTGTCCCTGACATCCTTGGAGAGCTCTTTGGTCTTGGCCATGGTGGAGAGTTTGGAATCTGATTGATTGATTGCTTCTGTGGACAGGTGTCTTTTTATACAGGTAACAAGCTGAGATTAGGAGCACTCCCTTTAAGAGTGTGCTCCTAATCTCAGCTCGTTACCTGTATAAAAGACACCTGGGAGCCAGAAATCTTTCTGATTGAGAGGGGGTCAAATACTTGAAGCGGATTCTAAGCTACACAAACTGGAATATGTTACTGGATTCATCCGATGGCATTGAGGAGTTTACCACATCAGTCACCGGTTTCATTAATAAGTGAATCGACGATGTCATTCCCACAATGACCATACGTACATATAGGGCTGGGCGGAATACCGTATTTTACGGTATACCGGTATTGATGCACGGACCGGTTTGGGTTTTTGCTTTACCTTCTATAATGGTATTTTAATGTTTGGTTTGTTAAATGTGATACGGCAGGTGTAACGTTAATTTTTATAGTATACTTCGCTACCTGAGTCATCTCTCCGTTCTCTCTCACTCTCTCCATGCCGCTTTCCACACAAACCTAGCCCCGCCCCCTGTCACTCAAGGAGCGCATTTGGTTTTCCTCGACCACAAGACACTTGCTTTCAGTCTGCATGGTCAATGCAGCACATGGAATAATGTTGATGATGACCATACTGTGTTCACTATGCTTCTTAATATAAATCCACTAGCGTTCTATAATTACACTATTAGTTTGTGTTTCTTACATCTGCAAACAGCTAGTTTGTCTGTTCTTAGCAAGTTGGGCCTAAATGTTGTTAGCCGCTAATGCTAATCGCTAGTTAGCTGGCTAGCTAGCGGGCTGTCATGTGCCTTTTACTGATGAGTGGCTTCCATCTGTCCACTCTACGATAAAGGCCTGATTGGTGGAGTGACCATCAGGTTTTTGGTCACCTCCCTGACCAAGGCCGTATTCCCCTGATTGCTCAGTTTGGCCAGGCGGCCAGCTCTAGGAAGAGTCTTGGTGGTTCCAAACTTCTTCCATTTAAGAATGATGGAGGCCAATGTGTTCTTGGGGACCTTCAATGCTACAGAAATGTTTTGGTACCCTTCCCCAGATCTGTGCCTCAACACAATCCTGTCTCGGAGCTCTACGGACAATTCCTTCATCCTCATGGCTTGGTTTTTGCTCTGACATGCACTGTCAACTGTGGGACCTTATATAGACAGGTGTGTGCCTTTCCATATCATGTCCAATCAATTGAATTTACCACAGGTGGACTCCAATGAAGTTGTAGAAACATGAGCAATAGAAACAGGATGCAACTGAGCTCAATTTCAAGTCTCATAGCAAAGGGTCTGAATACTTATGTAAATAAGGTATTTCGGTTTTTATTTTTAATAAATATGCCAATTTCTAAACCTGTTTTCTCTTTGTCATTATTGGGTATTGCGTGTAGATTGAGGGGGAAAAATAATTTAATCATTTTAGGATAAGGCTGTAACGTAACAATGTCGAAAAATTTAAAGGGTTTGAATACTTTCCGAATGCACTGTATATGGCGCATAGAAGTCCGAAGAGGGTGGCCAGCAGAGATAGGTGGGATAGGCTGAGGGAAACTGAGTGTTTGGATGTGGAACTGGAGACAAGTGGGAGTGGAGTTGCTGGGCGGGGGATAGAATGATGGTCAAAGATAAAATAAAAAATAATAATACCAAAAATAAAGTATGTTTGAATGACACTGAGGGGCAACGCTGTTACGTCCAATGCCTGTTTGCCTGAGGCTGATGCCACGCAGGTGCTTGTACGCATGTACACATGCATATACACACACTCTCATTCAAATGCACACACGGACATGTACACACATGTAATTAGTGCCAGACATGCACTGAAACGTATACAGTTGGCCTTGCTTGATTTTTTTTTGGGGGGGGCTCGGGTGGTTGAGGGGCAGCTCTCGGGGAACTCTGGGGGGATCTTGCATGGTTGGTGACCTGGCGGTTGGGAGCTTGGGCCGGTGGCCGATGAGTCACTGGTTCGGGTCCCCATTTTGACTTTGTGGGAGATCTGTCGATGTGTCCCTTGGGCAGGGCGCTTGACCCTGGTTGCTCCTGTGGGTTGCTCTGGAGCGGCTTCACTGCAGGTGGATTGTATGTTTTTTAATATAAAAAATTAATTATACTGTTCGCAAAACAATGTCCATACAGGTTAGAACACATTACAATGCAAGAAGATACAGGTAGCTCCCAGCTTTGTAGGCTAACTTTTCTTGTTAGCTTACAGCTGAAGATATCATCAAAATATGCTGATTTCAAAGCTGATTGCCACAAACTTTATTCATTCCCTTGATTGGTCTATCATGACTCTTCCAAAGATGATCTATTGCCTCAGCAAACTGACTCCTGGCTGTCCCCCTCTTGCCTCGTGAATGACGAAAGAGACAGCGCACGCTTTTATTAAATGTGACTGACCACCTCGATTCGAAATTATGTAGCAACATTTGAAATTGTGTTTTTTACATTAGATAAAAGTAGAGACTCAGAGCTACAAAATAGTATATCATAAACTACAGTTGAGGAACAATGGGAAAGTAATTCTGCTTTGAAAGTTGATAAACCTGTAACCCCCACTTTTGAGAAAATGGCCCTTGAATGTTTTCGTACACCTACTGGAGAGCTCTTCTTTGACTACACCCACTCAGCATCGTTCACACCCTCTTAAGCCTTAGCCCCACCCATCTCTATTAGGATTCACATGTGTACAAGAACAATATCAGTGATACTGGTGATAAACAAGGTAGATATATGCATACAATAAGGGGTAAAGTGGCTGAACAGCAGGATTAAAAAAACCTTGCAAAAATAAATGGTAGAAGCAATGTATGACGTGTGTGTGTGTGTGTTAGGAGAGAGTCATGTGAATGTGCATAGAGGTACTGCAGATAGTCCTGATGACTGGGAACTCGCCCCCAGTGATGAACTGGTCCATCCGTACCACGCATGAACAAGGGAATCTAAGAGCCTGTTTCAGTCCTGCCCTTGACTTTGGTGCAGTGCATGTGATGTCCATGGCCTCTTCGTCGCAAAAAACTCCCTGAACTTCTCAAATATATGTTTGTCTAGTTGTGTCCAGTCCAGGTGGTGCTTGTACAGGCAGATCATCTATGGGAGGAAGGACGTCAGCGTTGTGCTGCAGCCGAAACCTGGTCCTGACTGAGTCCCAACGCTCCTTGTCGACAACAACACCAGGCTCCAGAGCATCGAAGCTGTAAAACAGGAAAATAGACAAAAAGATAGAAGACATTACAACCTTGCATAACATCAATTGACCTCCCAATTTAGATAGTAAGAATAACCTCCTACAATGTAATGAAAATGATATTCACCTGAAGTGCTGGTACTGCTTGATCTGTGCTGGTACAGAGTCAGGTGTTGTTGCCAGCCATAGCTTTCCACCAGCACCATACCATCCTCCAGTCCAACCAGCTGTGGGATGTTGACCCCTGTCACAGTGCTGTCATTCACCACTCCAGCAATCTCTCCACAGATTCCTGAAGGAAGACAGCCTGACTACACGTACCTCTGAAAAATACACAAATAATGTGAGAGTCATAACAATTGCGGCAATCATGTTAGAGGTCAATGAAATCATCAAAATATGTGTTGTTTATGCTTTACATAGCAAGCGTTGTCATCGATTCCTTGTAGAGACGCTACACTGCTGCTTTTGTCACATGAGATGGCAGCAGCTTTCTACCAAAGTGTTTGTACCCTGGGTGGCGTCCTGGTAATACTATTGCATTATCCTTTGCATAGTTGTTGATGAAGTTCACAACTCATTGCAAGTCCTCATGCTTCAGATGTAACCTGTGCTTGCTTGGGCCGGCTCTCATTTTGATGGGAGGCAATAGACCATTCTACTTGTATGCCTGGTGGAGGAGAGTCAGGCGTGTTCTACTGATGCTGAAAGACAAATTCCAGATACAAATATTTTAGCACTATTATACAATAGATGGCCGTAATCAACGCCAGACACACCTGGCTAACTTTTATGGGTCATGTAATCATCTGGCGAAGTGGAGTCTTTTGTTTAGACATGTAGCTAGCTAGCTAAACAATGAACCATAATCCCAACCCATAGAGTAGCAATACAAACCGATTGTCATAGCTAGCTAACGCTACCCAACTAGGTTCAATAGCTAGCTAACATTAGGCTATAACTAGCAATGCAAATGAATTTCTGAGATACGAATAATATTGCTACACAGATCATACAGGTAACATTAGCTAGTAAGCCAGCCAGCTAACGTTAGCTAGCTAGCTAACAGTACGTTTTAACTTGGAGTCTTTTGTTTAGACATGTAACTAGCTAGCTAAACAATGAACCATCATCCCAATCCATAGAGTACTAGCAATACAAACCGATTGTCATAGCTTTCTGACAAAATTAGAAACGTATAATATCTGAAAATGTAGCTATTCTCTTACCTATATACATGGATGAACTCTTCTTGACAGACTGCAACCCCTTTCATTAAATAAGACGTCCTGTGTTGTTTCCGTTTTGTTTGTACAGCTTGCTTGGCCTGTTGTGTCAAGTCACTCTAGTTCACACTGACCGTGTGCAATGGCATAAGAATCATCAGGTCTTTCTCTGTCACGGATGCCATTGTTGCCTTTAGTTTGAAGATGTAATCCGGATAAACACTTTTGCAGTTCTCCATGATATCTTAAAAAAAAGCTGCAGTAGAAAAGATTATCTACACATACCGAACAGCTCATGTTATTAGCAGAAGGTGCTACATGGCAGGCCAATCCGAACTAATCTCTCGGCATGTCCAGCCCATTCATTATCTCAGCCAGTCATGGCTATTGGGAAGGTTCCTGTCTTTTTCCTTGGCTAATTTTAACAATTGTATTCGTATTTACAGATGGCATAGAAGTTTGTTATTAAGGCACATGAAAGTTCACATGTTCCAGAAGGCATTTCTGCCAAAAAACACATGATGATAAAATAAAATAAAACACTTTTAAATGCCTCCTGTGAAGTAGTGACGTGCGACATACGCCTAGTTTCCTGAAACAAGTCACAAATAAGATACTTCTATGCAAATGTTGTTGATCAGTACAATAAAATAAGTCCCAAATGGAAGGGAACTAGATTGTTTGTCATCTGTATCCCCATGAAATCAGCCAAAACAAGCTCAATAAATCTATGCATGCATTGGCCTAGGCTACATCTTGATTTACCCAGTTTATCAATAGAGATTTACCATTCAAATAAATGATTACCAGCATGTTATGTCGTTAGATTGGTAAAAACAAAGTCAAATTGATTGTATGATTTGTATAATTTATTCATTAATGCATACATAACATTTCAAATGTGATGATATTGAACTCAAAAGATGCCCAACAATTGAACAGAGCAGTAGCTGAGTTTATCTGTCTGGATCAAGTGCCATTCTAAGCCTTCTTTTTTTGCAGTGGTATAGTTTTGGTATCGATGTTATCAAGAATCGTGATACTAAACCTGGTATCAGTATCGAAGTCAAAATTCTGGTGTTGTGACAGCACTACTCGGTACTGGTACCCTGTGTATATAGCCAAGTTATCGTTACTCGTTGTGTATTTATTATAACTTTTATTATTATTACGTAATATTACTTTTCTATTATTTCTCTATTTTCTTTCTCTGCATTATTTGGTTGGGCCCCTAAGTAAGCGTTTCACTGTTAGTCTACACCTGTTGTTTACGAAGCATGTGACAAATAACATTTGATTGAGGCCAGTTTTATAACCTTTGAATGCACATGTAAGCTCACTGCTCTATGACATTTCCACAAGGCCTAGAATAACATTGGCATAATTATCCACTGCTCACTGACTTTGTTAGTTTATAACAAGATGATTTTGCCAGGATGCCATCCTAACTGATGGTTAGGCTAGTCTTTAACCTCGGTCTCTAGGCTTCATTCTCTCCCGAGATCTCTCACTCTCTCATGCGCTCTCCTTGCCTTGTGTACCTGGGACTGTTTACTCTTCACAACTACACACGCAGCCTCTTTCCCAGAATCCTCAAACACTGTGGCTTTCTCGCACTGCAGAGCCTTCCTCTTTGTGAGGGACAACATTCCAAGCATGTCTGTTTATCTGCTGGAAGCTGTCTAATCAGGGAATTAGGGAGAAAGAGAGGATAGGGTTGTAGGACAAGGAGGAAAGAGAGAGAAGGCAGATTTTGGCTTTTTTGCTCGGCCTAAGCATGCCTCTCTTCTCTGATCGAGACTGGGAGAGCTGCGACTACAGCGCCTCATTAAGTGTTTGTCTTTTCAAAATGGCTGCCTGTGTGTATTGTAATTGAGAACATGTGGTGAAAATTCATTACAGCTATATGTGTTGTTGCCATGTTCAAGAAGCTGTCTGCCAGTGGCAGGCCCAGCTAGGTAGAACTTTACAGAGGCATATGTTGCTGTCTTTTGTCTTAGATTCAGCATTCATCCTCATTTGATATAATTATATCTGTGTGCTAGAGGCTCTGCTTCGATTAATTAAGCAGGATAATTACCATATGTGACAGGGACTGAAGGTTTGAATGTGAAATCTCCTCCTTTCACAGCTAATATTAACATTGATACCCTAAGTGGCTGCCAAACTATCACTGGCATTGAAAAAACCTTCACAAACTACAGCGTCATTGAGAGAATATTAGTACTGTCTGTAAATCTGTATACGTTAGTCATGACTCTTTGAACACATTCATATTGTGATGCCCTAGCCTAACCCAATCATCCCCTTCATTGATTCAACGCCCTAAATAGAAACCAAAGCTCACTACTGTGTAGAATGTCATGTGACCGTCCCAGCAGCCCAAAGGTCATGACGATAGGCTAGGCTATATGAAAGTCACGTCGCTCTCTGCAAAGAGCAATATAAGCATCACACGGACAACAATATTCAGCTTAGTCACATAGTTTGTCCATGGTAGAGCCACTCCAATCAATGAGTAAAGATCCTGAGAATAGTGTTTGTTTGATTCTTTGATTGACCCTGGTGATTAACATGATTAAAGGTCGACTGTAATCATCATTTGCATTTCTGCTGGTTGCTAGGGGACAGCACTTAATCCTCCATCCCTGATTGTATGCAGACAGATCAGGAGAGAGGGTGAAGAGGTGGAAATATGCTTCTAGAATGTAGCCGATACCAACCCTGTAATGTTTACCAGTGTTTTCCACAAGCACATGGAGTAGCCAGCCAAATAGAAAAAGTAGCCAGCCAGGCTCCCCCAATTTTGGTGGCCTCTGTTACATTCTGATTTGTATTTTCGACAAGCAACTATAAGGAAATAGCACTAATCCATTTTTTCCCACACTTTTACTGTAGACTAGGTTTCCATCCAATTGGCAACAGATTTTCATGCGAATATTCTAAAATCTGCGCATTTTCCCACCAGAAGTGTTTCCTTCAAATTGACTAGTTGTAGATAAAAGGCTGTGGTTGATGACGTAGTGCACAAAACATTTTTATCAAATCAAATCAAATTTTATTGGCCACATGCGCCGAATACAACAGGTGCAGACATTACAGTGAAATGCTTACATTACAGCCCTTAACCAACAGTGCATTTATTTTTAACAAAAAAGTAAAAATAAAACAACAACCAAAAAAGTGTTGAGAAAAAAAGAGCAGAAGTAAAATAAAATAACAGTAGGGAGGCTATATATACAGGGGGGTACCGGTGCAGAGTCAATGTGCGGGGGCACCGGCTAGTTGAGGTAGTTGAAGTAATATGTACATGTGGGTAGAGTTAAAGTGACTATGCATAAATAATTAACAGAGTAGCAGCAGCGTAAAAGGATGGGGTGGAGGGGCAGTGCAAATAGTCTGGGTAGCCATGATTAGCTGTTCATGAGTCTTATGGCTTGGGGGTAGAAGCTGTTGAGAAGTCTTTTGGACCTAGACTTGGCACTCCGGTACCGCTTGCCGTGCGGTAGCAGAGAGAACAGTCTATGACTAGGGTGGCTGGAGTCTTTGACAATTTTGAGGGCTTTCCTCTGACACCGCCTGGTATAGAGGACCTGGATGGCAGGAAGCTTGGCCCCAGTGATGTACTGGGCCGTACGCACTACCCTCTGTAGTGCCTTGCGGTCGGAGGCCAAGCAGTTGCCATACCAGGCGGTGATGCAACCAGTCAGGATGCTCTCGATGGTGCAGCTGTAGATTTTTTTGAGGATCTGAGGACCCATGCCAAATCTTTTCAGTCTCCTGAAGGGGAATAGGCTTTGTCGTGCCCTCTTCACGACTGTCTTGGTGTGTTTGGACCATGATAGTTCATTGGTGATGTGGACACCAAGGAACTTGAAGCTCTCAACCTGTTCCACTACAGCCCCGTCGATGAGAATGGGGGCGTGCTCAGTCCTCTTTTTTTCCCTGTAGTCCACAATCATCTCCTTTGTCTTGGTCACGTTGAGGGAGAGGTTGTTGTCCTGGCACCACACGGCCAGGTCTCTGACCTCCTCCCTATAGGCTGTCTCATCGTTGTCGGTGATCAGGCCTGCCACTGTTGTGTCGTCGGCAAACTTAATGATGGTGTTGGAGTCGTGCCTGGCCATGCAGTCATGGGTGAACAGGGAGTACAGGAGGGGACTGAGCACGCACCCCTGAGGGGCCCCCGTGTTGAGGATCAGTGTGGCAGATGTGTTGTTACCTACCCTTACCACTTGGGGGCGGCCCGTCAGGAAGTCCAGGATCCAGTTGCAGAGGGAGGTGTTTAGTCCCAGGATCCTTAGCTTAGTGATGAGCTTTGAGGGCACTATGGTGTTGAATGCTGAGCTGTAGTCAATGAATAGCATTCTCACGTAGGTGTTCCTCTTGTCCAGGTGGGAAAGGGCAGTGTGGAGTGCAATAGAGATTGCATCATCTGTGGATCTGTTGGGGCGGTATGCAAATTAGAGTGGGTCTAGGGTTTCTGAGATAATGCTGTTGATGTGAGCCATGACCAGCCTTTCAAAGCACTTCATGGCTACAGACGTCAGTGCTACGGGTCGGTAGTCATTTAGGCAGGTTATCTTAGAGTCCTTGGGCACGGGGACTATGGTGGTCTGCTTGAAACATGTTGGTATTACAGACTCAGTCAGGGACATGTTGAAAATGTCAGTGAAGACACTTGCCAGTTGGTCAGCACATGCTCGGAGTACACGTCCTGGTAATCCGTCTGGCCCTGTGGCCTTGTGAATGTTGACCTGGTTAAAAGTCTTACTCACATCGGCTGCGGAGAGCGGGATCACATAGTCATCCGGAACAGCTGGTGCTCTCATGCATGCTTCAGTGTTGCTTGCCTCGACGCGAGCATAGAAGTGGTTTAGCTCGTCTGGAAGTCTTGTGTCACTGGGCAGCTCGCGACTGTGCTTCCCTTTGTAGTCTGTAATAGTTTTCAAGCCCTGCCACATCCGACGAGCGTCAGAGCCAGTGTAGTACGATTCAATCTTAGTCCTGTATTGACTCTTTGCCTGTTTGATGGTTCGTCGGAGGGCATAGCGGGAATTCTTATACGCGTCCGGGTTAGAGTCCCGCTCCTTGAAAGCGGCAGCTCTACCCTTTAGCTCAGTGCGGATGTTTCCTGTAATCCATGGCTTCTGGTTGGGATATGTACGTACGGTCACTGTGGGGACGACATCATCAATGCACTTATTGATGAAGCCAGTGACTGATGTGGTGTACTCCTCAATGCTATCTGAAGAATCCCAGAACATGTTCCAGTCTGTGCTAGCAAAACAGTCCTGTAGCTTAGCATCTGTGTCATCTGACCACTTTTTTATTAACCGAGTCACTGGTGCTTCCTGCTTTAGTTTTTGCTTATAAGCAGGAATCAGGAGGATAGAGTTATGGTCAGATTTGCCAAATGGAGGGCGAGGGAGAGCTTTGTATGCGTCTCTGTGTGTGGAGTAAAGGTGGTCTAGAGTTTTTTTTCCTCTGGTTGCACATTTAACATGCTGGTAGAAATGAGGTAGAACGGATTTAAGTTTCCCTGCATTAAAGTCCCCGGCCACTAGGAGCACTGCATCTGGATGAGCGTTTTCCTGTTGATTTATGGCCTTATACAGCTCATTCAGTGCAATCTTAATGCCAGCATTGGTTTGTGGTGGTAAATAGACAGCTATGAAAAATATAGATGAAAACTCTCTTGGTAAATAGTGTGGTCTACAGCTTATCATAAGATACTCTACCTCAGGCGAGTAAAACCTCGAGACTTCCTTAGTATTTGATTTTGTGCACCAGCTGTTGTTTACAAATATACACAGACCGCCACCCCTTGTCTTACCGGAGTCAGCCGTTCTATCCTGCCGATGTAGCGTATAGCCCGCTAGCTGTATGTTGTCCATGTCGTCGTTCAGCCACGACTCGGTGAAACACAAGATATTACAGTTTTTAAAGTCCCGTTGGTAGGATAACCGTAATCTTAAGTCATCCAATTTGTTCTCCAATGATTGAAGATTGGCTAATAGGATTGATGGGAGCGGCAGTTTACTCGCTCGCCGTCGGATCCTTACAAGACACCGACCTACGTCCATGATATCTCCGTCTCTTCCTCATGCGAATGACGGGGATTTGGGCCTTGTCGGGTGTCTGTAGGATATCCTTCGCGGCCGCCTCGTTGAAGAAAAAATCTTCGTCCAATACGAGGTGAGTAATCGCTGTCCTGATATCCAGAAGTATCTATAGCCACAGTAAAACGAGTCCTATATCGACATAACCTAAAAGGCAGCTCAGCAAGGAAGAAGCCACTGCTCCAAAACCGCCATAAAAAAGCCAGACTACGGTTTGCAACTGCACATTGGGACAAAGATAGTACTTTTTGGAGAAATGTCCTCTGGTCTGATGAACCAAAAATAGAACTGTTTGGCCATAATGACCATCGTTATGTTTGAAGGAAAAAGGGGAACGCTTGCAAGCCGAAGAACACCATCCCAACCGTAAAGCACGGGGGTGGCAGCATCATGCTGTGGGGGTGCTTTGCTGCAGGAGGGACTGGTGCACTTCACAAAATAGATGGCATCATGAGGAAGGAAAATTGTGGATATATTAAAGCAACATCTCAAGACATCAGTCAGGAAGTTAAAGCTTTGTCGCAAATGGGTCTTCCAAATGGACAATGACCCCAAGCGTACTTCCAAAGTTGTGGCAAAATGGCTTAAGGACAACAAATCAAGGTATTGGAGTGGCCATCACAAAGCCCTGACCTCAATCCTATAGAAAATGTGTGGGCAGAACTGAAAAAGCGTGTGCAAGCAAGGAGGCCTACAAACCTGACTCAAAATTTATTGTGGGAAGCTTGTGGAAGGCTACCCGAAACGTTTGACCCAAGTTAAACAATTTAAAGGCAATGCTACCAAATACTAATTGAGTGCATGTAAACTTCTGACCCACTGGAGATGTGATGAAAGAAATAAAAGCTGAAATGAATAATTCTCTCTACTATTGTTCTGATGTTTCACATTCTTAAAATAAAGTGGTGATCCTAACTGAACTAAGACAGGGAATTTTTACTAGGATTAAATGTCAGGAATTGTGAAAACTGAGTTTAATTGTATTTGGCTAAGGTGTATGTAAACTTCCAACTTCAACTGTGTGTCTGTGTGTGTATATATACAGTGGGGAGAACCAAGTATTTGATACACTGCCGATTTTGCAGGTTTTCCTACTTACAAAGCATGTAGAGGTCTGTAATTTTTATCATAGGTACACTTAAACCGTGAGAGACGGAATCTAGAAAATCCAGAAAATCACATTGTATGATTTTTAAGTAATTCATTTGCATTTTATTGCATGACATAAGTATTTGATACATCAGAAAAGCAGAACTTAATATTTGGTACAGAAACCTTTGTTTGCAATTACAGAGATCATACGTTTCCTGTAGGTCTTGACCAGGTTTGCACACACTGCAGCAGGGATTTTGGCCCACTCCTCCATACAGACCTTCTCCAGATCCTTCAGGTTTCGGGGCTGTCGCTGGGCAATACGGACTTTCAGTTCCCTCCAAAGATTTTCTATTGGGTTCAGGTCTGGAGACTGGCTAGGCCACTCCAGGACCTTGAGATGCTTCTTACGGAGCCACTCCTTAGTTGCCCTGGCTGTGTGTTTCGGGTCGTTGTCATGCTGGAAGACCCAGCCACGACCCATCTTCAATGCTCTTACTGAGGGAAGGAGGTTGTTGGCCAAGATCTCACGATACATGGCCCCATCCATCCTCCCCTCAATACGGTGCAGTCGTCCTGTCCCCTTTGCAGAAAAGCATCCCCAAAGAATGATGTTTTCACCTCCATGCTTCACGGTTGGGATGGTGTTCTTGGGGTTGTACTCATCCTTCTTCTTCCTCCAAACACAGCGAGTGGAGTTTAGACCAAAAAGCTCTATTTTTGTATCATCAGACCACATGACCTTCTCCCATTCCTCCTCTGGATAATCCAGATGGTCATTGGCAAACTTCAGATGGGCCTGGAAATGCGCTGGCTTGAGCAGGGGGACCTTGTGTGCACTGCAGGATTTTAATCCATGATGGCGTAGTGTGTTACTAATGGTTTTCTTTGAGACTGTGGTCCCAGCTCTCTTCAGGTCATTGACCAGGTCCTGCCGTGTAGTTCTGGGCTGATCCCTCACCTTCCTCATGATCATTGATGCCCCACGAGGTGAGATCTTGCATGGAGCCCCAGACCAAGGGTGATTGACCGTCATCTTGAACTTCTTCCATTTTCTAATAATTGCGCCAACAGTTGTTGCCTTCTCACCAAGCTGCTTGCCTATTGTCCTGTAGCCCATCCCAGCCTTGTGCAGGTCTACAATTTTATCCCTGATGTCCTTACACAGCTCTCTGGTCTTGGCCATTGTGGAGAGGTTGGAGTCTGTTTGATTGAGTGTGTGGACAGGTGTCTTTTATACAGGTAATGAGTTCAAACAGGTGCAGTTAATACAGGTAATGAGTGGAGAACAGTAGGGCTTCTTAAAGAAAAACTAACAGGTCGGTGAGAGCCGGAATTCTTACTGGTTGGTAGGTGATCAAATACTTATGTCATGCAATAAAATGCAAATTAATTACTTAAAAATCATACAATGTGATTTTCTGGATTTTTGTTTTAGATTCCGTCTCTCACAGTTAAAGTGTACCTATGATAAAAATTACAGACCTCTACATGCTTTGTAAGTAGGAAAACCTGCAAAATCGGCAGTGTATCAAATACTTGTTCTCCCCACTGTGTATATATATATATATATATGTATATTGTGTGTTATGTTATATATTTATATGTGTGTATATAATATATGTATATATTATATTGTGTGTGTGGAAAAATACATGTTTAAAAATGTCGCCCAATCTATTGACGACTCTCGGTCGACCAAGACTTTATTTTAGTCGGGAACAGCCCTACTATATTGAAGGTTTACTTTTTTAAATCACTTTGCCTAAAATCAGTACGCTCAGCGAGTAGATTGATGGGCACTTATTTTTGCTCTGGACAGCTCGCGTGTGCTGTGTGACGGCATGTACCGCTCAAAGTTGTGACTCGAGAGCGTGGTGGTGCTTGAATGAATGGCTAATCATATTGCTCATATACAAATAGCATGACAATTTCGCATACAGTCTTCAATGGTTGACTGCGACAGAGCAGGTAAATGTTGAACTGGAATGCAGCAATGTGCTAAAATGTTGCTGGCCCTTTCGAACCAGTGACTGAACACTGGCCCAACACATGTTTATACTGGCCAAGTGCCACGGGCCATCATTAATGTCGGACCCTGCACGCAAAATAAAATAAATGAATGGATTTCGACTCATCATTACTACATTATGGGACGTGCAAATTCATGCTCTCTCCCTCCGTATACGTTTTTTGGGACTGCACACAACATACACCCAGATACCGAGAGGCGGGACAGACAGCAGACTGTCAGACCAGCAGCGTTTCCCTGTCATTGCTCACTTTGTGACTGACAGATGGTTGTCCTATCAATAGAGCTCTAGAATATGCATATTGTTCATTCTAGCAGGAGAGGGCTCGGCAGACTTTTTTCTGACTAGCGAATTGAAAAGTAGCCTATTTTTTTAAGTGGGAAAAGTACCTGGCTGAAAATGAGTCTGTAATCGTCTGTAAACTTTGTTGCTCCTTGCTGAAACAAGCAAGGTGTTGCAGCAAACGAGCACACAAAGGTGCAGCAGCAGAACATAGAAATAGAATCTATGGCAGCACATGCAGTCATGAGCAGAGAAGAGGAAAAAATGTGTCTTAATATATATATGAGTGGCGCAGTGGTCTAAGGCACTGCATTGCAGTGCTAACTGTGCTACTAGAGATCCTGGTTCGAATCCAGGCTCTGTCGCAGCCGGCCGCGACCAGGGAGACTCATGGGCGGGCGCACAATTGGCCCAGCGTCGTCCAGGGTAGGGGAGGGAATGGGCCGGTATAAACCTTGTAAGAATATGCACACACACTTACAATGGTGTTACAGAGGATTGACGTGTGGTACCGCCATTTTACTTTGTATACATATTTTTTTTTTCTTCTTCTTTTTTTTCTCTGGCGATTGGGCCTATTTCAGTATCTTTACCAGCCATATAACCAAATGCCTGTCAGTGCCAACCACGTGGTGTTGACCGGTCTGAATGGTCTCCCTGCTGCAGGTTGGGTGATAAGTTCTACAAGGATGCCATTGAGCAGTGCCGCAGCTACAATGCCCGCCTATGTGCTGAGCGCAGTGTGCGCCTGCCCTTCTTGGACTCCCAGACTGGCGTGGCACAGAACAACTGCTACATCTGGATGGAGCGCCACCACCGCAGCCCTGGTGGGTAGAGATAGAGAAGCATGATGGCTGGCTCTGTGGTTTACTAAAACTATCATTCAGTTGTTGAGGTTTACTGGGTAGTGTCATCTGTGTCTAAATATGTCCATATAATGATATCCAATAGTGTTCATGTTGCCTCCAACGAGAACCCTTCATATATATACAACTGTGTAAGGATATTGAGTTAACTCATTTAGGGTCGATAAGCAACACATTATGTATCAGGCTGGGTGTGGGGTGGGGGGGCAGTGAGACCTGTGAGGTGTATTCTTCAGTTCCTGTCTCTCTGTTTATAGGGGTGGCTGCAGGTCAGATGTACACATACCCCGCCCGCTGCTGGAGGAAGAAGAGGCGGCTGCACACCTCCATGGACCCTCCGTTGCGCCTCTGTGGCCTCCAGCTAGGTAATAGAACCCCCCCCCACACACACACACACACACACACACACACACACAAAACTCCTGCATCTCTCTGCTGTGTCTCATCACCAGTCAGTCCAGTGCATTCATCTCCCATTCTATTATCTTGTTATTATTTATGATCTGGAATCATCTAACTGAAAGCACATCATTCCATTTCAGTGTGGAAAGCAAACAGCCTGCTAGTCACTTTTTATCAAATGAAAAGTGCTCAGTTCAGTGAGCCAGTAAACTTGTTTTGTGAGAACTAGAACATGTAATCAAATTTTTGCCTTCTCAGCTGGGAGGAGAAGGACCGGAATCACAACAGACTGCATTAAATAAATGTTATGAAAAATAGAGTTTGTCGCTGCTCCTCAGATAAGTTCCTGAGCATTTTCTCACCAAATTGCTCACTCTATCACCCACGTCTATTTATTTTTACATTTTAGTCATTTAGCAGACGCTCTTATCCAGAGCGACTTACAGTTAGTGCATACATTTTTTTACCTGTTCATTCCTACACTCCCACACATTAAGTCACTCCGCCCTACACTATCTCACCCCCCCTCAGCTATTTTCGCTCCCGAGCGCTCCTCACTCTCTCACTGCTATGTTGGCTGGGTTTCTTACCTGGTCAGCTCACCAGAGCTTAAGTAACTGGTCAGTTCTGGGGCTATGGCCTCCAGGGATGTAACACTAGCCTAAATAATGGGCTTTTCTTAAATTCCTAATAATAACTTTTCATAACTGATGGTTCAGTTCCCTTTTGCTGTTTCCCAGAAACATGGTTCTCAAAAATAGTTTTGAAATAGCCACCATAATCCTGTTGAGATTAATAATAATACTCAGGTTTGTATTGTTCTTCTGATTGAGAGGGGTTGGGTTAAATGCGGAAGACACATTTAGGTTGAATGCATTCAGTTGTGCAACTGACTAGGTATCCCCTTTCCCTTTCTCATGGTTTTGATCAAACTGGCTTCCAAGTTATTTGTAAGGGACTTGTTGGAAGAGTGAATATGTTATGAATATGTAGAACGAGGGAGAGCGCAAAAGAGCGAGAGCGAGAATGAAACCCAGCCTTTGTTTCACTCACACTTCCTATTGTAATGTTTTCACTGAGCCTCACTCTGCTCTTCTCTACCTGTCACTAAGACACCCTGCTCTAACAGTAACACTGTGTAACATACCAGTAAATGTGATCTGTGCCCAGTAGTGGAGCACTACCTGGCTCTGCCTGGTGTCTCCAGACTCTCCACTGGGAGAGGGCCTTCTCCTGTAGCTGGGCAGTGGTAGCTAGCGCTGCAGCCAGCCGGCGTTAGTGCTGCTGGCGGTCTGACTGGCGGTGATAGAGGGAGACTTAGGCTGCATGCAGAATCAGCTCCCTGCTGCAGGCTGCCTGCTCTATTTTTAGCCTGCAGCTCCCAGGGGGGAGAGGCTGTCTAGTCGCTGAGAGTTGAAAGTCAACGTGTGCAGACACAATGGTGAGGGGCTTCGGAGTGTATGAGCCCTCAGAGTTGCTAGCATATGGTAGTTAGTGCATACCCCTGCCTCCCCCTGTTCTATCTCCACCTCTACCTACTTAGATCCTCACCACTCATCAACAGCTGCATGTTAGCATTCAGCTCAGGGAGGGAGGTGATTTCACTTGGTGAGATGAGTGTCTGTGAAGGTATGATAAAAAGCTTAAGTTGAGGCTTTGAAGTCTGTCCTCTTTCTTAACATCATGAGGCTACTGCTGAATGAAATACCTTTCAGTGAAGAAAAAGTCTATGATGTCCAGGCTAGACTGACTACCAGCCAATGTTAGTCTTTTATCTCATCCACACTCTGTTTTGACCTCTATCACAATACAAGAAGAGAATCCTATGGAACATTTACATTAAAGGGACAGTTCACCCAAATCACAAATGTACCTACATTTATGGACAGTTTGTTTAGTTACAACTTTGCATTAACATTATTGAGTGTTAAAAAAAAATGGCAGGTCGTCCCTGTTAGCATGCTCTAAATAGCAAGCCCACATTAGCCTAGCTTTGTAACACGGCATTACATTGGATTAAGCTATCTTTCATCTGCTGAATAGAAACATAAACTATCTCACCTCCCTAATGAAGGGATTTGGTGTATTATAGTGATGCTTTCAAAAAGCAAGCCATTTGTATGTTCCCGGGAAAGACTGACTAAATGCGGTGCTGCCTGTCAGTGTCTTTAGAGTTACTGCTATACAATGTCTACTTTGATTGATGTGACGGGCGGCTCCCGGGTTTGTTTGATTTACTTGTGTGATTATTCCTTTTTATCCAGATGGAGGACTCACAGGCAAGGATGTGATTCCCACACAGGGCACCACGCTGGAGGCTCTTCTCAGAGGGGAGGGCTTAGACCAGAGGAACAACTCAAAGGACGAGGAGAGCCTCCTAGAGATCCAGGTGGGTCCTAATGAAGTTTTAACCCAATGGCTTCTGAGCATAATAACAGAACTCCCTGGAACAGTGTATAAGAGCTAGGACTGTCCCCGACAAACAAAAAAATGTCATCCTGTTCTTTCAACCAATCGATTGATCGAAATGTTTGAAACTTATTTTTCTATATGTAGACAGACACACCCTATGTGTTTGAATAAAACCAACTACGTATGCACTAGGGGTGGGCGATATTAACAAAAATTCATATCAAGATATTTTCCACTGTCCGGACGATAATGATATAATATCACGATATACTGTAAAAAAATAAATAATCAAAGTTAATAAATTACTAAATATTGCTTTTAACCTTATAGAAACAGAAAGGGGGCATTGCACATTTTTTAAATTATTATTTGTTTTACTTCTGTGGTAAACCTGTGCAAACATGAAACATAAACAAAGGTATATGAGTTAAATAAATATGCAGTAAAATTTTATAAAAAAATATTTGAAGTACTCAGGATGTAAACTTTTTCCTGCCAAATATAAGAAGTGCAGTCTTTTTTCAGCATAACACCGGTCATTATGAATTCAAGTTGTAAACCTTTTCAAATTAACTTCAAGCATTAACCAGACAGTCTGTATGTTTCTCAGTTCAGCATGTAACAATTCACTGCCTGTGGTCCTCTGTAGCTCAATTGGTAGAGCATGGCGCTTGTAACGCCAGGGTAGTGGGTTCGATCCCCGGGACCACCCATACGTAAAAATTTATGCGCACATGACTGTAAGTCGCTTTGGATAAAAGCGTCTGCTAAATGGCTTATTATTATTATTATTATTATTATTATTATTATTATTATTATTACTGCCTCCCTCTTCACAAGTTCCGTGCCAGGAACACCAGCCTATTGACAGTTTCTGGCTTCAAAGTTGCCCTGTGGCATGTGACCACATTGCCCCCAGTGCTAAATGCTCTCTCAGAGGGCGAACTTGTGGCAGGGATGCATAAGTATTTCTTTGTCAGACAACTCAATTGTGGGAAGTTGGATGCGTGAACTCGCCACCACTCCAAAGGATCAGCCTCACTGTCTGCTGCCATCATCAGAGTGTAGCGGTCCAGCTCTTGCTCGGTGACCTGTCTCTGGGTTCTTAAAGCAGGTGCACTACTGGTTTTCTTAAAGAAGCTCCCAAGGCTCTTCTTGGACTTCTTTGCTGATTGTGGAGCAGTGGCAGCTTCTTTCTCTCTCACTCTGGTCCTCTTCAAAAGAGAAGTCTCCCACGGCTGTGTTCCCTACCAGGAGGGCTTCTGTCTCGGAGGCAGCTCTCACCTTCACCTCCACCAGCTTCTCAGTGGTCATGTAGGTGGTCTTGAACATTGGGTCCAGAAAGGTAGCCATGGTGAGGAGCTCATCTGTTTCAGGGTCTGTGTATTTGTCATTCAGGTAATTGAGGACCCTCATCTTAATCTCTCCGGTCAGTTTGGCTTCGCCCTCATTTGATTTCAGAACCTCCGTCTTGAACAAATGGAGGACCGGCTTCAGATAGGAGACACTCACGTATGTCTCTCCTGACAGGGCATCTGTGAAATCCTGGAAGGGCTTAAGTGCTGCCGTGATAGATTCAAAGACCTCAATGTCTTGCCAGGAGGGTGCAAGGTGCTGTGTTTTTTTGTCTGCTGCCAGGACTTGTATGATGGCCTTTTCCTGCTCCAGGACTCTTTCCATCATCTGCAGTCGAGATCCCCACCTTGTCTGGGATTCCGCGATGAGCTTGTGGAGGGGCAGGCTCAGTTTAACTGTGCACTTGTCAGGGCCTTCTGCTTCTTCCAACTATAGGAAAATGTGCTGACCACTTTCTTGCACACTCCTGTGGCCCGGGAAACCCGAGGTTCATTTTGGACACTCCTCTCTGCAAAATAAAAAGGTGAAAAATAATTACAAATGTAATCCATCTATAGATTTACAAACAACTGTTGTGATGAAGATAGCTATGTTGCTTTAGAAAACTGGATCATTTGAGTAGGCTATTTATTATTGAAAGAGAGAGGATAGATTAATATATTGAAACCATAGGCTAATGTATCAATTATAAATAAAAGCAACGTAATCCTAATATTCTAGATTTGCATAGCTGTATATATCCGGTTTAACGTATAAGAAGGATCAGGCAGTGTAGTCAGCTCTAACTTTAAACAGAGGATATACGGAATACAATAGTTATTCTGCATTTTATGTTGTTTTTAAGTGACGTTATTTTTCTACCTAGCTGTATGTGTTTTGGACGTTGAAACTTACCAATAGCAATGTGGAGCCTGTGTCCATTTGTTCAGCTCCAATGCTTTGTCGGTAGTTATACATACTTGACGCGACTCTTTCAAGCCCCAGAATGAAAGTGCCTCCCTCAGCCCAGCTGCAATTATTTCTCCGGTGTGGTCGTCTGGGAAATAAGAGGTCTGAAGGCATTTGCTTTGCAGCTTCCAGTTGTCGTCAATGTAATGAATCGTGAGGCTAATGCATGGCTCTGTGGTCCGGCATGACCATAAGTCGGCAGTGGTAGAGAAGAATGCAGCGTTACGGATTTCGTTGGCAACTCTGTCCCGACATTCTGTGTAGAGTTCTGGCAGACATGTTTTGCTGAAGTATTTACGGCTCGGGATCTCGTATCTTGTGTCTAGAGTTCGAATCATCTTTCTGAAACCGTCTTTCTCCACAGTTTGAATTGGTTCCATGTATTTTGCTAAATGATACGTAATTGCACTCGTTATCTCATTCCACTTCTTGCTCTTCTTGTCAGTTCCAAACGACAGAGGAGGCCCCCTTTTTTCAAACCAATTCTTCGTCGTCCTGCAAATCAATCTCAATAGCGTTATTTTCCTTGTCTTCAGTCATCCTCAATGCTTGATTTTCGGACACTTTTGCTAACGAAAGGAGTTTACTTCACTAAATGTTTGCTTACTCTGCAGTTGCGCATGCTTGTTTGTTGACTTTGATTGGCAGGCAGATCGCGTGTAACGTCCATGCTTCTAGTTTTTTTTTCTTTGCTAAAAAAGGCTATGTTTCTAGTAAAATAAACAATTTGAACTTGCCCACTAGGCTGTATCACTCACCATACATTTTAAACGAAACAAAAACGCCTTATTTCATACATTAATTTATCATGATATGCACGATATGGCAAAATCCATATCACGGCACAACGTCATACCGGTATTCACATTCATACCGGTATACCTCACACCCCTAATATGCACTGAGCTTGTCTACATAAGCACACTGTTTGATTAAATAATGAAGACACACAAATGACTCAAAGAGCCCGATGGTCACACTGTTAAAAAAAAATGACAGCGAGTGCCTGTGTGACTGGCGCACATTGTCTCGCTCTCCTCCCTATTGCAGCGAAAATTGTTTGTTTATTGCGCTGTCTGTGCTGAAGCTGCAACATAGTTTCAGCCATTTCGTTTCTTACTTGTTTCTGACATAAAAGTTCTGTTACCGACATTCCTAATTTGTTTAGGAAAAGCATTCCATATTCCCTCAACACTTGCTCTCATTACGTGAAACATGTAAGCATCGCATGCATGTGACCAATAGGGCCTGACCTATAGCCTATCATAATCACATCAATACATTGGTTATAACAAACTCCGAACACAGTAATGTGGACTGCAAAATGGATGTGGAGGACGTGTAAAAGAAACTCGAAACGGGCGAATGTTTACTAGTTGCTCAGGAGGGAAAGGGGAAGTCAAATGTGTGGAAGACATTTGACTTACAGTTGAAGTCGGAAGTTTACATACACCTTAGCCAAATAGAATTAAACTCAGTTTTCACAATTCCTGACATTTAATCCTAGTAAAAATTCTTAGTCTTAGGTCAGTTAGGATCACCACTTTATTTTAAGAATGTGAAACGTCAGAATAATAGTAGAGTGATTCATTTCAGCTTTTATTTCTTTCATCACATCCCCAGTGGGTCAGAAGTTTACATGCACTCAATTAGTATTTGGTAGCATTGCCTTTAAATTGTTTAACTTGGGTCAAACGTTTCGGGTAGCCTTCCACAAGCTTCCCACAATAAGTTGGGTGAATTTTGGCCCATTCCTCCTGACAGAGCTGGTGTAACTGAGTCAGGTTTGTAGGCCTCCTTGCTCGCACATGCTTTTTCAGTTCTGCCCACAAATTCTCTATAGGATTGAGGTCAGGGCTTTGTGATGGCCACTCCAATACCTTGACTTTGTTGTCCTTAAGCCATAACTTTGGAAGTATGCTTGGGGTCATTGTCCATTTGGAAGACCCATTTGCGACCAAGCTTTAACTTCCTGACTGATGTCTTGAGATGTTGCTTCAATATATCCACATCATTTTCCTTCCTCATGATGCCATCTATTTTGTGAAGTGCACCAGTCCCTCCTGCAGCAAAGCACCCCTACAGCATGATGCTGCCACCCCCGTGCTTCACGGTTGGGATGGTGTTCTTCAGCTTGCAAGCATTCCCCTTTTTCCTCCAAACATAACGATGGTCATTATGGCCAAACAGTTCTATTTTTGTTTCATCAGACCAGAGGGCATTTCTCCAAAAAGTACGATCTTTGTCCCAATGTGCAGTTGCAAACCGTAGTCTGGCTTTTTTATGGCAGTTTTGGAGCAGTGGCTTCTTCCTTGCTCAGCGGCCTTTCAGGTTACAGTGGGGAGAACAAGTATTTGATACACTGCCGATTTTGCAGGTTTTCCTGCTTACAAAGCATGTAGAGGTCTGTAATTTTTATCATAGGTACACTTCAACAGTGAGAGACGGAATCTAAAACAAAAATCCAGAAAATCACATTGTGTGATTTTTAAGTAATTAATTTGCATTTTATTGCATGACATAAGTATTTGATACATCAGAAAAGCAGAACTTAATATTTGGTACAGAAACCTTTGTTTGCAATTACAGAGATCATACGTTTCCTGTAGGTCTTGACCAGGTTTGCACACACTGCAGCAGGGATTTTGGCCCACTCCTCCATACAGACCTTCTCCAGATCCTTCAGGTTTCGGGGCTGTCGCTGGGCAATACAGACTTTCAGCTCCCTCCAAATATTTTCTATTGGGTTCAGGTCTGGAGACTGGCTAGGCCACTCCAGGACCTTGAGATGCTTCTTACGGAGCCACTCCTTAGTTGCCCTGGCTGTGTGTTTCGGGTCGTTGTAATGCTGGAAGACCCAGCCACGACCCATCTTCAATGCTCTTACTGAGGGAAGGAGGTTGTTGGCCAAGATCTCACGATACATGGCCCCATCCATCCTCCCCTCAATACGGTACAGTCATCCTGTCCCCTTTGCAGAAAAGCATCCCCAAAGAATGATGTTTCCACCTCCATGCTTCACGGTTGGGATGGTGTTCTTGGGGTTGTACTCATCCTTCTTCTTCCTCCAAACACGGCGAGTGGAGTTTAGACCAAAAAGCTCTATTTTTGTCTCATCAGACCACATGACTTTCTCCCATTCCTCCTCTGGATCATCCAGATGGTCATTGGCAAACTTCAGACGGGCCTGGACATGCGCTGGCTTGAGCAGGGGGACCTTGCAGGATTTTAATCCATGACGGCGTAGTGTGTTACTAATGGTTTTCTTTGAGACTGTGGTCCCAGCTCTCTTCAGGTCATTGATCAGGTCCTGCCGTGTAGTTCTGGGCTGATCCCTTACCTTCCTCATGATCATTGATGCCCCACGAGGTGAGATCTTGCATGGAGCCCCAGACCGAGGGTGATTGACCGTCATCTTGAACTTCTTCCATTTTCTAATAATTGCGCCAACAGTTGCCTTCTCACCAAGCTGCTTGCCTATTGTCCTGTAGCCCATCCCAGCCTTGTGCAGGTCTACAATTTTATCCCTGATGTCCTTACACAGCTCTCTGGTCTTGGCCATTGTGGAGAGGTTGGAGTCTGTTTGATTGAGTGTGTGGACAGGTGTCTTTTATACAGGTAACGAGTTCAAACAGGTGCAGTTAATAAAGGTAATGAGTGGAGAAAAGTTTTTCTTTAAGAAGCCCTCGTAACAGGTCTGTGAGAGCCGGAATTCTTACTGGTTGGTAGGTGATCAAATACTTATGTCATGCAATAAAATGCAAATTAATTACTTAAAAATCACACAATGTGATTTTCTGGATTTTTGTTTTAGATTCCGTCTCTCACTGTTGAAGTGTACCTATGATAAAAATTACAGACCTCTACATGCTTTGTAAGTGGGAAAACCTGCAAAATCGGCAGTGTATCAAATACTTGTTCTCCCCACTGTATGTCGATATTGGACTTGTTTTACTGTGGATATAGATACGTTTGTACCTGTTTCCTCCAGCATCTTCACAAGGTAATTTGCTGTTGTTCTGGGATTGATTTGCACTTTTCGCACCAAAGTACGTTCATCTCTAGGAGACAGAATGTGTCTCCTTCCTGAGCGGTATGACAGCTGCTTGGTCACATGGTGTTTATACTTGCGTACTATTGTTTGTACAGATGAACGTGGTACCTTCAGGCATTTGGAAATTGCTCCCAAGGATGAACCAGACTTGTGGAGGTCTACAATTTTTTTTTCTGATGTCTTGGCTGATTTCTTTTGATTTTCCCATGATGTCAAGCAAAGAGGCACTGAGTTTGAAGGTAGGCCTTGGAATGCATCCACAGGTACACCTCCAATTGACTCAAATGATGTCAATTAGCCTATCAGAAGCTTCTAAAGCCATGACATCATTTTCTGGAATTTTCCAAGCTGTTTAAAGGCAAAGTCAATTTAGTGTATGTAAACTTCTGACCCACTGGAATTGTGATACAGTGATTTATAAGTGAAATAATCTGTCTGTAAACAATTGTTGGAAATATTACTTGTGTCATGCACAAAGTAGATGTCCTAACCGACTTGTCAAAACTATAGTTTGTTAACAAGAAATGTGTGGAGTGGTTGAAAAAACAAGTTTTAATGACTCCAATCTAAGTGTATATAAACTTCCGACTTCAACTGTAGTTGTGGAAACTACTGGAGATCAAGAAAAAGGAGAGTATAGGAGCGAGAGCTGCGTGCATATTATATGTGAAGAACAGGTGCTGTTAGATTACAATATTGTTATGCCTGTTTGGAACAGTGTAAACAACACTAAATAAATGATAAGTAATACCAGTCTGTTCTAATGAAAACTAATTGTAAAGCCATTATTACAGCATAGCAAAGATTAAAAACAGCCACATTTGTGAAATTGCTTTATCTGACGTTTTGCCATTGCATGAGGGTTGGTGCTCACGGAGTCAGTAGGCTATTAAACAAACACTCAAACAGGCAACAGAAGCAAGATCTGTCTTATTTCTGTAGATATATATGGATGATTTATAAAGCCAGGCACATTTAACAGTTAGGCTGTTGATTATAGACTTAATTAAGTTGGTTTCCTCTCTCCTCAATTTTCTTAGACAATTAGGCAAAGCATTATTCGCATGGGACTAGTATTACTAGATAACTTTGGTTATATAATTATTATCTCAGAATGTCCATTATTCCAGAAGATGATTCGTTTTTTCCAAACTGTCCCCAGTAATTCATTCTTTTTTTCCAATAAATTGACAGTTATGACGGAAACCTGGAGGTTTTTTTTTCTAGGCGTGAAGATATTTCAATAAGTCCAGGCGTTTCCAAACGTTTTGGTCAGTTGTATGCTGCTTTTTTTATCTATTAACAGCAAGGGTTACATTAAATAGGCGCAGTATTTTTTACTGATGCATTTGTCAATTATTCAATTCATACACACAAAACATATGAACAAAAGCATTCACTGTGAAAGTTGATACATGTAGGCCCTTCATATATAGGCTATGCGCAGCACTTCGTTCAGTTTATCCAATCAGTTATTGTTTTCTTGCACAAACCGTGAGCAACACCTGTCAAACTCAGACATTTCTCTCCAAAACACAGGGATGTCGATTCGCACGGCACTAGTATTATCAGAGGACCAGTAGGTTATTCTGGCTGGAGTTGTTACTCTCCTGTCATGTACAAATTACTGACATGGCAGATTCCAACGGGACTAAAATTACAGATGTGGTGTTGTGCTTGTGCACATAATTACATTACCCGACCACCCCGAGTAAAACTAATCTCGTCCGAATAGGGTTTAAGGCATTGTTCTCAATCTAAATATGCAGGTTAATTTTGGCTATTATGCACATAGCTACATAGAGAAAGGTGGCAATTATATGGCACACTGAAGATTGTTTCAGAATCACAGACAGCGACCATATCCAACGCAGGAGAAAGTGCATTTGTTATAAAATAATATTTGATTTATTAGTGTTGCACCATTCTTTTTACATACAGTGCATTCGGAAAGTATTCATACCCCTTCCCTTTTTCCACAATTTGGATCCTGTTTCCATTGATCATCCTTGATGTTTCTACAACTTGATTGGAGTCCACCTGTGGTAAAGTCAATTGATTGGACATGATTTGGAAAGGCACACACCTGTCTATATAAGGTCCCACAGTTGACAGTGCATGTCAGAGCAAAAACCCAAGCCATGAGGTCGAAGGAATTGTCTGTAGCGCTCCGAGACAGGAATGTGTCGAGGCACAGATCTGGGGAAGGGTACCAAAAATGTCTGCAGAACACAGTGGCCTCCATCATTCTTAAATGGAAGAAGTTTGGAACCACCAAGACTCTTCCTAGAGCTGGCCACCCGGCCAAATTGAGCAATCTGGAGAGAAGGGCCTTGGTCAGGGAGGTGACCAAGAACCTGATGGTCAATCTGACAGAGCTCCAGAGTTCCTCTGTGGAGATGGTTGTCCTTCTGGAAGGTTCTCCCATCTCTGCAGCACGCCACAAATCAGGCCTTTTATGGTAGAGTGGCCAGACGGAAGCAACTCCTCAGTAAAATGCACATGACAGCCCGCTTGGAGTTTGCCAAAAGGCACCTAAAGGACTCTCAGACCATGAGAAACAAGATTCTCTGGTCTGATGAAACCAAGATTGAACTCTTTGGCCTGAATGCCAAGTGCCACGTCTGGAGAAAACCTGGCACCATCCCTACGGTGAAGCATGGTGGTGGCAGCATCATGCTGTGGGGATGTTTTCCAGTGGCAGGGACTGGGAGACTAGTGATAATCAAGGGAAAGATGAATGGAGCAAAGTACAGAGAGATCCTTTATTAAACATTTTACATTTACATTACATTTTAGTCATTTAGCAGACGCTCTTATCCAGAGCGACTTACAGTTAGTGAATGCATACATGTTTTGATATTTTTTTTTTTTTCTTTTTTTTTCATAAATAAAGCCCACATCCCTGCCGGCCAAACTCTCCCCTACCTTGGACAACGCTGGACCAATTGTGCGCCGCCCATGGGTCTCCCGGTCGCGGCCGGCTGCGACAGAGCCTGGACTCGAACCAGGATCTCTAGTGGCACAGCTAGCACTGCGATGCAGTGCCTTAGACCACTGCCCCACTCGGGAGAAACCTGCTCCAGAGCGCTCAGGACCTCAGACTGGGGCGAAGGTTCACCTTCCAACAGGACAACGACCCTAAGCACACAGCCAAGACAACGCTGGACTGGCTTCGGGACAAGTCTCTGAATGTCCTTGAGTGGCCCAGCCAGAGCCCAGACTTGAACATGATCGAACATCTTTGGAGAGACCTGAAAATAGCTGTGCAGTGATGCTCCCCCATCCAACCTGATAGAACTTGAGAGGATCTGTAGAGAAGAATGGGAGAAACATTTTGCTTTGTCATTATGGGGTATTGTGTGTAGATTGATAAGGGAAAAAAACAATTTGATCAATTTTAGAAGAAGGCTGTAACGTTTTCAAAATGTGGAAAAGTCAAGGGTCTGAATACTTTTTGAATGCACTGTAATATAACCATATATAATTTCAGTAGCACGGTGCCATCCCCATGGCCTCCACAATGGATTAGTCCACTGAGATGGCGTCAATCAGACAGGTGTCTTGTGCACCATGAAAACCGACTAAAGAAATCTCGGTCGACCAACAGCCTATCGACCAAACAATCGACCAGTCGACTAAATGGGGTCAGCCCTGATAAGGGCACACTGTGATAACATGCTCAAATAGCAAGTATCAGAGGTTTATGACCATATCATCTTTTATTACAGCCATCTATTATGGACACATTTTATTACCTCATTTTATAGTTCATCAGACAGTCAGACAGTGGCTTTGACCTCCAGACGAGATTGATCTCTCTATTCCCTTTTCTCCACAGAGGGTCTTGGAGGCTGATGCAGCTGAAGATGCTTACCATGACGATGAGGACTATGAAGTGGACACCCCAAAAAAAAGACACAGAGGAAAAGGCAGAGTAAGTGATCTACAGAGACATACTGTACTGTAGTAAACTACTGCTAATGCACATGACTGACCTAGTTAATAATTCATTAATGGATTCAGTCCCTCACTGGTACTATATTTGCATTCATTATCCATGCATCTGTGCTGTGAGCACTTCCTGTTATCTGAATACCACTCAGTGCTAGAGAATGATCTGAATCAATTAATTATAATGCATCAATTAATCTTGGTACCGTGGTTAAGTGCTATTACATTTATACTGACAGAATTACATTATAGATTATTCTTTTTTTCAACACAATCCAGTCATAAGCTTTAGAAAATACCTGTCCTGAGAAACATTTCCTTCATACAGACTGTTACTATGACAGTGATGACGAAGGAAACAGACAACCTGTAGCTATGAACTACCATCTCACCTATTATTCTGCCAGCCAGTTGAATGCACCCGTAGAAATTTGCTTATCTGTTGGCTGCTTTCTTTGCAAGTGAAATTTCTTATACAAATCACCTTCCCCCTTTCTACTCTTTGTGTATCTTTCCAACAAAAATACCCTTAACAAATCATAGTTTCAACTAATGGGTTAGAAATATATCCTACCATATACAGTTGTTGGCTGGCAGGAAAGATGTCGGTTTGATCTCACAGGTATTAGTGTTTGCCTATTGATGCACTCTCTTGAGTGTGCTGGATCTGCCTTTATGAGGTGGTAAATTGTCAGTTGGACATTTAGTTTAGTATGATATGGGCTTATACTGTAGGTTTCCATTTCATTTGCATGACACTTTGTTGTCATATACTTCTGCTTGCCCCTTCCATTGAATCACTGAGTCACTATGGCTTCTGCTGGCTTAGAGCTGTGGTGTCATTGGTCACCATGGTGATGGTGGTTTTGTCCGCACAGGGTCGGGGTTCAGGCCGCAGGAGGACAGAGATGGATGACCAGGACAAGCCATACAGTTGTGACAGTAAGTAGACAAGTCAAGTAATGATCAACCTCCCTCACATATCATATCAAAAGGTGCATTATGATATCATCCAGTCATGAGACATTTGATCTCCATTTCAAGTGGTTGGTTTTGTTAAGGACATTCTCCTGAAGATAGCTGATGGTACTACCATGACTCCGTAAGCTAGTTGAACAGTATATTTAATATTAAAAATGGATATTGATTTCTCTGGTCTGTTCTGGATATCTTTCTACAAAGGGATTAAGTGCTGTGGTTCCCTCAGGACAGCATATCAATGATCTAGCCATCAGGCCTTAACTCAAACTAAATGAAACCCTAACATATCATCACTATGTAGATAATAGTCATTCAAATCCCACTTGGAGAACTCCCACATTTATCAGAGCCATGTGTATTTCCATATGCTTCTTAAGGAAGATGAAAAGCACAGAGGAGACAGTGTTGTCACTGTCTCAAGTAGTCCAGTAGGCATGACATTTGCATGTGGAAAACCTAGGCAGAAGTAATGGAATTTCTGTTGTTGTGGGAACTCTTTACTCATGGGGACTCTTTACTCTTTAAGCATTCCATTTTCTTTATTTCTTTCCTTTTTTTGTTTTGCTTTGTGTTTTCTGTGTTTCAGACAGATACTAACAAAGGCATAAGTCAAAAACGGCAGCCTCGGGTATCTGGACATTTGGATTTGTTTGATGTAGTTGATTAGTATTCCCAGTGATCTTATTGGTATACTCTACATCCGTTCTCTAAACAATGAGTCAATGTTGTATGACTCTTGACACACTTATGTTCCCACATCAGGGTTATGCTTTCTCCTGGTTGTGTTCCGTATTACTGAGGTGTGAACCAGTTCCCTGTATTTTCATACCTTTCTCCAACAGATAAGCTAAGCTCCACCGTTTTGGGTCCTATCAGTGTATTTACAGAACTCAACTTGTTGAAATTCTCAAGGCATGTTTTGTTAGTCTACGGATATGACCTTATTTAGCAACCTTACTGGGCATACTTGAAGCCATTGTGCAACAATAATAACATGAATGCTCAAAGGTGGAAAACATACTACCTGACACTACCAGTGTACCTAATGTTGAAATGGATCCTAATGTTTTCAGTGCAGTGATGGGAACATTGTGATGTAAAGGTCTTTTTGAATTTTTACCAAATCCCCAATGTGTCGAGCTCTGAAAGTGACACATAAATGCAATTCGTAATTTCTCTGTCTCGATAGACACGTTCTAAGAAGGGAAGAACTGAATGTTTTGTCTCTGTTTTGTGCTCTCTCAGTCTGTGGGAAGCGCTACAGGAAACGTACAGGGCTGAGTTACCACTACACCCATTCCCACCTGGCAGAGGAGAGGGGGTCCGAGTCCTCCCGATCACCCTCCACACAGCGCTCTGACCGACACAAACGTAAGACACGCAAACTGATATTCAAGGCCTCTAAAATCAAATCTAATCTAATTTTATTGGTCACATGCGCCGAATACAACAGGTGTAGACCTTACAGTGAAATGCTTACTTACAAGCCCTTAACCAACAATGCAGTTTTAAGAAAAATAAGTGTTAAGTAAAAAATAGATAAGTAAATAAAAAATTAAGAGCAGCAGTAAAATAACAGTAGCGAGGCTATATACAGGGGATACCGGTACAGAGTCAATGTGCGGGGGCACAGGTTAGTCGAGGTAATTGAGGTAATATGTACATAGAGTTAAAGTGACTGCATAGATAATAACAGAGAGTAGCAGCAGCGTAAAAGAGGGGGTGGGGGGGGCGGACAATGCAAATAGTCAGGGTAGCCATTTGATTAGCTGTTCAGTAGTCTTATGGCTTGGGGGTAGAAGCTGTTAAGAAGCCTTTTGGACCTAGACTTGGCGCTCCGGTACCGCTTGCCGTGCGGTAGCAGAGAGAACAGTCTATGACTAGGGTGGCTGGTGTCTTTGACAATTTTTATGGCCTTCCTCTGACACTGTCTAGTATAGAGGTCCTGGATGGCAGGAAGCTTGGCCCCATTGATATACTGGGCCATACGCACTACCCTCTGTAGTGCCTTGCAGTCGGAGGCCGAGCAGTTGCCATACCAGGCAGTGATGCAACCAGTCAGGATGGTCTCGATGGTGCAGCTGTATAACTTTTTGAGGATCTGAGGACCCATGCCAAATCTTTTCAGTCTCCTGAGGGGGAATAGGCTTTGTCGTGCCCTCTTCACGACTGTCTTGGTGTGTTTGGACCATGATAGTTTGTTGGTGATGTGGACACCAAGGAACTTGAAGCTCTCAAACTGCTCCACCACAGCCCCGTCGATGAGAATGGGGCCGTGCTCGGTCCTCCTTTTCTTGTAGTCCTCAATCATCTCCTTTGTCTTGATCACGTTGAGGGAGAGGTTGTTATCCTGGCACCACACGGCCAGGTCTCTGACCTCCTCCCTATAGGCTGTCTCATCGTTGTCGGTGTTCAGGCCTACCACTGTTGTGTCGTCGGCAAACTTAATGATGGTGTTTGAGTCGTGCCTGGCCATGCAGTCATGGATGAACAGGGAGTACAGGAGGGGACTGAGCACGCACCCCTGAGGGGCCCCCGTGTCGTGGTAGGCCTGACAATGTCTCTCTTCTAGTTTCACCATCCGCAACAGAAATATACAGAGAGCCAATGTGTGTTTTTGAATGTCATTGGCTATTCCTAGTATGTAGTTTGCATATTCATGTGAGCTTTGTTGCAGTCAATTAGCTAAAGTAGGGATAGCTGTAACTGTAGCTGTAACAGTGCACCAGGTGTACCTGTGCCTCATGGCTGACCACCTCCACTGGGCTGTCAACATGTATTTCTGTCTTCAGTGCAAGTTCACTAGCCCCATTTTAATCAACAATGTACACTAATAATTTTTAGGTCAGCCCTGTTTGAGGACTTTGAAAACGTTATTTTTTCATTCATTTTATTAAAATGTAGTTGATCCAGCCTTCTTCTGTTCATCCTCTGCAGGTCAGAAGGTTCCAGGAGGGACTGCCATTACCAATAACTACTGCAACTCGTGCCAGTGCACCCCAGGCTCCAACAAGCAGAGGGGTAAATCTGGGGAGAGGGGTCCCTGCTCAGTCTGCCGGCGCTCCAGTGAGTACCCTGCTATGCTACACAGCATCCCAAACCATGACTATGACTAAGCTGTACTGATTGCTGTACTGTAGCTGTTATGTGCTACCGTCATCCTGTCATCTTGTTGTTGCCAGCTGGACGCCCAGAAGAGGAGGAGGACAGCAGGCCGTTTGCCGGGGCAGAGGAACTGTTTGGCACCACCTCGGAGAGTGACACGTCCACGTTTCACGGCTTTGAGGACGATGAGCTTGAAGAGCCCTCATCAAACGGCAAGGGGATGTCCAACCAATACAGATAGAGAAGAACTTTCTAGGTTTAAAGACTATTTTTAATATGGATAACCTCTGGCAAAAGTCTGCTGCTTCTTTTTAAATGTTCTTATTTAAAGTGATTATTTCAGGAGAGAAATGAAAGAAGTGTTAATTTGTTATCTACGGAACCTTGTTTAATAATTTATGAACGTGTTTTTTTACATTCACTTTGAAAGCAACTGACAGTGTTTCTTGACAAATGACTTGCTCCCCATGTGAAATGGAAAGAAGAAGAATTTCTTGGATTGTTTTTCCACTGGAGCAGAAAAGGCAATTATGTTATGAAAAAACACTGGAACGTGTGGATATAATTTTTATGATATTTTTTGGATGATTTGCCAGAGAAAATATAATCCAATAATTTATCTGAAATTAAATGAGTTAAATGACAATGTCTGGATGAAGAATGAATGTCAACACAAACCCTTCCCTCGGCTTGTTGATGTCACTAGAATCACCAGGCAGTTTGGAAAGAGGAGCTTTTAGATGACACTTCCACTGCTTCCTCCTCTGGATTATAATAATGTGAAAATGGAGTGAAGTAAAGGAATGAAGGATTGATGTGTGGATTAAACAGAGGGCTATACCAGAAGCAGGGCATGGCTAGCTGAAAGGTATGCACCTAGGTCCTATTCAAACATAGTAGTACAGTACTTTTTCATTTAAATACAAGGTATATTCTTATTCTATCAGTTCATGCCTTGCATTTGCCATCAACAAACAAAGATATGCCAGCTATCTTGGAGAGAGTGACTCCACAATCTGACCCATTTGTCTCTGTTGTAGGGGTGGGGTTCAGGACCCTCAACTGGCCTCCACACACCCCTCCACTGGACCCAAAGACCCTATCTGGCTGACAGTCAGCCACCAAACAGCCATCCATCTAACAGCTATCCTGCCAGCTGCCAGCGACCACACAACCCCATACTCCCTGACTCAGACCTTTTCTGTTTTTGAAGCAATTTCTCCCGAGAATATGTATTGTTTGGACCCTGTGGCCTCCTCCTCTACAGCTGTGTGGCCACCATGCCCAGCCGGCGGGATCCAATGTGACACAGACGTCATTAATTTCATCACTGTGCCAGCCTGCGACCCAGGCGAGAAACCAGCTCTGACAGCCATGATGTCCCAGTGACCTCACTGGAAACACCCTTGAACTCTAACCTCTGCTCCTGTCATAGCAGCGGTCTGGACTTCCTCCGTCACTTATATAACAAAACCTCTGGACTACTTAGACTCTCTCTTACTCTCTTTAATATGTCTCTTGAACGGGCCAAACGATTCTAGAGTTTTCTTTAATCCCTTCCATCCTGAAGTTTGAATTGTGCTATATACCTTTTGTTTTGAACAAAGTATTGACAGATTGGGTTGTTAGTGTCATTTTGGTGAGAGGTGGATTTTTTATTATTCTGATGTATTCTGTTTGTTCTGGCTTTGTTGATACCTCTGTCTTTCTACAATACCTACTACTACTCAGGCGTATGATTTGTACTGCTGTTGATTGTTCTTCTCTCTGCGTCATGATGCATTGTCAAGCCACTGTCCCCTGCCTGGCTCATGTGATTGTATTCCATTGGTCGAAAGGTTGAAAATACCTAATGAGGATGTTAACAAGGAATCAGAAAGGGGAATATAATGGAATGGATGCCCCATGGTTTAGTCATCACAATAAAACCTTTACTGATCCCAGCTTTAACAAACAATCGCAATAGAAAAACATTCTGAACTGTGCCCAACCAAGTTCACTGTGCCCAACCAAGTCCATATTTTCTCCTTCCTCTGACTCACTTGTCAAACACTTTTGTCCAGAATCACTTACATGGCATGTGTGCATAATGCAAGGAGAGTTACGTACAATTGCAGAAGGAGTCTTTAAGCTGTAAAACAATGTTATTTGTGACATTTGCTTTGAGTGCTATATGGCTGCGTTTACACAGGCAGCCCAATTCAGATATTTTTTCTACTTATTGGTCTTTTGACCAATCACATCAGATCATTTCACATCAGATTTCTTGTGTCTTAAATGTTGACACACTAGACACTCACTTACATACACATTATTAACATTGAATTCCCTCAGGGACCCTTTCATCCACAGTTTCTAGGTCTTTTATGGAGCATTATTTTGGTAATCAACAACAACCTCCCCATCAATTACTGAGTTTTCATGGTAACCTCTGAAAGGGCTTCAGTTAGTCATGTTGGAATGACAACCTGGTTGGTATTATGGTCAATGTTTTCTCTCACTGGTGACTTCCTCTAACAATCAGGTCTAGCATGGTACAGTACAGTTCCAAACAACACTTCATGGAAGTCAGTGATGTCTGTCTGTATAGAAACAAGTGTCATTATCACCAATCATATAAAAGTGCATAGCCTGTATACCTCATCAAAGAGTCAAAGACACAGCAATAACCCCAGAGCTCTCAGCAAGCCTTCCTGAGTTAGAGGGGAGCGCAGGGGTTGGAATGGAGCCAAGAAGAGATTAAATGGACTTGACCAGTCATTTTATCTTCAACTGTAAATAACTCAAATCGAGAGAATTAAGTCTTTGTTAAACTATTTTTATTGTAATGAAAGAAAATAAAGAATGCGACTCCGCCCTCTCTGATGTTTGGGGATGTTTTTCTGCGGTCCTATGTAACACTATTGTAGTAATTACAATGTTACTACCCAGTTACTACATACTGTAAATGAGAGGTCAACATGTAGACAGAGGTCCAAAGGTTTTATTATTTGGTGCCCACAATATATCAGGTGCATGGATATTTTACATTGATAATAGTCATATTGCTGTTTGAGAAACTAGAAGCACAAATTCCCTGGATATGTTACATGCATAGTAATGTGCCCATACCATAAAATGTGCTTTTAGATAATGGAAATCTATAGAGCCAGTTTATATACAATGCACTCTGTACATAAGCTATTGTATTTGTGCAGACAATATTCTTTAACACTGACTCAATAAATTAAGCATCTCTACCTTACAGTCATGAGTATCAGTTTATGATAATCATAAATATCAACCTGTACAGTGCATTGCAGCAACTCTAATTGAAACAATTATTGAAATAATTATCTCAGCATTTTGAGAACTTGGGACTATAAGGTTCTATCTGCAAAAAGATGATTCTGATATAATTGAACCCTCATTGGTGTCAGCAATCTTTTTTATCTTGTATTCTTTTTAACTTAACATGAATAAGTATTTAGAGTACTATATAGATAAGGAACATTGAACAGAACAGGACTATGTCAATAACTCAATTTTGACAAAAATTGAACCTTATAGTACCAAGCTCTCAATTTGACTTTCATAATATTGTCTCTGGCATAACTGTGTACGCAACCAATAAACATTGATTTGAGTTGATTATATGCCCCCTCACCACACAAGGGAGTTGTAGTTGTGCTGTGAATGATACCCTCTTCTATCTTAGGACTTTGGGAGGGGAGAAGAGGGATCATGTACTGTATGATCCAGTTCCAGGGGTGGATGCCATGAGTTTGTCCTTTCAGCAGTGATGTTCCTGTTCTGTTCAGTGGTGGGGGTCCAGGGCATTTCCCTTTAGTTTGTGTTTGAAGATAGAAGAAGAACCAAGCAGCCTGCTTGGTGACTGTGCACATGACTTTTACTCCCCAGCTCAGACTCCCTAAACTCCATTTCACCAGAGCATTTTCCCTAACTATCATGCACACTGTTCGGCAAATATAACAATGATGAGTACATACACATCTCTCTGACCCAAAGGCTGGACTATGGATTAATGACTGAGCATGTAAGTAATGGTTTACATAGACACTCATGCAACAGAAAGAGTAATACTAAATAAAACAGCATTTATTGGGCTGTTAAACAATATACTGTAGGATCCCTCTGATTGCGGGGTGAAATTATGATTAAATGGAAATGATACCCTGGTCTCAATGGGTTCCCCTGGTTAAATAATTAAGGTTAATAAATAAATAATTGGACATAAAATAAATATTCCTGCTACAGTCCTGTTAGGGCAGGGCAGGCCACCATGGTCCACAGAGGTTGTGCATGGTGTTTACTCTCCATTAGCTGGGACAGTGGTGACTTCCAAAGTGGTAGTGATGCAGGGCTATTTTCATTAGGGGCCTGTAAGGCATGTGAATGTCACTTAAGTAGCTCTGTAACTGATCAGATGTGGCACTTATTTGGCATGTATCTGCTTGAATAGGTCCAGAATAATACGTAAACCCCATGATGCTGTGTAAAATACTAAATAAGGCTGAAATCACTGATTTAGAAACTCATCGACATTATGGACATTTTCCATAAGGGACAGGGTTTGGAATCTTTATAGCTATCTATATTGATTGAATCAAATGGTAGGTGTTCTAGAGTGTATGACCGTCTGTGTAAAATACTAGAGCTTTCTTGGCCAGGTCTCCTTTGAAAAATAAGCCTTTGACCTCAATTGGACTTGATTTCAATCAATACAAATCCAACCATAGCATGAATTCTAAACAAACAAACAAAATGTTTTGATGAAACATGCAATGTTTCATTGTAGATTCTCTATCAAGGCCTTATACCTACTCTTGGAATGTAATGAAGCATGGAGAATTTCCGTCAAAGTCACTTATCTGGTCTTCTATAATAACAATTATAATACCTTAGATTTATGGGCAAACAAAAATATATTCCCAATCACTGCAAAAATAATAGGTCAGTAAACAGGATTATGCAGTGTACTGTATAAGAAAAAATATGATATAGACTTAGATAAAGATATAAAAAAGAGATTTGTTAAATACAGAACATAAAAGTGTTATCCTGCTGTCTTTATTGCTGACTGCCTAGTGAGGGCAGCTTGTACTGTGTATTTATATCTGTATATGTCCCACTATGACTCTTTGAGCTTGTATGTAGCCCTACTGTAACCGTGGGTGTCTGTGTGTGCTTGTACTGTATGCATGCGATGTAGTGAGTGGGTCAAGGCCCGCCCTTGCTGGCATGATCCATTCCTCTGTGGTTCTGTGAGTATTCCTAACCCCAGCGCTGCATGGTACTGTCTGTGACCCTCCAGAGCAGAGCTCCCCACCCCAGCACGCCACTCTCCCCGCATGGTCATGACACTTCCAGGGGTGTCTGTCTGTGTCCCTCCAGCCTAGGCAGTGTCAGGATGACTGCATCAGCCCTGTCAGCCGCTTGCCCGTCAAAGACTTGCCCTGGAAAATGGAAACAAACTTTACTGGCTGGGTTTCTGAAAAATCATGCAGTCTGTGTACAGTACTGTGCCAAGAAAGTACTTAGACTAGCTATCCCTGCCAACATGTTGAGCACTTACCTGTCCTTTTCTGAATTTCTCTCAAGAAATACAAGTAGAATACCTCTCTGTACTACTAGCCTTCACAATCATTTTGACCTTGAAAAAGGTCTTCATTGGGTCGCATGCCTGTGAGACGGACCCAGTTCCTGGTAACTTACCACACTGCGGGTGAACTTCTCCAGGGAGGTACGGCGGCCCTGCTCACTCTCTGTCTGTGACTAGAGGCAGGGTGGTGTGAGGGTGAGAGACACGGGGAGGATGAGGGAAGGTTAGAAGCGTTTCAAGGCAAAACATGTTTTAGGCCATGAAGCCAGAAGCGGTGGCTGTGGTAGAGAAGCTAGGGGCCAGGCCAGCAGGGGGGAGTGTCTTTTCAGGGTACTACATAACACAGGGATGCACTGCAGCTGCTCACCAGGAGAAGATGATGCTTTGATCTGCTGTGGTGCTGATCATCCTAGTACACAGTATAACAGGACTCGCTTTATTTGATGTTTTAGAGAGCTGTGATTGTATGTATAAATCTGAAGGAGTCAAAGAATATAATAAGCTGAGTGACAAGAATACTCAAGCAAAGGTAAGCTAATGTCTCAGTTCAGATGTAAATGGAGATATAGTATCTGTAGAAAGTGTAGATTTTATAATAAATGTATCCACTTCCAAAAAAAGGATGGAGTGCTTTCAAACATATTTAGTAAATGCATAATATCTCAGGTGGAGGGTGTGACTGATTAGGGGTTAGTTATAGTAGAGCTCACCGGCTTCTTTCTGGCTAGCAGGAGGTCCTGATAGATGTTAGATCTCAGGAAGCGTGCATAGCTGTCACTTTTCATCAACTTGAAGATGTGCTCCTGGAGAAGAGGGAAGAGGTGGTGATGATGGTTGTTGTGGGGTGTGTGTTTGTGTTTTAGAGAGAGAGAAAGAGACAGAGTTGAGATTATGTAAGAAGGCACGGGGGAGCTGAATGTTAACCATGCATGCTAACATGGAGGGAGAGAGAGAGGTAGGGAAGGAGAGAGGTAGGGAGGGTGGGAGGGAGGAGACTCCTGAGACAGGGCTGATTGAACGCAGAGCCATTGACACTAATGCACCATGAGGCAGTCACCCTCAAACAAAGCTAATACAGTTTGAACCTAAGGAATCTAGGATGAATGCATGGGCTATTCACAGGCATTACTCTGCCCATTAGGCCCTGGCTAACCTAACATAGCAGGCATAAAAAGACGCCTGAGTGGAGTTTCCACATCCGTTTTTCAGAGGAAAAGGAAGCTAGGTTGAATTAACTGTATCCCTGAAAACCGGATGCATCTAGTTGTTTGCAACTACGCTAAGGATGGGCTCTGGCAACCACAGATTCTTCACCACCGTTCACTCACTTCCTTCTCACTACATCTATCCATCCACCCCCCTCTCAGCCACCATAGTGTGCAGTGTGGGTGGGGATATTATGTGTTTGTGTGTTTACTGTAGGTGCAGTAGTAGCAGCCATATTGACTGTGTGTGGGCATGCAAGCATATGTGTTTGTGTGCATAGGGGAGGCTGTGATATATACCTGGGCGTCCTCATAGCTGTATCGTCCAGGGTCTTTGAGGTTATGGCTGGTGCGCTCATAGCTGTGGGAGTCCAAGTTGATGGAGCTGGGCGCGCCCTCTGCCAGGAACTCCTGCCAGATCTCCTGGGTTCTGGCTGCCACGTTCTCCAGGGGCCTCCGCTTCAGATCCTGCACTGCCAACCAGAACCTAGCCAAGGGGCACAGGGAGGACACAGCCAATAGAGATCAGTGTCTGCAGCATTTACTTCCCATTATTATCTGCCAGGAGAGGAGCGCTCCCCCTGTGGACATTCAGTGCAGTCATTCCCTTAATCTCATTACCGCCACTCAAAAGCCTCTCTATCTAATGGCCTGGGGAATTGAAATGGATGTGAAACAATAGAATGGAAGAGGATAGTGACTGTGTTATCACTGTGAACTGTCCCTGCCTGGGCCTGTAAGGCTCTATCTCTCACCGGAGGTTCTCTGAGCTGAACTCTGACTCCAGGAACTTGAGGAATGCATCCTGCCCTGCTGGGTCCTTTAGGGCCTCCTCCAGAGAGAAGCCCCACTTCTTCACACGGTGCTGGCTGGGGTCCCGGCTGCTCACAGGGAAGAACGGAGAGAGACAACCATGATGCCTTTCAGACTCTTCTACATGATCTCCCCACAGTACATACATTACATTGTGGTTGTGGATGCCGTTTAAAATGTGGATTGCATAGGGAAAGAAAGAGGAGCTAGCCATGGGGCTATCATGACATTTCAGCCAGCACCTGAGACCACTAACCCTCTGCCTGACCCCACCAGTCATTTGAAGAGTGATTGTGTTTGACTAGTGAGGTCTGTGCATGGTGTCCATGGTGCCTATGGCCTCACGCTGCTTCCCCAGTGAACCCACCTAGCCTCCAGGTCCCAGAAGGTCATGTCATCGCTGATCCAGGGGTTGGATGGTTCAATGGTTGACACCAAAGGATCGTAGACCATGAACTGTTCCGTGTAGCCCATGAGACTGTCTGCTACTTTGGACATTTTCATACAGTGTCTGTCCAGCTGGATGTTCAAGAAGGAAATCTGAGGGAGAAAATAATTCACGATGGCAGAATGAGACAGTAGCGCATTACTCAGAAGTGAGTTGGAGTTATGATTGATGAATGAGACAGAGAGACAGATAGCAGGAGATAATGGATAATGGCGGTGTTAGTAATGACCTGTCAGGAGCATCACAGAGTGTGTTACCTCCTTCTGCACGTCCTCTCTGGTGGGCTTCCTGGCCGGCTGGGAGAGGATGGACTGGTGGACTGGACTCTGAGTCTGGGTGTTGTCTGTTACCCCATACACCGACTGGACAGAGACAGAATGGAAATACATGTCTGTTATTGCTTATACGCTCACCCTCAACCCAGGCACACACTGCACAGAACATATACAGTACATACATACATACATGCACAAACAGAGAGACCACTCATCACTAAAAGCCTTCTTCCTTACCCTTTTCACCCTCTGTGGATTCTTCTCTCTCCGGCACTTGCGAATGTCCATCTCTGTGGTATTTACACAGCCTGGCTGTAAGAGAGTTAGTTTCTAGGTCAGATAATAGTGGGTCACCAGGCAGCATCCTGCCCTAGCCTGGAGGCTACACTTCATTCAACATTACAACCACAGAGGAGTTGGATAATACAGAAACCCACTGGGATCCCACCTAATTCAGGCTAACCCAGGCCACACTAGACAACTACACTGAACCCTTTATTGTTCTAACTGTAGAGCCCTATGGGACTTTCACTGTAACACTCCCTGTCCTCTCATCACATCCTCTCTCCAGCCCTCCCTCAGACCCCAGAACCACCATCTCCCCTCAGCCCTCAGCTCACCACAGGGCGATGGACGTCCCAGAATGCCCTCTCTTGGCTGTCCAAGATCTTCCTCTCAGCCTTGTCCTTCTTCCTGTCGATCCTGAGGGTAGGGGACAGAGGACAGAGACAGGTCGATACTGAGTACACAGACAGACGTGTCACTCTTACTGAGAGACCAGAGGAGGGTAAAAGCTCAAAGTGTAGGTCACAACCTGTCTCGTCGCTTCATCAAGCAATCTGTGGTCTGGCCGCCGGTAGGGTACAACTCTTACGTAATTGACATTTTCTGATAAGTGCTTGTTGGCCTATTTCTCTCTGAATGTAGCAGAGCTTAATGTATAATCTCTTACCTCTACCTAACAACAGTAAATACTTAGTGCTCAGACTATAATCATTTTAAAGGTTCATCATGGCCTTTTTTAATTTCCTGATGTCGTGTTGAATAGATTGTATCTGATCTGCACTGTGTTTACAAATGTCAACCAGCAGATGGAGACGTAGTAGAAGGAACAGTGATAAAAGACAAAGACTGAAAGGTCACCTAGAAAGTAACCTAGGGGTATGCATCTGGCTCTCTATAGTCACCTGCATCAGTGAATGAAACATAGGGAATACAGTGACATATGGGACAATAGACAACGTATCAAAACCACAATAGGTTGTGTGTGTTCTTTTGCCTAGTTACTGTCCACTCACTTGACCTGCGCCTCAGCTTGCATGAAGATGAACTCCCACTTCCTGGCGAAGGCCCTCTGCAGTCGAGCCAGATTCTCCTGTAAGACCCCCCAATCATAAAGACATGAGGGGTGAGAGTAAACCAGTGAAGGTTCTTGGGTAATTACATTGCTATAATGCATAACTCTCTTACTGCATAAAGCTAGCCATCTCAGCTTAATCAGCAAGTAATATCATGGCTGTTGTAATTTGCACGTAATAAAGGCATCTGCTTGGCACATGAGCAATGCAAACATCTGTCATACCTGTACATGTTCACTGAAATGACCTATTTTTAAAATGTGGGGAAAACAACACTCTGACCCAACCACCAAACCTATAGAGCTTGAAATAGACTAGAGCTCAGGGGCATGGCATGTGATCTGAGAGAAGCTGTAGTTGTGTAGATGATAGCTTTGTTAAACAGGTCTGTAGCGTATAGATAGTGTATTGTTCCAGTAGGGTGAATAGGGCACTCACAGCCTCGTAGTCAGCTAGCTCCAGCCTGGCCTTGTTCTGCATGGTGCGCTTACACAAGTAAATGGCTGCAGAGGAGAGAAGAGACAGTAGAAAGTAGTCAGTTACTTGCTGTTGCTTGGCAGACTTGTTTTAGTGACATTGCCAAACAAATACCACAGATGATGCATCAACAGCTGTGTAAGTGTAGTTTATCTCTTCTAAACAAATGCCACCTACTCAGTTTCTGCCTGAGTAAATCTCTACTGATCAGAGTGTGTGAGCAATATTTAATGAGACCGTTGGCATCTTTTGTCATTTACATAATCAGGCTGGAGAAATGCCATGCAAACATGAAAGCCTGGATATTTACAATAATGTCACGCAAGGCCCCTGTACCTTGGATGGCTAATCTAGCGCTGCAGGTTTAGGGGTGAGATTAGATCCTCCTGGAGAGATAGTGGGATGCATTACAGAGTGGGCCACTCATTCAATACTGGGTGTGAGACAACAACAGATCCATAGTCTGTGTTTACACTCTAGGCAGGAGGATATGACACAGTCTGGGCCAGACACTCTGTTCTCACTCTGCACTGAGCAGGGCTATAGGCTAGGTTGGCTGGGAGGGAGGGGGGACATCAGGGGGAAATAATTAGGGGTTACGCACAGATAATTAAATCACAGAGGCAATATTTAGGCACATTTTGAGCTGAGTTCAGTGATATTTTTGCAATTCCACCCCTTGGGACCCCAACCTAACTTACCATAGTCTGTGTTTTCAGGTTCCCAACAATTAGAGGGCCAGAAGAATGGAGCCTGAGGAGGAAAGTGGAGAGATCATGAAAGTATTCATCATCTTAAGAACATTTAAACATCCAAGCATCTGCCCAACACTGGTCTCCTCTTTTTGTTTTCCTAATGTTGATTCAGACAATTTTCCCCACACGGTCTCTAGCAGCAGTGTTTGAAGTAAACTGATCCTTTTCTTTTTGTTTCACTCAGCTAGCATTGTTCTGTATGTGGATCCGAAATGTCAAATAATGAGGTTTTAAACATATTTCGGAGACCCAGTTTCTTTGAAGACGGCCAGCCCCCGGTTTTAATATGCGCGTTGTGTCCAGTCCACCCTGACTCATAGCCCTGCCTTCTGTTGAGGTGAAGATGCTGGAGAAAATACAAACCATCCAAACTCTCTGTTCCTACCTTTTCCTCTCTAAGAACATGATCAAGTTAAAAGAAGATGAGTGACCTGATGATCAATGGCCTTCTTGTGCTCTGCATAACTATCTAGGGAAGAACAGTAGCTATATTCTCCATTCATATTTAATTGACTATTGCAATGGATATTTCAGATTCACGGTTCATTCCATAGTGCATAAATAATAGATTTCTCAGATCTATCGTGCATTCTTAATGATGGGCAGAATTAGAACACAGAGATGTTCCACGACATGATATTTCATCTCCAATATCACTCATAATTAGCTTCAGAACAAAAGGCAATGAGATCTGAATATGTGTCAGAATCGACACATCTAAAAGACAGGTTAACGTTTACTTTGCTGCATAAGGAAGATTGATAGATAAACAGAGATTAATCTACTATAGTCTGTTACCAAACTGCTCCAACAACATTTTATGTCGTTGGAGCAGTTTGGTGGGAAGATCATGTAGAAGAGTCTGAAAGGCATCATGGTTGTCTCTCTCCGTTCTTCCCTGTAAGCAGCCGGGACTCCAACAACATTTTATGACGTGAGTCTGCCTGCCCTGAAACATCACAGATTTGTCTCAAAGCACAGCAGGAAGTTGTCATTAAAAGTGTGGCTTCCAAAAAGACACAGCAGCTATTTATAGCACAGTGTACCCACACTGCCTCTGGGACTGCTCCTCAGTTCTGGCACAGAGACAAATCAACATATTCAACAGATCATGTAGGTCCTCTTTTAAATGGCAATGATGACACTCGCTTGTTGCACCATGACATAACATCAGAGGAAGGGTATTTTTAGTCCCATTGAATATGGGTGACACACACACATCCCCCTTCCAGAAAAAAATACATAATGTGTTTTAATCTGAAGGAAAATAAGTGTGGCTAAGTGGATTCTCCGGTAGATTGGGGGAGGAGTGGGATGGGTGGGTGACACAGAGACAAGTGCTGAGGAAGAGAGAGTGACAGCCCAACGTTTCCCAAAGGGAGCTGCTCCCAGCTGGGATTAGCCTGCTAATCAGCCAGCCATAGTGACTCATTCTTTTGGAGCCTTTCAGCAGGACCAGGAACCATTCAGCCTCCACTACACTGTAACATACTGTACACGATGCATGGCCCTCACAGTACAGTAGATTACTTTGAGGATGGAACAGCAATGCCAGTGTAGCGACGTGTCGTTTTTATGTCATATGTTGAACAATGTGGAACATCCTTTTTCTGTCTGTCTATAATGCTGAACTTCTATGGGCTAATGACATCCTCCAAGCTCTCAATTCAATTCAAAGGGCTTTATCGGCATGGGAAACATATGTTTACATTGCCAAAGCGAGTGAAATAGATAATAAACCCAAGTGAAATAAACAATAAAAAATGAACAGTAAATATTACACTCACAAAAGTTTCAAAGGAATAGAGACATTTCAAATGTAATATTATGGCTATTCTCTCTCTCAATTGAATTGAATTGAATTCAATCTCTCTCTCTTTACGACAAAAGTTCATAAAAGTGGCCCTTCACACCTAGGTGCCATATCATGTGACCTCACGGGACTAGAAAAAGCACTCTTATCCTCTTATCCCGCTGGACCTCTCAAGCTGGACCTCTTTCGAGGAGGGAGAAGGACCTCCATCTCCAGCAGGCCGACCACAGGGCCTGGACCTTCGCTTTTAATGGAAAGAACTGGTGAACTGATAAGTTAGGGAAGGTACCTTTTAGGGAATAGTACCTGTACTCCAGTACAGAAATTGGTACGGAAGAGCCCACGCACTAAACAGTCTCAGATGGAGGCTTAGTCTTTAAAGAGCTAGTGTAGCCTGAACAGTACATTTAAGCTAACCTTCTTCAAGGAAAGGAAGAGCCAGCAGACAGAGTAACCAGGGACACAACCCTAACAAGCAGCCCACGAGGGACCATCTAAACTCAGAGGAAAGGAGCAAGAAATCACCACCAAGGAACCCTTCAACTCAGGACAAAGGAGGACACACCGCCATCTTTTCTTTGTTCACCTCCATGCGGCCTAACCAGAGCCAAGGACAACAGACTTTGTTCACAGACTGAGTATCACATCTTTAATATTCAGAGATCTTGAGGTCTCTTTCTTGTCTTTCCTTCTATTTCCTACCTTTTCATGATCACTCTCATTATGTTTGTAAATATTTTGATTAGCTTTATTAAATGTTGATTCTATAAAGAACTCATGTTATTCTGGGATAGAACTCCAATTGATTCTCAAAGAATTCATACCTTCAGATGGATCCATGTATTACTATTATTCTAATTTGAGTCTTATAGTTATTGTAGAAGACCAATTCTGTCCAAGAAAGGACTGGTAACCCGTTAATAATGTCATAGTAATAAGTGTACACACTACCCTACACCAGACTGTGGGATGCTGTGAGTAGATCTGCAACACTGTACATTGTGCCTCTCCAATTGGTATAATCTATTATAGCAATATTGATATCTATATTTATTATATAGTGATAATACTAGACCTTATCTCTAGTGATTTAACCACAGGTTAAGGGAGAAAATGATGGCAGCGGTGGGTCCAGACTGATTACAGCGCTTGACCTGTATAGTGAGGATCAGACTACTAGAGGAATCTCTCACATAAGTGGCTCTGTTAGAACATATTCTCCCCTGGTTATTTCTGCTTTAGAGTGACCAGCCACAAGGTAATGAGGCTACTGTTCTGTTCTGGACAGTGCACAGGGATCATTTATCCACTCCTTTGCCTTCATGTGATATAGGTCATGACTCATGTTATGGATGGTGGTGTGGACAATAAATCCAGTTTAGGACCACTAAGGATGGTCGGTCTACTGGTGCCTGAAGTTACCATGGTAGCTTACCTGGAAGCGGTACAAGGTCCCATCATCTTTGAGAGTGAGGACGTGGTCGGAGATGGGGAAGAGGTAGCCCTGGGCAGCGATCAGGCTCCCTAAATGGATGGCTTCAGCTGCAGGAGAGAGAACAGGATACTAACGCTGAGTAGAGAAAAATTGCTTCCCTTTTCAATGCTTGAGTAGAGACAGACATCAGTGGTCAATCCCAGTGAAATAAGTAATTATGTCTGTGTACATAGCACGCATACCTGAGTCCTCAATGGAGAGGTTTTTCACCAGCCACAGCACAATGTCTGCTCCTGGTATTCAAAAGAGAAGAATGGTTGACAGCGACAATTAAATGGCATTGTACACACAGAAAGCCTCTACACAAAAGCTGCAACAGTCCTTGAACAGGTCTCCCCTCAACAATCTATTACTTTTAGCTTACAGCACAGCTACAATGCTGACATCAAATAGCTGACCAATCAGTCTGTTACCAACCCTTAGTAAACTTTGGGGAAAAAGTGTGTTTGACCAGATACAATGTTTTTTTACAATAGATAAATTAACAACATTCCCCAAGGCAGCCACCTAGGCCCCTTACTTTTTTCAATCTTTACTAATGACCTGCCACTAGCGCTGAGTAAAGCCCATGTGTCTATGTATGCGGATGACTCAACACTATACACGTCAGTTACTACAGCGAGTGAAATTACTGCAACACTTAAAAAAGAGCTGCAGTCAGTTTCAGAATGGGAGGCAAGAAATAAGTTAGTCCTAAATATTTAAAAAAAACTGAAAGCATTGTATTTGGGACAAATCATTCACTAAACCTTAAACCTCAACTAAGTCTTGTAATGAGTAATGTGGAAATTGAGCAAGTTGAGGAGACCAAACTGCTTGGAGTAACCCTGGATTGTAAACTGTTTTGGTCAAAACATATTGATGCAACAGAAGCTAAGATGGGGAGAGGTCTGTCCATAATATGTCTACAATAAAGCGCTGCTCTGCCTTCTTAACAACAATATCAACAAGGTGGGTCCTACAGGCCCTAGTTTTGTCGCACCTGGACTACTGCCCAGTCATGTGGTCAGGTGCCACAAAGAGGGACTTTGGAAAATTACAACTGGCCCAGAACAGGGTAGCACGGCTGGCCCTTAAATGTACATATAGAGCTACCATTAATAATATGCATGTCAATCTCTCATGGCTTAAAGTAGAGGAGAGATTGACTTAATCACTACTTGTTTTGTAAGAAGTATTGACATGTTGAATGAACCGAACTGTCTGTTTAAACTACTAGCACACAGCTCAGACACTCATGCATACCCCACAAGACATGCCACCAGAGGACTCTTCACAGTCCCCAAGTCCAGAACAGACTATGGGAGGCGCACAGTACTACATAGAGCCATGACTACATGGAACTCTATTCCACATCAGGTAACTGATGCAAGCAGTAGAATCCGATTTAAAAAACAGATAAAAATATACCTTATGGAACAACGAGGACTGTGAAGAGTCAAACACACAGGTGCAAACACACACATACAAACACACATAACATACAGAATATACACACACGTACACCTGGATTGTGTGTTGTAGTAGAGCAGTGACCAGAGGGCACACACTTCATGTATTGTGAAATCTGTTGTAAAATGTATTTTAGTGTTTAAAAATGTTATTATAATGTATATTACTGCCTTAATTTTTCGGACCCCAGGAAGAGTAGCTGCTGCCTTGGTAGCAGCTAATGGGGATCCATAATAAATACAAATACAAATGCCGTTGGCTAAGGCTGAATGTGGCATAGCTGAGCAGTTTGCAGGAACAATTTAAACGGAACAATGTGATCTTGGACTAACAATAGGCAGGAAACCAGGTATTTTGTCTAACTCCTGGACAGCAACATCTTTGGCATAATGTTAGCGCTTGGCAGTGAGGAGTGAAGTGAAGTGTGACACAGCAGGCCTAGAGAGACATGTGAGATTGTGTGTCACACTCAGAGAGGCGTTACTTGGAGCATCCCCATCCCCCCACCCCACTCCCCACCACCCCCATGGATACTGTTGACTCTGTTGACTCTCTCTCACACACACACACACACACACACACACGCCAGAACTGTCTTACTCACTCACACTGCCCCTTAAACCATGTCACCCAACACACAACCATCCACACGGCACAATGACAAGGGCAGCAACACACCAGACATCACATCAGGCTTCTCTGCCAAAGCCTTATGGGCTGAGACTGCCTCATCTGTCCCCATCTGCAGAGGCAGCAATTCAAATGAGCCAGAAAGGTCATATTTGCTTTAATGATTCTGACTCTTTCTCTCTCTCTGTGAGCACACTAATGAGTCGTAGAGATCTATGAGAAGAGAAAAGGAGTCCAAAGAGAGCAGAGAGATGAGAAGAGAGACGAGAGAGAGAACTCTTTATCTCCTCTCTATATCTTTATCTCTCTCTCTACTCTCTCTCTCTCTCTCTCTCATCTCGTCTATCTCTCTCTCTCTCTCTCTCTCTCTCTCTCTCTCTCTCTCTCCTCCTCTGACTCTCTCTCACACACATGCATGTCAAGCATCCGCATGCAGCAAGAGCACGCTTACACACACACACACACACACACACAAACACACACACACACACACACACAACACACACACACACACAACACACACACACACACACACACACACACACACACACACACACACACACACACACACACATAGCTGGTCACCTGATACCACACTGGGGATCTTGGACAGGAAGCTCTTGACAGTTCGGATGGCCACCCCTCCTGCTTTCTCATCTTGTATCCGCATAATGACGTCTTCAATCTAAAGGGGAGAGGAGAAACAACACACGTGATCAGGGTTAGAGCACGAACCAAAACATCCACAGTTTCTCCATAAAAAAATTCATTTTCATATTATAATCCAATGGTGATGGGGATTACTTGTGTGTGTGCTGTGGCCTGCAAAAAAAAGTATGTTTATTGAGCCCCACAGTTCCTACGGTAACAAGGCCCTCCAATGGGGAGACGTTGAGGAAGGCTGTCAGAGTGATTCCTCAGAGGCTAAGATAAACATCACACCTCAAACGCACTGCAGGCAGCGAGCACCCCACCACATCACACATCAGCAACCTAAAATTAGGCACGGCGGCACCGTGCTCGCAGGTCACAACTCAAGCATTACAAAAACAAGAAACCAAACTCCTCCATGACAAACATACACACCCGCATTCTGGATAACAATTCCCCTCACCTACAGTCAGCCAATATCACTCCCACTGACACAGACACATTATGCACACATTTATAGCTCCATGCAGCAGAGGTTTCCGTCAAGGTGGAGAAGCTTAATAAGGGATATGTGGTGTGAAACCCTTGACCTGGTTTTTACAGTCTCAGGATGTCAGGTCAGGTATGATGTGACTAGGATTAGTGAGTAAGACCTGATCTGCCAATGTCACACCACACAACAGGGCTCCCAAGCACCACAGCCTGGACTGATGGACTCTCAGACCAGAAATTCACATCAAATGACCCTGATTTAGTACACTCAGTGTTATCAAGAGCCCACCTCACCCTGTGCTCGCTGGCCATTAAATCCTTCATTTTTCAGCAAGCACACAAACACACACACAAACACACAACACACACACACACACACACACACACACACACACACACACATACACACACTGACTGTAACAAAGCTGATTATGCTTGGATGAATTCAAAAGCCTGATTGTGTGCGAAGCCTATTTGATTTGGTTACTCCATTCACTTCCTCATCTCAGAAAGGTAATCTGTATTTATCTGCACTGTTAAATGGGAGATGGCATGGAGCGACTCCTCATTGTGTTACCATCAGTAGTCAGCAACAATCAGAAAACACTCTTTATCAGTCATTTGCATAGAGCCCTATAGGGAACAGTGATAAAGTCACGCAATTCTCTGTTGTGTGCCACTGCCATTCCAGCATGTTCCTGACCCCCTTCTCTCCCTCTCCTCTCATCCATCATTTAAACTGACACATTTGCACGTGTGAAGTCGTTCCATTAGCCTCCTTAGCCTCAGAATTTCATCTCTGAGCAAGCGAGTGCACCAAGAGCCAACTGCCTCCTCTCTTTAGTGGTTGCAGCAGGTTGCAGTTGCATGACATGCCTCAGTACTGTGTACTCACAAGAACAACTATAGAGATGTATAGTATTCTGGGCAATCCCACTCACACGCCAAGGACAGTAAAGTAAAACTACACAGCTTTACAACAAGTGTAAATATTGCTCACTAATTCAACAATCAGGAGGAACAATTACAACTTAGTTGACACATCAGCATGTCTGTCTATGGCTATCATCTCCTTGCCAACCGGCTAAGTGTTAAATAGATGACTCAGATGCTCAAGTCGTACATTTTATATACCTGAGCAACACATTTGAGATGCGTATGGATTTAATAATAGCCCCATAATGTTTCAGGAGAGGAGGAGGAATAGTGAGGCAAGACAATTACAATTCTCTCACCATGAGAGTGTCTTCATATGAATTATGAATGAAAGCTCATCCACAGAGAATTACTGCCTTTACACAGACTGTGCTGTTGATACCTCTACACAGACTGCTCTTAGAGAGAGAGAGAGAGAGAGAGAGAGAGAGAGAGAGAGGAGAGAGAGAGAGAGAGAGAGAGAGAGAGAGATACCACACTGCATCAACTGTCCGTATTTTCAGAGAGAAGAAACAAGGATTTTACAGTATGCTACAGTAACATTCCTGTCTTAGCCATTGTGTTGTGAGCAGAGACATTTTAGAACGGCACAATCAGTCCAACCAGATTTAATGCCTTCCTGTGTTTGAATACAAACCTTGAGACAAAACAACGGGGAAAAAGCTCTGAAACCATCTCCATTTGCCACAATGCAGTGCCACTCCACACACCCTGAGAGAGACAACAGTGAAAGGATTGAGTTATTTTGTTCTTGTGTAATAATGGACCTTGGACTCCATAACAGCATTAAAAATAACTAATTATCTCCCTATAGGATGACAGTGGACATGAAGTACTTGGCAGGGGTACAGAACCTTGCCGTATCTTTTCGCTATGGAAGCTAATGGTGTTTGCAGCTTGGTGTGGAGGGCTTTAAGAGCTGAACATTCCTGCTAGCAGGCGATAACAGCACTTTGCCCCTTTGCACTGAGCTCTATAAACGGCAATCGTGTGTGTGTGTGTGTGTGTGTGTGTGTGTGTGTGTGTGTGTGTGTGTGTGTGTGTGTGTGTGTGTGTGTATGCTGGGCCCCGTTGTCATCCATCTCTCTTATCTGTGAGGCTACTGAGGGCCCATGCTGCTGTCAGGAAGTGCCACCGTTCCACTCAGCCAGCTGCCCCGTGACGCTCCCTGACCAGCCATTACAGAGTGGAGTGTGACCCAGTGGAGGTGACAGGGTCAGGCATTTGTGAGAGTGGCCTAATGCTGCTAGAGGAGGCTCAACTTATCAGAAACACAGAAACACCATGAGGACTTTTGGTACTGTGTAAGCTGTGTGGTTTCGATTACCAACTGGAGTTTCTACCTCATTGAAACAGTGGTTTGAGTTGAAATAATGTCTGTAGGGAGCTATTACTGGATACGAGAAATAAATACATTTCCACCAACCAGGATGTTTTTAAATCCTGGTCATGACAAGAGCATTTACTCAAATTGTGACTAATACTAACTACAGTACCTTAAATCTGTAAATGGTGCCAGACAAGCTAATAATAAGATAATATAATATAATAATAATAATATGCCATTTAGCAGATGCTTTTATCCAAAGCGACTTACAGTCATGCGTGCATAATTATATATTTTTTGTGTATGTGTGGTCCTGGGGATCGAACCCACTACCTTGGCGTTACAAGCGCCATGCTCTACCAGCTGAGCTACAGAGGACCACCAGAAAAGTCTCCCAACATGAGGGCTTGATAAAAAATGTATAAGGCTGTAATAGAGCATTAATGATTCAACAGCTATCACCTCCACAGACATGCTCGTCATTGACGTTTATGGCTGTGAAAGTCATGATGGCCAATTGGAAAACTTTTAAGACTGTTTTCTGACCTACTTTCTGCTAAATGAGGTTCTCTGTACTGCTCAATTAACATATGAACAGAGTCCAACAATTTGAAATATAGAATAGATTTCTGATAAGTGCATATTGGATAAGTGTAAACTCTTTCTACGTGCAGTGAGAGTTCACAGACCCAATACATTCTTCTGACTTGCTCTGGATATCTTCATATGCTGGATTAGTGCATGCTTTCCAACAGTCCAAAGCCATCACAATGAACTGTTTATGGAGCAAGTAACTTTTAGGCAAGAAATCAAACATACTTTTTTTTCTCCTAGGACCAGCCAGGCATCAAACTGTGTGAATAGCAAGCTAATATCTAGCTTGGCGCCAGCTGGTCTGGTCTGCTCTAGGGATACAGGTGTGAATGAGGGCTGCTGGGGTAGAGAGAGTCTCCCTGTACCTCTATGGTCCAGAGGGGGGCTGCTGCAGGTCTGATCATGAAGAGGGGGCTCCGGGTGTTAGGGAGCCTCTCCTGGATTTGTTCCACCAGGGAGAGACACTGTGACAGCTACTGGGACAACCCTCACATGCAACAGGACAAGTAATGACTAGAAAGGCCAGCCACAGAGGAGAAACCAAATACACACATACAGTATACTGTACACTCACTCACTCACTCACACCTCTCTCCCTTTGCTCTATTCTAGTGCTTTAGGCAGTCATTACCAAACCCATGTACCTGCTCAAGCCATTTCTCTTTTTCCTGCTGAAATATCAACTATGTATAATGTCTTGAAAACAGAAATGTATTAATTGATGAATGTGTATTGGAAATAGTCCCATGACATTTCTCAACAGGATACATCTCAGTTATATGGGGGTATTGGGCTTCTGAAAAAGAATCCTCAGCCATGTTTCCACAGCTAAGACTGTGACCCCTTGAACATTGCTTCTGCAATGCTCAGCATGTTGAAAATTACATTTCTTCTTAGAAACATCTCATTCAGACATTGTTACAGCGACAGGCCAAACTTTTAGGAGTGAGTCTGAGTCACATACTCTGCTCAGACGGTTCATTTGTAGTACCTTCACATTGCCACAGGCAGGGCATCAGCAGTTTTCACTGTTAACTTTCCAGCCAGTAACCTCAGTGGTCATTCAACATTCTGAGCCTGCTCTGGTAAAACGGGGCAGGTGGAGCATACTGAAAAATACCCAATTAGCTGCAGCTTGATTGACTGTTCAGCCTGCAAGCCTACTGGGGCTGAGAACCACAGGAAAAGCCCAAGTGTGAATATGTGTGTGATTCAGAACCAAGGCCCACGTGGTCAAAGTATTGATGGCAATGGCAGTTGCATGCTTGGGCCAGTTGGAGCTCCCTGCTTGGGCCAGTTGGAGCTCCCTTGTTGAAGAGACTAATATAGGAGTGTAGTGGGAGAATGGGAAGGAAGAGGAGGGCCTACGTGGGCTTTAGTTTCCATGGCAATGCTCATAGAGACGAGGGGAACGGAGCAATTAAAAGTTTGTTGAATTTCTCCCTGCATGGGAATAGAGCCAGATAGACTCAATTTACAATTACCGATCAGGCCTGTAGAGAAGGATAATCTAGTCAGTAGTCAGCACTCCCTTTGAAACACAGGGATGAAGAGAAACAACACGAATACCAGAAAAACATCCTCCCATGTAATAGTTTGTTGTTACAGACTCAATGGGTTGCATGAGTGCAGACAACACAGAAAAACATTTGAATCCCTCAGTCAGAATGAATGGTGCACTTTTAGAACTACAGTGGGGGAAAAAAGTATTTAGTCAGCCACCAATTGTGCAAGTTCTCCCACTTAAAAAGATGAGAGGGGCCTGTAATTTTCATCATAGGTACACGTCAACAATGACAGACAAAATGAGAAGAAAAAAATCCAGAAAATCACATTGTAGGATTTTTAATGAATTTATTTGCAAATTATGGTGGAAAATAAGTATTTGGTCAATAACAAAAGTTTCTCAATACTTTGTTATATACTCTTTGTTGGCAATGACACAGGTCAAACGTTTTCTGTAAGTCTTCACAAGGTTTTCACACACTGTTGCTGCTATTTTGGCCCATTCCTCCATGCAGATCTCCTCTAGAGCAGTGATGTTTTGGGGCTGTCGCTGGGCAACACGGACTTTCAACTCCCTCCAAAGATTTTCTATGGGGTTGAGATCTGGAGACTGGCTAGGCCACTCCAGGACCTTGAAATGCTTCTTACGAAGCCACTCCTTCGATGCTGAAAGACCCAGCCACGTTTAATCTTCAATGCCCTTGCTGATGGAAGAAGGTTTTCACTCAAAATCTCACGATACATGGCCCCATTCATTCTTTCCTTTACACGGATCAGTCGTCCTGGTCCCTTTGCAGAAAAACAGCCCCAAAGCATGATGTTTCCACCCCCATGCTTCACAGTAGGTATGGTGTTCTTTGGATGCAACTCAGCATTCTTTGTCCTCCAAACACGACGAGTTGAGTTTTTACCAAAAAGTTATATTTTGGTTTCATCTGACCATATGACATTCTCCCAATCCTCTTCTGGATCATCCAAATGCACTCTAGCAAACTTCAGACGGGCCTGGACATGTACTGGCTTAAGCAGGGGGACACGTCTGGCACTGCAGGATTTGAGTCCCTGGCGGCGTAGTGTGTTACTGATGGTAGGCTTTGTTACTTTGGTCCCAGCTCTCTGCAGGTCATTCACTAGGTCCCCCCGTGTGGTTCTGGGATTTTTGCTCACCATTCTTGTGATCATTTTGACCCCACGGGGTGAGATCTTGCGTGGAGCCCCAGATCGAGGGAGATTATCAGTGGTCTTGTATGTCTTCCATTTCCTAATAATTGCTCCCACAGTTGATTTCTTCAAACCAAGCTGCTTACTTATTGCAGATTCAGTCTTCCCAGCCTGGTGCAGGTCTACAATTTTGTTTCTGGTGTCCTTTGACAGCTCTTTGGTCTTGGCCATAGTGGAGTTTGGAGTGTGACTGTTTGAGGTTGTGGACAGGTGTCTTTTATACTGATAACAAGTTCAAACAGGTGCCATTAATACAGGTAACGAGTGGAGGACAGAGGAGCCTCTTAAAGAAGAAGTTACAGGTCTGTGAGAGCCAGAAATCTTGCTTATTTGTAGGTGACCAAATACTTATTTTCCACCATAATTTGCAAATAAATTCATAAAAAATCCTACAATGTGATTTTCTGGAATTTCTTTCCTCAATTTGTCTGTCATAGTTGACGTGTACCTATGATGAAAATTACAGGCCTCTCTCATCTTTTTAAGTAGGAGAACTTGCACAATTGGTGGCTGACTAAATACTTTTTTCCCCCACTGTGAGTGGCCCATAGATAGTGACTAATTTCAAGAGACACAATTATCTGCAGTGACGGATGTACTTGAAAAGCAGGATAGAAACAAGTAACCCTATAATATCCTATATCAAGACCAACACAGTCATTGCTTTGGATCTCATTCACTAAAACCGCAGTCCATCTATTGAAAACAACTGCTGCAGATGTAGGATCTTAATTTGATCACTCCAGTCAAATGATCAAAGACTCCTTGCAGTCCCAAAGACACGCCTAAAAACAATGGGTGACCGAGCACTCTGCTGTCTCGGCCCTCGGCTTTAGAACGAGCACCCCCCTCCCTTCCCATGCCCTAGACCACCACTGCCTTTAAGTCTGAGCTCAAGAAACACTTCTTCAAACTGGTTTTCACTTAATGTGATCTATGTTGTGGTGTCTGTTGTTGGTCATATACTTTAGTTTCAAGTTCTATTGTTTTGTCCTTGTCGTCTCCTTAATTATTTTGTGTATCTTGTATAGTACTACACCGCTAGCTATCTTTTAATTTCTCGCCAGTGTTTTTGCCCTTTTAGTGTAGCTTTTTTATTTTAATGGTTGCGCTCAATGTAAAGAGCTTTGTGATTTACATCTGTTAGTGAAAAGCGCACTATAAATGTAATGTACACTGCTCAAAAAAAAAAAGGGAACACTTAAACAACACAATGTAACTCCAAGTCAATCACACTTCTGTGAAATCAAACTGTCCACTTAGGAAGCAACACTGATTGACAATAAATGTCACATGCTGTTGTGCAAATGGAATAGACAACAGGTGGAAATTATAGGCAATTAGCAAGACACCCCCAATAAAGGACTGGTTTTGCAGGTGGTGACCACAGACCACTTCTCAGTTCCTATGCTTCCTGGCTGATGTTTTGGTCACTTTTGAATGCTGGCTGAGCTTTCACTCTAGTGGTAGCATGAGACGGAGTCTACAACCCACACAAGTGGCTCAGGTAGTGCAGCTCATCCAGGATGGCACATCAATGCGAGCTGTGGCAAGAAGGTTTGCTGTGTCTGTCAGCGTAGTGTCCAGAATATGGAAGCGCTACCAGGAGACAGGCCAGTACATCAGGAGACGTGGAGGAGGCCGTAGGAGGGCAACAACCCAGCAGCAGGACTGCTACCTCCGCCTTTGTGCAAGGAGGAGCAGGAGGAGCACTGCCAGAGCCCTGCAAAATGACCTCCAGCAGGCCACAAATGTGCATGTGTCTGCTCAAACGGTCAGAAACAGACTCCATGAGGGTGGTATGAGGGCCCGATGTCCACAGGTGGGGGTTGTGCTTACAGCCCAACACCGTGCAGGACGTTTGGCATTTGCCAGAGAACACCAAGATTGGCAAATTCGCCACTGGCGCCCTGTGCTCTTCACAGATGAAAGCAGGTTCACACTGAGCACGTGACAGACGTGACAGAGTCTGGAGACGCCGTGGAGAACGTTCTGCTGCCTGCAACATCCTCCAGCATGACCGGTTTGGCGGTGGGTCAGTCATGGTGTGGGGTGGCATTTCTTTGGGGGGCCGCACAGCCCTCCATGTGCTCGCCAGAGGTAGCCTGACTGCCATTATGTACCGAGATGAGATCCTCAGACCCCTTGTGAGATCATATGCTGGTGCGGTTGGCCCTGGGTTCCTCCTAATGCAAGACAATGCTAGACCTCATGTGGCTGGAGTGTGTCAGCAGTTCCTGCAAGAGGAAGGCATTGATGCTATGGCCTGCCCGTCCCCCAGACCTGAATCCAATTGAGCACATCTGGGACATCATGTCTCGCTCCATCCACCAACGCCACGTTGCACCACAGACTGTCCAGGAGTTGGCGGATGCTTTAGTCCAGGTCTGGGAGGAGATCCCTCAGGAGACCATCCGCCACCTCATCAGGAGCATGCCCAGGCGTTGTAGGGAGGTCATACAGGCACGTGGAGGCCACACACACTACTGAGCCTCATTTTGACTTGTTTTAAGGACATTACATCAAAGTTGGATCAGCCTGTAGTGTGGTTTTCCACTTTAATTTTGAGGGTGACTCCAAATCCAGACCTCCATGGGTTGATACATTTGATTTCCATTGATAATTTTTGTGTGATTTTGTTGTCAGCACATTCAACTATGTAAAGAAAAAAGTATTTAATAAGATTATTTCATTCATTCAGATCTAGGATGTGTTATTTTTGTGTTCCCTTTATTTTTTGAGCAGTGTATTATTATTATAAAACAAAGGAGTTGATTGTAGACTTCAGGAAGCAGAGGAGGGAACATGCCCCGATCCACATCAGCGGGACTGCAATAGAGAGAGTCAGCAGTTTTAAGTTTCTACGCGTCCACATCACCAAGGATTTGACAGGACCAACGATATCACCACTCTTGTCAAGAGGGCGTAACAGCGTCTCTACTTCCTAAGGTGGCAGAAAAAATTGGCATGCCACCCAGGTCCTCTCCATATCCTGCCACTGGACCATTGAAAGCTTCCTGACCGGTTGCATCACGGCCTGGTATGGAAATTGCTCCGTCCACGACTGCAAGGCCCTCCAGCGGGTGGTGAAGATGGCCCAGTACATCACTGGGACCGTGCTCCCACCCATCCAGGACATCTACTCGAAACAGTGTCTGAGGAAGGCCTGCAGCATTATCAAGGACCCCACACACCCCAGCCACGAGCTGTTCACTCCTTTACCGTTGGGCAGATGGTATCGGAGCATGAGGTCTGATACAAACAGGTTCAGAGACAGTTTCTATCTACAAGCCATCAGATGGCTGAACACTTGAACTGGACTGACCACCTGCACTGACTCTCCGCAACATAGCACACATGCACTCACTCACTCATATACAGTCATGCTACACACACATCACAACTGCAGCTACCAGACTCTTATTATGCTAAATACTGCACAATTTAAACACTTGCCCCCAATCCCCCCCTTCCCCAAAACACGTGTGAATATTTGACTATAACTTGTGCCTTCCTGTATTATACTTATGCTACAATGTCTATTCTATTCTACTGAGACATTTCCTTAATGTTCATATTCTTATCTTGTATTATTTCTTATTGTTGTTGCATTGTCAAGAAGGAACCTGTAAGTCAGCATTTAATTGGACGGTGTATACCATGTGTATCCCGTACATATGACTAATATAACTTGAAACTTGTATTCAAGGTCCAAAAAGGCTTCTATAGTTTGTAATTTCCACATAAAAATGACTTGATTTGCCCTAATGTAAAATGTATCAACCTCTACAAAAAATGTCCATTAATTAAAATCCACATAATAATTAACATTTCCTGTTGCTGCAGGATTATTTTCCTGCAATAGCAAACTGGCTCAAATTAAGATCCTACATCTGTATTCTTCAAGGCACTTAGGCCAAACAAACACATCTTACAGCATCTACATCCTGAGTGCCAGTGGGACTCCAGAGTGTCTGTAGTCTAATAAGGTCCCCTGACTTTATCTCTGCATGGTAATTGGGGAAGAAATGCTATAGTGAAGGCTTTTTGCATGTGTGGTAATGAAAGACAACAGAATAGTTCAAGGTGGGAGTGGTGGCACTGGAAGAAGAGTTGTCCTGCTCCTACTGTGACAGTTTTGCTTGGTTAGCACCTTACAAAGGTCCTCCAATTACAACATGGCGACACTCAGAGAGATTTGAAAATGACTGCAAGGAAGTGATTTTCTTCAACAGAAAGTCCTTCATCTGAGCCAAAATCACAGTCACTTACTTCCAAGTTGCATCCATTCGTCTGCACTCTTTTCCTCTGTGTCTGAGGCAAAGCCAAGCTACTGAAATGTGAAAGTACTGTAAGACAGAGAGCTTGACAACAGTGTGGCTGTGTTGAGTGAGAGCCGGATAGAACTGTTCTATTTTGAGAAGGTAAGGCAAGGGAAGATGCACAGAGATGGATAGATTCTCTATGTGGTTATCAGATGGATCACGGCCACTCTGTACTGATACCAATTTAGGTGCTGCAGTCAGTGAAGCCCACTCTCTCTCTTCATTAGCCCTGTCTGGAGGAGAAGAGGGGGTGATGGAGAGGACCATGCTGGTACGGATGTGTATGCTTTGTCGTGATGTGCTCAACATAAATAGCAACAACTGTATTTGTCTATCTGGAGTGGCTGAGAGATGAACAATGTATGTTGCTAAGCAAACAGGAGACAACATGCTCACAACAGCTGAGTCAGAATTAGTTACAGACTGTTGTTATTTTCATTGTGGTAGCTCAACATCTTTACATCCAATCCAAGTCTAATTTCTGATCTTACTGATATACCAAATAAACATACAACAACATGTACAGTGGGGAAAAAAAGTATTTAGTCAGCCACCAATTGTGCAAGTTCTCCCACTTAAAAAGATGAGAGAGGCCTGTAATTTTCATCATAGGTACACGTCAACTATGACAGACAAATTGAGAATTTTTTTCTCCAGAAAATCACATTGTAGGATTTTTAATGAATTTATTTGCAAATTATGGTGGAAAATAAGTATTTGGTCACCTACAAACAAGTAAGATTTCTGGCTCTCACAGACCTGTAACTTCTTCTTTAAGAGGCTCCTCTGTCCTCCACTCGTTACCTGTATTAATGGCACCTGTTTGAACTTGTTATCAGTATAAAAGACACCTGTCCACAACCTCAAACAGTCACACTCCAAACTCCACTATGGCCAAGACCAAAGAGCTGTCAAAGGACACCAGAAACAAAATTGTAGACCTGCACCAGGCTGGGAAGACTGAATCTGCAATAGGTAAGCAGCTTGGTTTGAAGAAATCAACGGTGGGAGCAATTATTAGGAAATGGAAGACATACAAGACCACTGATAATCTCCCTCGATCTGGGGCTCCACGCAAGATCTCACCCCGTGGGGTCAAAATGATCACAAGAACGGTGAGCAAAAATCCCAGAACCACACGGGGGGACCTAGTGAATGACCTGCAGAGAGCTGGGACCAATGTAACAAAGCCTACCATCAGTAACACACTACGCCGCCAGGGACTCAAATCCTGCAGTGCCAGACGTGTCCCCCTGCTTAAGCCAGTACATGTCCAGGCCCGTCTGAAGTTTGCTAGAGTGCATTTGGATGATCCAGAAGAGGATTGGGAGAATGTCATATGGTCAAATGAAACCAAAATAGAACTTTTTGGTAAAAACTCAACTCGTCGTGTTTGGAGGACAAAGAACGCTGAGTTGCATCCAAAGAACACCATACCTACTGTGAAGGATGGGGGTGGAAACATCATGCTTTGGGGCTGTTTTTCTGCAAAGGGACCAGGACGACTGATCCGTGTAAAGGAAAGAATGAATGGGGCCATGTATCGTGAGATTTTGAGTGAAAACCTCCTTCCATCAGCAAGGGCATTGAAGATGAAACGTGGCTGGGTCTTTCAGCATGACAATGATCTCAAACACACCGCCCGGGCAACGAAGGAGTGGCTTCGTAAGAAGCATTTCAAGGTCCTGGAGTGGCCTAGCCAGTCTCCAGATCTCAACCCCATAGAAAATCTTTGGAGGGAGTTGAAAGTCTGTGTTGCCCAGCGACAGCCCCAAAACATCACTGCTCTAGAGGAGATCTGCATGGAGGAATGGGCCAAAATACCAGCAACAGTGTGTGAAAACCTTGTGAAGACTTACAGAAAACATTTGACCTGTGTCATTGCCAACAAAGAGTATATAACAAAGTATTGAGAAACTTTTGTTATTGACCAAATACTTATTTTCCACCATAATTTGCAAATAAATTCATAAAAAATCCTACAATGTGATTTTCTGGAGAAAAAAAAATCTCATTTTGTCTGTCATAGTTGACGTGTACCTATGATGAAAATTACAGGCCTCTCTCATCTTTTTAAGTGGGAGAACTTGCACAATTGGTGGCTGACTAAATACTTTTTTTCCCCCACTGTATGCACAGGGAGGGTTTATGAAGCTTAAGAAAACCACAGTATGCATTATTCATTTTTGACTTCGCAATGCTGACATTGAGTGCCTCAGGGTCTTTTCCTATCTGCCACTAGGTTGTGGTGACTAGGTTAATGGGAATATGTTTTCCTTAGACCCTAATCTGACTCATCTACATCTACATGGACCTACTTGTTCCTTATGTGAGAGAAGGAGGAATTATATTCCTTCATTACAGAGTCCACTACTCCTTGGGTGCAGGAGGGAGGAGAGGACAAACCAGGCCTGTGGGCTGCCGTGCGGACGGGCAGTGTACCATGCCAATCAAAGGGCAGAGAATGCCATTTTTTGTGTTATTAGACTCCTTGAAGTCTTTGGTTTGCTGGAACAGATGGAATTTCACAAATTTGATCAAGCTCTACTTATTACTGAAATGACTACTGACCAGTTACTGTCCTGTAAAGTAGGTATCTTCACAGCAGATACAAATGCTTGCTATGCCTTTTCTCTAGCATGTAGGCTCTGTCGTAGCTGGCCGCGACCGGGAGACCCATGGGGCGGCGCACAATTGGCCCAGCGTCGTCCAGGATAGGGGAGGGAATGGCCGGCAGGGATGTAGCTCAGTTGGTTGAGCATGGCGTTTGCAATGCCAGGGTTGTGGGTTCGATTCCCACAGGGGGCCAGTAAAAAAATATACATATATATATATATATATATATAAAAATAATAATGTATGCACTCACTAACTGTAAGTCGCTCTGGATAAGAGCGTCTGCTAAATTACATTAAAAAAAATTAAAAAATGTCATTATTACTAATACACAAGAGTGGTGGGCTATCAGAGACAGAGGCAGCCTGAAGTCCTCCTAACAGGCCTTTTTTATGTCTGTTCACAGCTGTCTAATCAGAGTTTTATAATGATATGACCAGAATATTACTGATGCAGTGGACACATTGACATTGTGCACCAAGATGTATGGTCAGTGTATTCCTGGTGCTCATTGGATGCTAACAGGTCATTGGTATTGAAAGGGTAAAAATAACAGCAAAGGGTGTTTAAATAAAAATCTGTTTGTTTCCTGCTCAGGGATGATGCGATGCCTTCTCTGGTTACACAGAAAATGAATGTGGGTTGGGGTTGAGACTCCACTGCTTATCCTCATCCATTAGAGCACACACACACAAATACAAACGCACGCATGCGCACACACACACACGCGCGCACACACACACGGCAACATATGCTTATTTAGCTTGTCATTAGCAATCTGTTGAATAGTGTCTACTGTAGGGCACTTTGCAGTCAAATGCTCAATAGAATCCTAATCAGTTTGATTGATTTAAAGGGATGCTGTGTCTTTCTCTCATGTTATCATTCTATGAAGCCATCTGTTCTTAATTCATACAAAACGACTCTCATGAGTACCATGCACAATCTGACAACACTGCATCGCTGCAGTCCCTGTCATGGATAGAAGTCTACACAATTGCCACACCCCAAAATGATGCTGTCTTCTATCTTAATCCTTAATGTCTCGGAGCACACAGGCAATCAGTGAGGTAATGGCCCTTGACCTTTAAGACTCACATGGATTATCTGTCATGACAGCTGCCCTGTTGGAGTAAAGGCTTTTATGGCTTCATGTATCAATGGGGTTCCATTCCGTTCCCCCAGAGTGTGATAATCCTCCTCTATGCAGCACTGTGCCTGTTACCTGTATCCTGTGTTTGGCCCTCCAGAGTGTTACTAGAACATTCCCAAATTAAGAAGGTAGGATGCTGCTCTGACAACAGGGAGACAAATTGAAAATGTCTGTTCTGAGAGAGCCAAGGAGCCGCACCAGTGCATCACTAGGGGAAATGTCCACTGGCTCCCTCAGTGACATATAGATACTAGTAGGAACCCACTCTGCTGTCGGAGAGCAACATGAACCCACCTGGACCAATGTAGCAATGTGCAGAGTGTGCTTTATATGGGAGAGGAAGGACCAACCTATTTTCTGAGAACCCACCAACATCAATGAGAGTTGGACTCAATAATGAGTGCAGAACAATGTTTCAAAAGCTCATATTTCCTTGCGACTTTCTACCCACTTAGAGCCACATGGCTCTAGAGTCACTAGCATCGCTCACCTCAGATGAGGTTGTATCTGTTCCCTTCCCGGGGGATGGCTGGCTCCTCATTCTCCTGACAGACAGAGGGGAAGGTTCAGTAGCCTTTGTCACCGTGTCATCCTCTCCCTGCCGGGCCACTTATTATGATCCTCTAATGGCCTTTTAATAACCACAAATTAGCCTGGAGGTATTTGATGGTAGGGAGGCTATTTGATTGAATCAGAGTGAAAACAAGTGTTTTATAATGGGATATGTTACATGCAGCAGGCTAGCAGCTGCCGCCTCCCTCTAACACAACCCTGTAGCCTGTCTGTGATCGGGGGGATGGTCTAATGATGGAATTAATTAGTAATGTTGTTTGGAAGATATATTACAGTAATAATATATACCTATCTTTCATACCATCCAGGCCCCACTCAGTGCTGAACAGCATGATTGTCTTAGCAGATAGCAGTCCCTATCCAGTGCTGGCTAGGGCCAGCAGCACAGCAGTAACCAAACAATCAAATGTATAGTTACTTATGAATCTTTTATTATTTTACTTCAGGGGAGACTAAAACAAACAATCTGTCATGTCAGTGGAGGTGGAATTTGCTACTAGAGCAATACAGCCCCTGCATTATTGAAGACTCTACCCACTGAGACATGAGCCATGCTTTGTGATCTAATATCCTGCCACTATATTTCAAAATGAAGTGAAATGTATTTTTTTGGTTTTTCTCTCTGCTACTCCTATCTGAGCGTGACATCTGCTTGTGATTCAGTGAGTTGGTGTCCAGGCGAAATGCTTGGCCATACCTGCCTCAGGACCCAATTATCTTGTAATTTTCCCTCTACAAAGGCCCCTGCTTAGGGACATATTTCAGGAAAGGAATTGGAATATTTCTTTCCAAAACACGGATAAGCTATTAATGTACCAGGAATTAAGGATAGAAAAAGGCAAATATGTGACTCTGAAATGTGAAATGTCAAAGACTCCCAGAGCAGTAGTGTTTGCTGATGTTCCTGTCAGACAGTGGAAATGAGGCCTGTATTTCTGGGGGTCAGTTTTCATGGTAGAGAAAATCCATCTCCTAAATGCCATACTGGAGTAATGTTGGGTGAGCTGAGATGACAGAGATTCAAAATCTCCTAATATTATGCATGCTTCTTTTTATGCAACAATATTTAGATGGATCATTTTACATGTTACATTTTTGTCATTTAGCAGACGTTCTTATCCAGAGCGACAATTAGTGTTTTAATCTTAAGATAGCTAGGTGAGACAACAACATCACAATCATATCAAGTACATTTTCCCTCAACAAAATACTTATCACCAAAGTCAGTGCTAGAAGACAAGTGCCCTTTATTTTTTAGGGGTTGAGCATAGCCTGAAGGTAAGGAAGGGCACTTCCCCCTAGGCAAGCACCAGGGTCTTGAAGATGATGTGTGCTTCGGCTGGAAGCCAGTGGAGTGTGCGGACGAGCTGGATGACATGGGAGAACATGACGGCGGGCTGCGGTGTTCTGGGTAAATTGCAGGGGTTTAAGCGGGGATCCCAGCCAACAGAGAGTTGCAGTAGTCTAGACGGGAGATGACAAGTGCCTGAATTAGGACCTTTGTGAGGAAAGGTTGTACTCTACGGATGTTGTAGAGTATGAACTTCCAGGAGTGAGTCACAGCTTTGATGTTTGCAGAGAACGACAGGGTCACGCCAAGGTTCTTTGCACTCTGGGAGGGGGACACCGTGGAGTTGTCAACTGTGATGGAGAGGTCTTGAGCTTGGATCCTGCTGTACACAAGTTCATAGGGGGTTGCGGCCATTTAATTCTAGAAACAGTTATACTGTCTTCTGGGCACAGAATACAGTACCTTTTGTAGATGCTGCGTGTTACGTTGCCATTTAGCTCCAGATCAAACTAGTCTAGCCAGTGGTATTCAGCAAACAGAAGACATTGGGCTTATCACAAAATGTGTCCCAGACAAGATTTTGCACCTTAGTACCTAAGCTAAATCATAGTATTCTTTAACCACCATCAAAAATGTGTCTAATTTACGCAGTTCTTCTAACACAGTGCTGCTCTGGTGGTGCGGTGAACTCAACATATAGCAGGCTTTCAGGGAAAGCCTACAGCGCTGTTCTGTTCTAGAGATGCTTTCTTCTCCACTCCCAAAGTGAATAAGTATGTGACAGCATCGCAGAGGCAATTAGGCCTTTAGGGGATTAGCGAAGTACAAAAAGTCAGCCATGTAAAGCAAGTAAGAATGGAACACACAGTTGTGTTGTCAAGTTAAAATCCTAAACGTTGCTCAGTGAAAAATGTACATATGTTTATAAATGGGCATTTGTTGGTAACTCCATTTCTGGTATGGCATCAGAACATGGGAATAACCATTTTAGCTTCTTCTCGTGTTTCAGTCTGACTGCAGCAGAGCCCTAACTCTTCTCTGTTCTGGGCCGTATTGATTCCCATGATTACTGTGTGCTTAAAAGCTTCAGGCCTCTCTTTCCGCCTTCCCTCTGACCTTATGAAGACTAATATCCACTTTAAGTAAATGTAGGCTCAAATTCAGGGCTTTGTGCATTTCAGAGTCTTAGAAAATGAGCCCTGTACCAGGTAGAGGTAAGCAGTTTTGAGCCATTGTGGGTTTACTGAATGTTATTTCACCTCTGATAGATTCTGTACTTACTTCCCACTGTAATATATTTGTGTCTTTATATCATGAAATAGGTCATCAGTCAAAATGAGATAATACCTTCTATGTTCCACAGTCTTTACCTCCCTCCAGGAGAATGGCATTGCCTGCATTTTCCCTTTGTAAGGTATTTCGTTGCACTGTGGAATAATGTGGTGAGGTGTTTGAGATGAATATTCTGACCACAGCCTTATGAGTTATTGACAGACCAATAAGAGTGAGATTCTGCACACATTAGTCCTTGGTGGTTAGTTGAGGTCTGTGTAAAGTTTCTCTCTGTTGAGGTTGACAGCTATTTTACAGAGTGAGAGAGAGAAAGAGAGAGAGAGAGAGAGAGAGAGAGAGAGAGAGAGAGAGAGAGAGAGAGGGAGAGAGAGAGAGAGAGAGAGAGCGAGAGAAAGAGCGAGAGAGAGAAAGAGCGAGAGAGAGAGAGAGAGAGAGAGAGAGAGAGAGAGAGAGAGAGAGAGAGAGAGAGAGAGAGAGAGAGAGAGAGAAATGTCAGATAGTTTAACTTTCTTTACTTGAAAATCTCCATTTACCTTTGTCTGCCTACATGACACTGAGGACAAGACATAGTATTATAATATTAAAGCTGGTTATGTATATTATATTTGCTGCAGGTGGTTGTTACACAACTGTGGTCAATCCACTCTGACCTTATACCTTGTCTTAGCAACATGGATCAGGTATGGTGAAATTATTTTCTGGGACGATAGCTTAAAAAGGGAAACATGATTGAGAACATTTGAATCTCTAGGCCAGGTTGTATTTCTTCCTGCTTGCCTTTTCAGCCATTGAGCTGTGGCTTTCTGACAAAGAGAAACCATATAGAACGGTTCCAATTGGGTGAGCTATCAGTGAATCCTGACGGGTAATCAGCTATTCTGATGCAGGTCCATGAACCCAGGCCAATAGTCTGGCCCTCTGAGGGCTCTCCAGGAAGATGAGTTGGCTGTGGTGATTAACATTTGGGGCGGGTGACTCATCCATGCTTCGCCCTCATCAGACAGACAATTAACGAGACACTCCGACACTCCAGGAACACCATAGTCCATCATTACCTTACAGCCAAATCCTATTCTGACCTGTTCTATATGCTACATGGAGATGATTCAAATACTATTTTGAGGAAAACTCATCTGCATGCATCAGATTGTCATCAAAACAGACAGAAAAGGAGACCAGATGGTGATATGTTAAGTTGCTGAAAGAGTTTTACATGATCAACAGAATATTTCCACAACGTTATTCTGTGACACTAGTGAAACACAGCAATATTCATTTTGAACACTAGGCCTACACTGTCTTACTGTCAGATGTAAAAAGCAGCCATCCACTGTCATGCTTGACCCAACATTAAATGTGTGACTATATTCTCCCGTTGTTTATCTGTGAACTCACATTCTTCCTCAAGCCCCACTTCCCTATGGCTTTCCTCTGAGGAGACAACATGTGTAGCCTGCAGGCCCAGGCATCACTGGCTACGAGCACAACACAGAAACAGCATACAGTGTGAAAATCTGCTGGAGCATTTAACAAAAACACTGTTGTTTAGACCACAACCTCCAGAGGTTTGAATGTGTCTATATTGAAGTCGGTGCTGCATTTGAAGCTGGAACAGACCAACAGAGAGGCTCCATTAGAAGAGCCAAATATTGACGGGCAGAATAGAGTAGAATAAGTTTGACTGTGGCAGGTCCACTGATCCTCACGTTGCTCTACTTCCCTGAGAGAAGGTAAAATAGCCACAGACTTGGTGATCTAGTGCAGGGTTTCCCAAACTCAGTCCTGGGCGCACCAGGTTTTTGCTAGGGCAAAAACCAAAACCTGCACCCAGGGTGGGGCCCCAGGACCGAAACCCTGATCTAATGGACGGTGAAACTCTCCAGTCCAGCGCTTAATTCAGTGTGTCAACAGCACCACAGGCCCACAGAGAGGCCTGCCAATTACATGCCTAACTGTCAGACGTCCCACTGTCAGACCAGGGAGGATTCGGTCCTTTCACCCAGGCAGGCCATGGAGAAATGAGGAGATCAGCTGTTCTGTTTACACAACACACACTAAAGGACAGGGATTTCAAATCAAAGATTTCAGAGCCCACCTGATCATTGATTTGATCACATTTCAACTGATTTTAATATGATTAAAAGACAAATCATCTTCAACTCTATCCCTATGAGGTGGAGGTTGTCATCACTGTTCTGCACACCCAGTTGCTGGGGATATCTACTGTAAGATGGTATTTAAGACATGTTCCATTTACCCTACTCTGGAGTTCCAAGCTGTATTGCCGCCTGCGGTGGGTGAAGTGTGACCCAGGTGGGTTGTGGGGCATGCAGAAGTTGGGGCAGCGTGGCGCCTGATTTCCCCCCCCCCCCAACCTCCCAGCGGTGCCCTGCCTGCGGAGAACCCTGCATCACCATAAGTACATATGGAACCCCACACATCGGCCCTAATGAGCACGATAAACATCTCCTGCATTATTGAATGTGCTCCTTTTGACTGCAGTTGACTGGGAGTACCAGTACAGAGCAGAGAGAGGATCCACACTGAGAAGATTTCCCCTAGCTAGCTGGAGAAAAGCCCTTCATTTCTTCTCAGCGCTTTCACTATCGAGTGGTGAATAATCCTTTTAACGAAGTACATACTGTAAATGATCCAATAACAATTTTGTTTTAGCAAACCTCCAGGTTTTGTTTTTGGCTATCTACATAATTACAATTTGGATGGGTAAAATTATTCTCAGAAAAACCATTACAGACTGAAGAGAGGGAGCGTTAGTGTAGTGTTGTGTGACAGTTTGAGTTAGCTACAGTTTGTGTAGTTTGGCCTTTATAATACAACAGTATCACAACTGAAATATGCAGAGAGCTTAGAGACCCAGCCTGGCCTCAATACACAAGCTTTAGTGCAATCAATCGTATGAGTGACACCATACCAGCAATTCTGATAGGCCTGCCTTGGCACCAGTCTACACGCTTGTAAAACCATTCATGCTTGATAAAGTAGCGGTATGCCTCATACCCAGCAGTACAGTTGACAACCAGTGTGTCCATTTGCATCGTGTTATCTAAAGTGAATACAGGAACAGTGAAGAGGAGCCAGTGGACACCTATGATGGGGAGAGTCTTATGAAGTACTAAGATATCCTCCACTATCCTCCCCTATCCCAGAGGCACTTAAGGGTGAGTGGAGAGTGATTCATGGTCAGTGCAGGCAGGCAGTCTTCCATCCTCAGACCTGCTCCAGTGTAGATCATGCCTGCCTGTGTCTCTGGCCCTCTCTCACTCACAGCTGGGGGTAACAAATAAATAATCCCAAACTGAGCCAAGTCCTTCCTGTGGTGAGATAATGGGCGTGGGGTGGGGGGTAAGGTGAGGGCTACTCTATAACGTCTCCTGTTCATCTATGGGTATAAGCTGTCGCTGAGGGTGTATTGGATACATCACATCACGGAGAGAGTGATGGGTAATACAGTATGTTTGACACAAGCTGCTGTATAAAAATGTGTACTTTCCGGTCATTCCCTGATTGACTGCATACAGTCGTGGTCAAAAGTTTTGAGAATGACACAAGTATTGGTCTTCACAAAGTTTGCTGCTTCAGTGTTTTTAGATATTTTTGTCAGATGTTACTATGGTATACTGACGTATAATTACAAGCATTCCATAAGTGTCAAAGGCTTTTATTGACAAATACATTCAGTTTATGCAAAGAGTCAATATTTGCAGCGTTGACCCTTCTTTTTCAAGACCTCTGCAATGTGCCCTGGCATGCTGTCAATTAACTTCTGGACCACATCCTGACTGATGGCAGCCCATTCTTGCATAATCAATGCTTGGAGTTTGTCAGAATTTGTGGGTTTTTGTTTGTCCACCCTCCTCTTGAGGATTGACCACAAGTTCTCAATGGGATTAAGGTCTGGGGAGTTTCCTGGCCATGGACCCAAAATGTCGATGTTTTGTTCCCTGAGCCACTTAGTTATCACTTTTGCCTCATGGCAAGGTGTTCCATCATGCTGGAAAAGGCATTGTTCGTCACCAAACTGTTCTTGGATGGATGGGAGAAGTTGCTCTCGGAGGATGTGTTGGTACCATTCTTTATTCATGGCTGTGTTCTTACGCAAAATTGTGAGTGCACCTTGGCTGAGAAGCAACCCCACACATGAATGGTCTCAGGATGCTTTACTGTTGGCATGACACAGGAATGATGGTAGCGCTCACCTTGTCTTCTCCAGACAAGCTTTCTTCCGGATGCCCCAAACAATCGGAAAGGGGATTCATCAGAGAAAATGACTTTACCCCAGTCCTCAGCAGTCCAATCCCTGTACCTTTTGCAGAATATCAGTCTGTCCCTGATGTTTTTCCTGGAGAGAAGTGGCTTCCTCGCTGTCCTTCTTGACACCAGGCCATCCTCCAAAAGTCTTCACCTCACTGTGCGTGCTGATGCACTCACACCTGCCTGCTGCCATTCCTGAGCAAGCTCTGCACTGGTGGTGCCCCAATCCCGCAGCCGAATCAACTTTAGGAGACGGTCCTGGCGCTTGCTGGACTTTCTTGGGCGCCCTGAAGCCTTCTTCACAACAATTGAACCTCTCTCCTTGAAGTTCTTGATGATCCGATAAATGGTTGATTTAGGTGCAATCTTACTAGCAGTAATATCCTTGCCTGTGAAACCCTTTTTGCGCAAAGCAATGATGACGGCACGTGTTTCCTTGCAGGTAACCATGGTTAACAGAGGAAGAACAATGATTTCAAGCACCACCCTCCTTTTAAAGCTTCAAGTCTGTTATTCTAACTCAATTAGCATGATATAGTGATCTCCAGCCTTGTCCTCGTCAACACTCTCACTTGTGTTAACGAGAGAATCACTGACATGATGGCAGCTGATCCTTTTGTGGCAGGGCTGAAATGCAGTGGAAATGTTTTTTTGGGATTAAGTTCATTTTCATGGCAAAGAGGGACTTTGCAATTAATTGCAATTCATCTGATCACTCTTCATAACATTCTGGAGTATATGCAAATTGCCATCATAAAAACTGAGGCAGCAGACTTTGTGAAAATTAATATTTGTGTCATTCTCAAAACTTTTGACCACGACTGTACAGTATGCAAGCTCAGTTCTATTTAATTGAAAATCCAACTTTTGAGGACACTAGAAACTAAAATATCACAATTTATTATTTTCTTCCCAATCTCTCCACATTAGATTGAATAGATAGGGATAGAAATACCAGCCGATGAGAATAAATGTGTTCCACATGAATAAAATAAAGGTGAGGAATGAAGTCCCCATGGACTCAATATTTCTCTAAAGATGGAATGCTTGAAATTAGCTTCAATTATTAAGGTTGGACAGAGGGGTGGAGATGAGGGAAGGCAATGAGAGAGAGTGAGAGAGAGAGACAGTAGACAGTATACTAGCCGATTCCATGATTCGAGCCATTCATTCTGCTGTGTAATATGTTGTAAAACATGTATTCCCATGTGCATTGAACTGTAATGACCTTTAGGTCTCAGAGGGCTGGTAAAACATAACAGCTGGTTAATATATCAGTAGCATCACTTGACTGAGACTAATATCAGTTGGAGTATACATTACATTTAAATCTTCTCACCCTAGTCCATCCACCAAGCAAAAGAGCGCTCACATTTAAAGCTACAATATGTAACTTTTTGGGCAACCCGACCAAATTCACATAGAAATGTGAGTTATAGATCTCATTGAAAGCAAGTCTAAGAAGCGGTATATATGTTCTATATGCGCTATTTCTACACTTTCCGTTCTTAGGTTTAGTTTTTGTGTCTTTTTACTTTCGGTTTTGTACACCAACTTCAAACAGCTGACAATACAATATTTTTGGAAATGGAAAATATATTTCACAGCGGTTTAGATGTTACAATGATTCTCTACACTATACTTGCTTGTTTTGTCACATAAACTGAAATTAGGTGAACTATTAGAATTTTAGCAACCAGGAAATGGCGGAGCGATTTCTGAATAGTGCACCTTTAAAAAGTACACACAGTAGGCTATGTGTTGTGTTGAAACACTAACTTTAGGCAGGGTGCTGAATTGACTCATCAACTAGGCCTCGGCAGGACTCATTTCTGTGTTAGTCCCTCACGATCAATATTTACACACTAATGATTGTTCAAAAAACATCTGGATTGGAGGTTGATAAGACCATGCAGAGCACAGCTATACACTCATGCTTCAGGTACAAATGGGGTGCATAACAACATCCAAATCAAACATTTAAAGACTTGAATACAAACAGAGATGAAACACAGAACCAACACATGATTCTCCTTAGGCAGAGAGAGAAAGCATCCCATGAGTCCCTGGACAACAATAGCTGTGTATACAGCAAGCCACCGCCACAGAGAAGAACCCAGAGTCAGAGCAGAGGGGGAGACACATTTGTCCTGGGGACTGGAGATCTAACTTGTCTATTAATAGTCTATTAATAATTGCATTTTCCAGCACAGCAGAGATCCTCGTCACAGGCTGGTTTCACACAGCTCCCGCCACTTGCATTAATCTGTCCTCCATGTACTGCCTTAAACATGCCAGACAGAGCAAGACAAAACACACACAACAGGTAGGGGCCATTAAGCAGGACAGGTGTGTGTGTGTGTACGTGTGTCCGTGTGTGTGTGCATGCATTACATATTGAGCTCTCTCACAAAGGTAATGTGACAATAAGGTGTGCCACAGTTATTGTTTTGCTTCAACAATTCCTCCCTGAGAGAAAATTACATTGAACAAGATACAATACAGCACTGCCAAGACTATACAGGCTAGGCTTTCTCCACTTTCTGTGTAGTCAGGCTTTCTGTAATGGGCAAATTCATCACAGTCAGTTTTGTCTAACTGCACATCCAGGTTAATATTATTACAATTCGCTCTCAACAAAAGATAGTCTTAGATATGGCCCTGAAGTCAATACATAGTCCTACCGACTACAGCTTCACAGCTACAGAGACGGGTGAAAACTCTGAATGATGTTTTGATACAGTACCATCAGTGGGTTATACTGTGACTGGTCATTGTTCTTTGCATTAGGATAATGCATTTCTTTACGGCTGACGTGTGACCAAGCCTAAGGGACGACGGCAGCAGAGCATATTGATGGCCATCTGGTCCTCCCTCAGCTCTATGCCAGGCTGCTGGCCCAGAGGGCCATTAAAATGCAGAGCAGCTGGGCTAGAGTACTCCACCACCTCAACCTCAACACTGCATCACACATCACATACCCAGCATCACACACACAGAGAATCAAAGATACAAAGGAATTAGAGATATAAAGCATTGGACATACAGATAATCAGTGATAGAGGGAGTCCAAGGTGTTGTACCACCATCAGAAACACAGAAATTCAGAGATCTTGTAAGGTCTCTTTGATTCAACCAAATCACTCATGTATGTCTGTCTGTCTGTCTGCTCCATGATATTCTTGATATCTTTAGCAGCTCAAACTCCATGTCATCAGATAAGACCTTGTGTGCCTCTGATACTCTATCATAGCTTCGCTTTCACACGGTTACATTTCTTTTTTGTCAATGTACTTCTTCAGTGTCAATCATTATATTTTTTCATCCCTTGCTGCTGCTTGAATGGACTTCCCTTCTCTCACTTCCTTGGCTGCTCTCTCAAAAACCTCAAGGGGGACTAGACCCCTGCTTGTTTTATGTTTGTATGATGCCTGCTCTGTAACAATAAAAATGCACTTGAGTTCATCATATGCATGACACATTGCAAAAATACGATGCATATTATGCATAGAACTGACTAAATGTAATCATCATTTGTATGGGGTATGATGGCCATTGGCTCAACTTACCAGAAAACAAACATTTTGACTATATTAGCCCACACAGCTACAAGGATACACTTACATTCTAGGTTTGGGAACTCATATTGTAGCTTTTAGAGACCCCAACTGATGTAAAAAGAACAGTCTTAAAACGATCTACTTTGGTTTAGATACAAGTATCTTGAAACCTACAACACAATAAATTAATTTGACTTGGTGAAAATCTGTTTTTGAGACCTAACTTGTTTACCACTTTTTCCATGTGTTTCTTCCTTCACAGACTCATTTTACATTTTACATTTTAGTCATTTAGCAGACGCTCTTATCAGTTAGTGAGTGCATACATTTTTATTTTTTATTTTTTCATACTGGCCCCCCGTGTCACGCCCTGACATAGAGTTCTCTAGTTGGTTTGGTCAGGGTGTGATTATCTATGTTATATATATCTATGTTGGCCGGGTGTGGTTCCCAATCAGAGGCAGCTGTCGATCGTTGTCTCTGATTGGGGATCATACTTAGGTAGCCATTCTGCCTACCTATGTTGTGGGATCTTGTTTCTGTTTGGTTTGTTGGATGTTTAGCCTTTTGAACTTCATGTTCAGTTGCGTTGTTATTTTGTCAAGTGTTTATTATTATAATTAAACGACTATGTACGCATATCACGCTGCACCTTGGTCCAATCCTTTACTAACGAACATGACACCCCGTGGGAATCGAACCCACAACCCTGGCGTTGCAAGCGCCATGCTCTCCATACAGACTCCATTATTAATTTTGTGTATGGTTTCCTAGAAACAAGGGGTGGCTCAACTAATCATTTGGCTCAATTTACCCCACTCTCCCCTATATACTGTACAGTGCATTCAGAAAGTGTTCACACCCCTTGACTTTTTCCACATTTGTGGTGGGATTAAAGTTGATTTAATTGTCTACTTTTTGTCAACAATCTATACAAAATACTCTGTAATGCCAAAGTGGAAGAACAATTCTAATATTTGTAAAAAAATAATATATATACAGTACCAGTCAAAAGATTGGACACACCTACTCATTCCTGGGTTTTTCTTTATTTTTACTATTCTTTACATTGTAGAATAATAGTGAAGACATCAAAACTATAAAATAACACATATGGAATCATGTAGTAAACAAAGTGTTAAACAAATCAAAATATATTTATATATGAGATTCTTCAAATAGCCAACCTTTGCCATTATGACAGCTTTGCACACTCTTGGCATTCTCTCAACCAGCTTCACCTGGAATGCTTTTCCAACAGTCTTGAAGGAGTTCCCACATATGCTGAGCACTTGTTCGCTGCTTTTCCTTCACTCTGCAGTCCGACTCATCCCAAACCATCTCAATTGGGTTGAGGTCAGGGGATTGTGGAGGCCAGGTCATCTGATGCAGCACTCCATCACTCTCCTTCTTGGTAAAATAGCCCTTACACAGCCTGGAGGTGTGTTGGGTCATTGTCCTGTTGAAAAACAAATCATAGTCCCACTAAGCCCAAACCAGATGGGATGGCGTGTCGCTGCAGAATGCTGTGGTAGCCATGCTGGTTAAGTGTGCCTTGAGTTCTAAATAAATCACAGACAGTGTCACCAGCAAAGCACCCCCACACCATAACAGCTCCTCCTCCATGCTTTACGGTGGGAAATACACATGCGGAGATCATCCGTTCACCCACACTGTGTCTCACAAAGACACGGTGGTTGGAATTAAAAATCTCCAATTTGGACTCCAGACCAAAGAACACATTTCCACTGGTCTAATGTCCATAGTTTGTGTTTCTTGGCCCAAGCAGGTCTCTTCTTCTTGTTGGTGACCTTTAGTAGTGGTTTCTTTGCAGCAATTCGACCATGAAGGCCTGATTCACACAGTCCCCTCTGAACAGTTGATGTTGAGATGTGTCTGTGACTTGAACTCTGTGAAGCATTTATTTGAGCTGCAATTTCTGAGGCTGGTAACTGTAATGAACTTATCCTCTGCAGCAGAGGTAACTCTGGGTCTTCCATTCCTGTGGCGGTCCTCATGACAGCCAGTTTCATCATAGCGCTTGATGGTTTTTCTGACTGCACTTGAAGAAACATTCAAAGTTCTTGAAATGTTCCGTATTGACTGACCTTCATGTCTTAAAGTAATGATGGACTGTCATTTCTCTTTGCTTATTTGAGCTGTTCTTGCCATAATATGGACTTGGTCTTTTACCAAATAGGGCTATCTTCTCTATACCCCCCCCTACCTTGTCACAACACAACTGATTGGCTGAAACGCATTAAGAAGGAAATAAATTCCACATATTAACTTTTAAGAAGGCACACCTGTTAATTGAAATGCATTCCAGGTGACTATCTCACGAAGCTGGTTGAGAGAATGCCAAGAGTGTGCAAATCTGTCATCAAGGCAAAGGGTGGCTATTTGAAGAATCTCAAATATAAAATATATTTTGATTTGTTTAACACTTTTTTGGTTACTACATGATTCCATGTGTTATTTCATAGTTTTGATGTCTTCACTATTATTCTACAATGTAAAAAATAGTAAAAATAAAGAAAAACCCTTTAATGAGTCCAAACCTTTGACTGGTAGTATATATGAAAAATAAAAGATGAACATATCTTGATTAGATAAGTATTCAACCCCATGAGTCAATGTTTAATCACCTTTGGCAATCTTTCTGGGTAAGTCTATAAGTGCTTTCCACACCTGGATGGTGCAACACTTGCCCATTATTATTTTCAGAATTCTTCAAGCTCTGTCAAATTGGTTGTTGATCATTGCTAGACAACCATTTTCAGGTCTTGCCATAGATTTTCAAGCAGATTTAAGTCAAAACTGTAACTCAGCCTTGGTAAGCAACTCCAGTGTATATTTGGCCTTGTGTTTTAGGTTATTGTCCTGCTGAAAAGTGAATTATTCTCCCAGTGTCTGGTGGAAAGCAGACTTATCCAGGTTTTCCTCTAGGATTTTGCCTGTGCTTAGCTCCATTCCAATTCCAATTACAAGCATAACAATTACAAGCATACCCATAACATGATGCAGCCACCACTATTATTAAAAATATGGAGAGTGGTACTCAGTAATGTGTTGTATTGGATTTGCCCCAAACATAACACTTTGTTTTCAGGACAAAAATAGCTTTGCCAATTCTTTTTGCAGTATTACTTTAGTGCCTTGTTGCAAACAGGATGCATGTTTTGGAATATTTCTATTCTGTACAGGCTTCCTTCTTTTCACTCCGTCAATTAGGTTAGTATTGTGGAGTAACTACAATGTTGTTGATCCATCCTCAGTTTTCTCCTATAGCTGACATTAAACTCTGTAACTGTTTTAAAGTCACCATTGGCCTCATGGTGAAATCCCTGAACGGTTTCCTTCCTCTCCGGCAACTGAGTTAGGAAGGACGCCTGTATCTTTGTAGTGACTGGGTGTATTGATACACCATCCAAAGTGTAATTAATAACTTTACCATGCTCAAAGGGATATTCAAGTCCATGCAACTTATTATGTGACTTGTTCAGCAAATTCTTACTCCTGAACTTATTTAGGCTTGCCATAACAAAGGGGTTGAATACTTATTGACTCAAGACATTTCAGCTTTTCATTTTTAATTAATTTGTAAAAAGAAAAATATAGAAAAACATAATTCCACTTTGACATTATGGGGTATTGTGTGTAGACCTGTGACAAAAACCCTAATTTTAATCCACTTTAAATTTAGGCAGTAACACAACAAATGTGGAAAAAATCAAGGGGTGTGAATACTTTTTGAAGGCACTGTAAGTAATATCCCTGTAAATCTGCTAATCCACAATAATCATCTGACTACTGTGGTTGTCGTTGTTGGTGATTAAAATATGAACATTCCTGCAGGCAGTTCCCTGTTCAACAAAAGCAGCAGGACTTGTGTAGCATAAGCTACCTGTCAGAACATAATGCTTCAAGACGTAGAATTGATAGAGGAATTACGTTTTAAAACGTTTACAGTGTCCACTGTAACATATAATCAATGGCATAGCCCGGGCGCTTTTCCGCAACATGACAGCCCCTTATAAAACATGTACGATTCTGGAAAAACAACATTGAATAAAACATTCAAAAGCATCTCCATGTAAACACACAGTCCATTTCTATAGCATCAGTAGGCAATAGGACAGCTGTCATCAGAGCAGAATGCCTGCAGCTCAAAGGGAGCTGAATAAGGAGAATGAAAAATACATTCATACAAACATGTGATTACCGAGGCCCTCATTGGGAAGCATTGGCAGCCCTCAGGCCAGGCAGCAATTTAGTGTCAGAGTCAGAGTACATCAGCCAGGAATAATCAGCCAAAAAGTCATCTGCAATCTATGGAGGGTGAATATTTATGAGAGTGAAGTGTGTCAGACTGTGTTAAAAACCTCCAAACGAGCTTCAATGCCATACAACACTCCTTCCGTAGCCTCCAATTGCTCTTAAACGCTAGTAAAACTAAATGCATGCTCTTCAATCGAACGCTGCTTGCACCCGCCTGCCCGACTAGAATCACTACTTTCGGCGGGTCTGACTTAGAATATGTGGACAACTACAAATACCCAGGTGTCTGGTTAGACCGTAAACTCTCCTTCCAGACTCACATTAAGCATCTCCAATCCAAAGTTAAATCTAGAATCGGCTTCTTATTTCGCAACAAAGCCTCCTTCACTAATGCTGCCAAGCATGCCCTCGTAAAACTGACTATCCTACTGATCCTTGACTTCGGCAATGTCATTTACAAAATAGCCTCCAACACTCTACTCAGCAAATTGGATGTAGTCTATCACAGTGCCATCCGTTTTGTCACCAAAGCCCCATATACTACCCACCATTGTGACCTGTACGCTCTCATTGGCTGGCCCTCACTACATATTCGTCGCCAAACCCACTGGCTCCAGGTCATCTATAAATCACTGCTAGGTAAATCCCCGCCTTATTTTAGCTCATTGGTCACCATAGCAACACCCACCTGTAGTATGCGCTCCAGCAGGTATATCTCACTGGCAGGGGCGGTGTGTTCAATAGGGCGATATGGGCGACGCACTGCCAAACGGGAAAAGGAAGGGATTTTTTTTCTAATCAATTATATCACGGCAACAGTAGTTATCAGTGTTGTAATCTAGACGTCTGATCTGCCACAGTGCCACTAAATGTCCAATCAGGCTAAAGTCGTGCTTCAAATGGCCCCCCCCCCCCTTTTGGGGCGATTTCAGTCAGGTTGAAAATCGCCCAGAAGTCTGTCATAGACTCCCATGTAACAATCTATTTTTTTCAAATATCAGAGCTTTCAATACAATCTCTATGGGTTTCTGAGGGCTTGCACTTACGCGCTTTCGTCATACGTAACATAACCATGAACGTAACTAAGAAAAGAGCGGGGTAGCAGCGTCAATCAATTCACTACTACTATCAAAATGGCTAGGCTTCAGTGCAACTCGATTGTGTCTTTGAAAGAAGTTCCTTTTTGTCGGCGAACAAATGAAGATAAATTGGCAACGAAACAATTAGGACCTCCCAGACCAAATTTAATAATTCAACAGGTTTCTACTAAAGGGGGGAAGTCCTACACCCGAGGATTTTCCAAAAATTGGTACGAACGAAAAACCTGGCTAGCAGGCTGCGATGTAGCTAATGCAGTCTTCTGCTACCCCCTGCTTACTCTTTCACCCTGAAGGCGGCACGGCAGACAGCACCGCTTGGACAGCGACTGGTGTGTAACGGACATGCACCATCTTTCAGGAAAGATTAAGAAACATGAGCTGTCAAAGACCCACATGGATAGCTGTTTGAGATGGTCTGCTTTGGGGAGAGTGAACATTCCCACTCAACTGGATGAGGGATACAGGCTAGCTGTCCGCCGCCACAACGATGAGGTTAGTGTTGATAATCACAAGTTTACTGGAGAACTGAAACTGACAAGGCTGACAAGATAGGACCCTTTTGTCCATTGTTATTGGATAGGAACAGAACTTATAACCAGCTCCTGACCTAAATAGATCTTAGCACAACATTTTACTCAACATATCATATTCCATATTCACTATAACAAATATATTTACTACGACATTAGCAAGAACCGCCACATCCTCAGCCGGCTAATCCAGTGTGTGAAGTTTTGCGGAGTGTTTGAGTTAGCTTTGCGAGGCAAAGATGAAACTGAGGGCTCCACCAACCCTGGTAAGCCAACACTTTTGAGATCAGTCAATAAATGCTTCTGGTATTGACTTATATGCTGCCCCTGTCTTCATGTTGTTGCTGGACATATCTTTTTTTAAATGTGTGTAGGTCACCTAAATCATCAGAAAAATTGCCCCCCCTGAGAATTTTTTCAGGAGCCGCCACTGCTCACTGGTCATCCCCAAAGCCAACACCTCCTTTGGCCGCCATTCCTTCCAGTTCTCTGCTGCCAATGACTGGAACGAACTGCAAAAATCTCTGAAGCTGGAGACTCTTATCTCCCTCACTAACTTTAAGCATCAGTTGTCAGAACAGCTCACCGATCACTAATTTGCACCCCAGTATCTCTATTTGCACATCATCTTCTGCACATCTATCACTCCAGTGTTAATTCTAAATTGTAATTATTTTGCACTATGGCCTATTTATTGCCTTACCTCCATAACTTACTAAATTTGCACACACTGTATATAGATTTTTGTATTTTTCTATTGTGTTATTGACTGTACGTTTTTGTTTATCCCATATGTAACTCTGTGCTGTTGTTGTTTTTATTGCACTGATTTGCTTTATCTTGGCCAGGTCGCAGTTGTAAATGAGAACTTGTTCTCAACTGGCCTACCTGGTTAAATAAAGGTGAAATAAAAAAAAATAAAAAAAGACAGCTACAGATGTAGGATCTTAATATGAGCTAGTTTGCTACAGCAGGATAATAAGCCTACAGCAACAGGAAATGTGAATTATGTAGATTATAATTATAATTTGTAGGGTTTGATACCTTTTTATTAAGGTAAAATCAAGTCTTAAACTCTACAAACTTCAGAAGTCTTTTTAAAACCTCAAATACACTACAAGATATGTCCTGTATTGTAGGAAAGCTATCAAATTAAGATCCTACATCTGTAGAAGTCGTACTCTAGGAGCTAAAGATGTCTCCATTTGCTTCAATCTTCGTTTGATTGTGTCGTGTCTGACATGTAGAGCTACTGTCCAACATCTCTGTACGGCATGTGACCACATTAAACCACATTAAGCCTGCTAATGTTCTTACTGCTCATTCAAGTGGAGGCTTGAGGGTTAAGTGGTCATTCTAGGAACCGTATTTCAGCACGGAACAAGGTACAGGATCATTTCAACTCTTCATTATCATTATAATCATGCTCATTTTCAGACAGGCAATCAGTGAAAAATGTTTTCCTGAACTATGTCATCATCCATCCTCCATTGACTCCATTTATTTTATCAAATAATTTGTTTTTCTCTCCTCACCATTAAATAGTCATTAGCAAAAATGACAAAAATAACAGAATGGAATTGGGACTGAATCTGTCAACTCTTTGCTTTAGTTTTGCCATCATCAGCACATTGGGACTAGTTGGGAGATCTGTTTAGGGTGATCAAAAGCAGGTTTTTGAATGGGCTTGCCTGTGCCAAGCGAGCTGCAGAGCTGAGAGTGACAATAAAAAGCTCTTTATGAGCGGCTCCAGAGAGAGCAAACAAGCCCAACCCTGGAGGAGCAGCCACTTCCTGTGAGTCCCACACTACATCATTACCCATGGTGCCACTCACCCTCTTCTCTTCTCTCATCTCCAATCAAATGACAGGCATTGAGACTCAAGTGCCATAGAGATTGTGTAATTACCCTTGACACATAAAGGACTTTTTCTCCCACAAACCCACACTGATAGAGAGCTTATTAAAACTTCAGAGGGCTGCAGAGTGCAGACAGTCTGCCAGGCTGCCAGAGGAAGTGTACTGTGGCCAGTGTGGGTCCCATCAGCGGCTGTCTCTAAACCCACTGAGTTCTAAACCCACAGAGAGAGGGATTAGAACATGTTCCATTACCTGCCAGTGGGTGTGCCTCTTCCTGTCATATTCATATGGCTCAGACATTGAGATGTAACTGTTATAGACATTTGGAGAGTGGTGTCAGGAACCACTGTGAGATTAATTACTGTACCAATCTGCATCAGAAACAGGCAAATGATATTGCTCCATGTCTTCCAATGGATAACTACATTGGGTGCTTACTTATAGTCCGTACCTTCTTGTAAATTATAAAATTGTCCTATACCATGTTATATGGGCTGTCAGAGAAACAAGTACCTTTCTGTAAACTATCATGTTGGGAGAGTCTTCCTCAGGATCTGTTATCCCCACACCCTGTTGTCCCAGGTCTCTGGATCCCTCCGCCATGCCTGCTGTGTCCTAGGCTCAGGAGGCTGCATGAGCACAAAGAGACAGGAAGCAGAGGAGAGTTAGAGAAGAGGACCAACATCACTGTCAAAAACTATTCATGATATATATTCATTTATTCAGGTTGGCCAAATAGCCACTTTTTGATAGTTCCTCACAGCAATGCATTCATTTGGTTCAGAAATATTTGAAGAGTTTGATTCCAAAACGCTATATATCCATTTTCAGAAATGTTGGTAAATTAGCTTTTATTTTACAGAGAAATAAGTAGTACTGCTAGGTTTTACACAGTCAAATGTAACAAATAACTACATTTATAAAGAAATATTCCAATGATACATTTGTGACATCAATATACTGTATATATTTTTATTTTTATTTGCATAATTCAATACAGTAATATGAGATCTGTATGTAAAACATTTACATTTGACATTTTAATCATTTAGCGGATGCTCTTATCCGGAGTGACATACAGTAAGTGCATTTATCTTAAGATAGCTAGGTGAGACAACCACATATCACAGTCAAATATACAGGATACGAACATTCCATTTCAGCTAAACAATGGATATATAGCATTTTGCAAAAAAAACTACTTTTCATACAAATAAAGTCTATGAATAACAAATCTGAGAACAGTCATATTTTACACACACAAGGGTATCAATAAGCAATCATTAATGATGAAAAAACTGAAATGTGAAGAAAAAAAGAATCGTTTGCTCCTCTCTCAGATGACAACACCTCTCAAAATAAAGCCCGATAACAAAGCCTTGGCAGTAACGCAGCACAGTGAAGTAAATATGAACTAGCTAACTAAGCCAAGAAAAATGTCAGGCCTGTAAGTGGCAGAATTTCCTTGCAACAATAACGTATAATCAGGCATTGCACAGCCTTCCACTGATTAGCTATAGATACTCAATGGTGTTCAGGACATTAACGAGTCAGAAACTGTAACTAAGAATGATAATAGGTAGATAGTGTGTTGTTCATATCAGCACTGACTTTGCTGATAACTTCTCTATTGAGGAAAAATGTACTTATTACGACTGTGATATGTAGTTGTCTTACCTAGCTAACTTAAGATAAATGCACTTACTGTATGTCACTCCGGATAAGAGCATCTGCTAAATGACTAAAATGTAAATGAAAATGTAGGTGATGTGCAATAAGCATGTTACTGAATACACTAGGCCACTATAGTTAAAACCTTGACCATTTGCACGGCTAAGACGCCATTAGCCACACAGTGTGCTTCACCTTTGATCAGGCTTGCCAGTCCTGTGTACTCTCATGATGTAAGGATTAAAATGCTACCGTAAGGGATTATACATGACCTCCATTCAATATCCATCCCACTACAGCTCTCTCCTATCTCCTCTCTAGAAGAAGAGAAGAGAGAGAAGAGGAGAGTATGAGAGAGGAGAGAGAGAGAGAGAGCGAGAGAGAGAATGAGAGATGAGAGAGTAAAGAGAGAGAGAGAGAGAAGGAGAGAGATGACGACCACAGGATAGAGAGAGAAGAGTATAGATAGAGAGAGCGAGAAGACTTCAGATGATATATATTATAGAGGATCCTCGTTCTAGGAGCTTCTCGTCTCTCTTCTCTCTATCTCTTCTCTCGCTCTCTCTCTCTCTCTCTCCTCTCTCTCTCTATCGTCTCTCCTCTCTCTCGCTCTCTCTCTCGCTCTCTCTCTCTGATAATTAATTTTGCTTAACTAAGGATTTTCACAACCTAAGTTCACAAGGCTACAATCATCTCCCCCTCCAGTTGAGTTATAGTGTGTTTCAGATTGGTATAAGAATTTGTAATCATGCATCAGGCAGTGAAAGAGAGAGGATTACATAATTTGACACATTCATCATTTTGGAGTAGCCCTACATAGAAAAGACAGGGAGGATAAAGCTTCCAGGAACAGTTAAAAAATCCTTATCATATGCCTGACTGGGCTTTTCATTTTAATAACTATTTGTGTTCCACTACAGGAAAGTCTCAAAGGTTATTATGGTTTATCTGAAGGGAGGACACACTGTATGCATTGTAATCCACAACAAACGATAATGGTGAGACGATCAGATTGAGATTGAATACCTTCAATAGGCCACTAGCTGCACAGCAGTAGACATGCAAGTCTATTAAGAGTATTACATAGTAATGATTTCAACTGTTGAGCACACAAAGAGCATTCTGCTATAGAGCAGGAGGCGGTACTATTAAACCCCTTCTGATCCAGTGTTGTTATTGCCACCATGATGATGGATTGAGGAGCTGTCTGCAGCCTGCATTGATTAGCAGAATGTCTAAGTAACCAGGAGTTCATAAACTAAGTTTACATCCTATAATTTTATACATTTCTCCAACTATTCAGACATTCTGTATGAATTATATGACACCTACAAGACAAGTCCTGTGGCAATAGCTCCTTTGCTATGGACAGCTACAAGCTGTAATTCATGGAAACAACTTAATTTCCAAAGCATGCAAATCTAACTTCACAGGACAACAGTCCCTAAGACGTCTGTGTTAGAGTTAACAGGATGGAACACAGGCACTGACATACAGACACTGACATCTCCAGGCACACATTCAGAGACACAGCCCCAGAACCACAACTAGCAGATCAGCACACTGCTGGACAAAACATCAAATAACTCCTGCATTCCCTCAAAAACAAACCGATTAACAAACCATTGACACTCACCATCTAATCCCATAGCCTCAACAGGAGACTCTGAGCTGTGGACAAGAGTTGATGTACAACAGGCACAAAACAGACATGCAGTTGATCATGCACAGCCAATCCCCCTCACCCACACCAGCCTGCCAATACAATGCTCCTGACACCTCCCAACTAATGAAGCATTCATTCATTACCTTAGCAACAAAAGAATGCCTTGTCCACTGCTCCCTGTTTTACTGTCCTTAGCAACAAGCAGCAGACAGGTTCATGATATAATTGGCAGGGGGGAAGAAAGAATGAAAAAAGAGGGGATGAAAGCAGTGGAGCAGCGAGAGAGAGAGAGAGAGAGAGAGAGAGAGAGAGAGAGAGAGAGCAGCTGGTTGGTCACTGCAGTATTCCTCTATTCCTCCTCTTCTCCAGTCCTCTGCCTGCCATGGGAGGGAGCACGGAGTGGAGCGGAGCAGTCAGTTAGAGAGATCCTCGCCTCGCAAGTGCGCTCCTCTCTCCTCTCTCTCTATCTGTGTGCATGTGTCTGTGTGTGTGAGGGAGAGGGAGAGGGAGCGAGAGAGAATGAGAGAGAAAGGCAGATCGAGTTGGGAAGGGGGAGGGACGGAGGAAGAGAAGATAAAGTGAAAAAGAGAGGGAGGAGAGAAAGACAGAGAGAAAAGAGAGAGCCTGAGTGAGAGAAGGGTTGAGAGAGAAGAGATGAGATGAAGTGAGAGCGAGAGAGCTTTGGATGCTGGGGAGCAGAGAGAGAGAGCTGTACAAACTGCAGCAGCGCCCACTGATGCTGAAAATAAGAATTATTCCATTAAGAGGACACTGAAATTGTAATAAAGGCCAAGTTACACTTTGACTGTACAGAGTGAATGTGAAATAAGCTCTTAGAGGAATAGAGATGGAGAGATAATGGAGAGATAAATAAATGTATAGGTTGTTAATCCACATTTTCATAAACATTTAATTGAAAGCCCATTTCTATACAAGACTGCACATAAATGAATGTGGATTAGGCTACCGTCAAAGGCTACCGGTTTTTAAATTGTCTGATCTAAGACTACAGCCACTTAATGAACTGACATGTATACTGTACTGTAGTTATTCTCTAATTCTCATCAACATGCTATAGAAACATATTCCAATTGAAAATGTGCTTGTTCCAGGATGGCAAAAGACTGTGGTCTCTTTGCCTTTCCCTCCGTCCCACCCCCACCCCCTCTCTCTCACTCTCTTCTCCTCTCTCCAGGACCATCTAAGCTTAAATGGCAAACCAAAATGGCAGAAGCTTTTTTTATCATTTAAATTAGATCAAAAGTCCCCTAAGGAATATTCTCACAGAAATACATTTCATGGCCAATTTGTGAATACATGCAAACACACGCACGCACACATGCACACACACACACACACACACACACACTTTTCACAGAAGCAGTTAATGAGTTACATACATGAATACAAACAGAGCACCAGTGCTTGTATTGCAGCTTTTATCCTCGCTCCCTGTGTGTGTGTGTGTGTGTGTATCTGTGTCTGTGTGTGTGTGTGTGTGTGTTGTGAATGTGAGTGTGAGTGGGTGTGTGTGTGTGTGTGTGTGTGTGTGTGTGTGTGTGTGAATGTGAGTGTGTGTGTGTGGTGTGTGTGTGTGTGTCTGTGTGTGTGTGTGTGAATGTGAGTGTGAGTGGGTGTATATGTATACCCCCATCTCTTTCAGCGTGTTCTAGGCTGGGTTGGGATGTCTACATTAATTCCTCTTTAACCCCTTCCCTTCGTAGCCTAGAACTCCATATGCTGACTGAAACCAAGGACACATCAGAACTCTGAAACATGCAGCTTACATTCTGCTTCTATCAGATAAACTGCAGTCAAAGAGAGCATTTCTACTTTAGATACAATTCAGATCATAAAAAAATCGGAATGTGTGAAAACAAGCTCACAGACACAAGCAAATTGGTCAGGTAATCAGTGCTGTTGTGTGCTGGGGAAATAGTAATGTCAGATGTCAGACTGCGAGTGGCATGCATATTATTAACAGTACAAGGAAAAGCAAACCCAGAGGGCTTACATTGCACATTCTCATTTAGTCCTGGTAACCAAATACTATTATCACCCCCACCCCCGTTGTGGCTGAGATGTAATGACAATAACCTTTGTTAACCTTTGTGACCAGCTGGCAAGTGTATTCACTGACATTTTCAAGCTCTCCCTGACCCAGTCTGTAATAACTACGTTTCTAGCAGACCACCATAGTCCTTGTGCCCAAGAATGCCAAGGTAACCTGTCTAAATGACTATCGCCCCTTAGCACTCACATCTGTAGCCATGAAATGCTTTGAAAGGCTGGTCGTGGCTCACATCAACACCATCATCCCAGACACCCTGGACCCACTCCAATTCGCATACTGCCCCAACAGATCCACAGATCTTTACCACATGGACAAGAGGAACACCTATGTGAGAATGCTGTTCAATGACTACAGCTCAGCGTTCAACACCATAGTGCCCTCCAAGCTTATCACTCAGCTAAGGACCCTGGGACTGAACACGGGTTGAACACGGGGACTGAACACCTCCCTCTCCAATTAGATCCTGGACTTCCTGCTGGGCCGCCCCAGGTGGTGAGGGTAGGCAACAACACATCCGCCATGCTGACCCTCAACACGGGGGCCCCTCAGGGGTGCTTAGTCCACTCCTGTACTCTGTGTTCACCCACAACTGTATGGCCGCACATGACTCCAACACCTTCATTAAGTTTGCCAACAACACAACGATGGTAGGCCTGATCACCAACAACGATAAGACAGCCTATAGGGAGGAGGTCAGAGACCTGGCAGTGTGGTGCCAGGACAACAATATCTCCCTCAACGTCAGAAAGACAAAGGAGCTGATCGAGCACGCCCCCATTCACATCGATGGGGCTGTAGTGGAGCGGGTTGAGAGCTTCAAGCTCCTCGATGTCCACATCACTAAGCATCTAACACAGTCGTGAAGAGGGCACGACAACGCCTCTTCCCCCTCAGGAGGCTGAAAAGATTTGGCATGGGCGCTCAGATCCTCAAAAAGTTATACAGCTGCATCAGTGAGAGCATCTTGACTGGCTGCATCACCGCTTGGTATGGCAACTGCTTGGCATCCGACCGCAAAGCACTACAGCACTCCCTGCCATCCAGGACCTCTATATCAGGCTGTGTCAAAGGAAGGCCCTAAAAATTGTCAAAGACTCCAGCCACTCAAGTCATACTGTTCTCTCTACTACCGCACGGCAAGCGGTACCGATGCACCAAGTCTGGAACCAACAGGACCCTGAACAGCTTCTACCCGAAGGCCATAAGACGGCTAAATAGTTCCAGGACTATCTGCATTGACCCTTTTTGCACTCACTTTATTGACTCATCACATACGGTGCTGCTTCTGTTTATTATCTGTCACTTATTCCGAGTTATATGTACATATCTACCTCAATTACCTCGTACCCCTGCACATCGACTCTGTATTGGTAGCCCGTGTACATAGCAAAGTTATCGTTACGCATTGTGTATTTTTTATTATTACGTGTTTTACTTTTCAATTATTTCTTTCTCTCTCAATTGTTGGGAAGTAAGAATTTCACTGTTAGTCTACACCACGTTTACGAAGTACGTGACAAATAACATTTGATTTGATTTGTTGGAGTGCTTACAGTAAAACATAAACCACAGTAAT